GGCAAGAACAACAATGGCGCGGTCGTGGTGGTGGTGGTGGAGTGTGTGTACGTGTGTGCGTGGACGGACAGCGCGCGCGCCTCAGAAGGTAGTTTGAGTAACAGTAGAGGTATGCACACCAATGCACGTTGTCCGCACGACGCGCGGCGCACACGAGGGTACGCCGCGCGAGTAGGCAGTCAATTCCAAAGCGTACGTCATCACACGCGCACGCGCTCTCCGTCGCTCCTCCGCACACACCACAAGCACTGTGATGGAAGCAAAGTTGCCGGTTGATTTGTGGCTTCGGTAATTCTGTATGATGCCGTTGGAACCGAATTTCTGTCGGTTGTGGAAGAGATGGAAAAACAAGTAGCAATCAAACGGAGAAAGTTGAACAGATGAGAGGAAGTTGGCAGGGGGACCAAAATTGTATTTGTTGCAGAGATGGCACGAGCTGCTGCTCTCCTCGATTCGATGTTCTGGCGGGATGAGGCTGGGGCGTGCCGTACTGCGCAGTGCCCAAAAAATTGAGACACTACTCTCTCTCTTGTTGTTGGCGAAGTGTTGTCGTGGGACAGAACACGTTCTTCCAAAATTAAAAAAAACGGCTGGGTTGGTTGAACTGCTGCATCAGGAAACAAATGCGGTTGAGGCTTCTTGAACAGGAACGAAAGTCGTTGTGGGTGAGCAGTCGGTCAATTTGTTTTTCTTTTGAGGTCCTCTTAGGCGTCTACCGAGGATTAAGAAAAGAATAGTTACGTATTGTCCGCCTAAAGGTGGGCCATGAATAAGCTGTCTGCGGTTCTCTCTCGTTGGACTTTGTGGTGTGGTTTCGCTTCCACGTTACTGTTGGCTGCACTCTACACGCACGATGGTTGAAAAAAAAGGGGAAGACGACTCTCTCGCACACGCGCCTGCGCACACTCACAGCACTACGACGTTGCGAGGGAAGACGGCTTCCACAAACAAGCAAAGCACACCAGCGGTGGAGAAGGAGAGAAGAAACCGTGAAAGCACACCAACCCCGCCAAAGAAGAATGAGCGATGTTAACATTGAACAGTTGGAGCGATGTATGATGAAAACAAGAAGGAACAAAGAAGAGTAAAACGCAACCGCAAAAGACAAACAAACGATTTTTTGTCACAACGAACCACCGTGCTTGGGGGAGGGGGAGGGGGGTTGATCCACGTCGAGGAAAGAAAAACAATAAAAACAAATAATAATAAAAAGGTGGTCGTGCGAAAGGGACGATGGCGTGTCGCCACAAAGCTAGATAAACTCAGAGAAGGGGAGGAAAGAAAGACCCTGTCCACATAACACTCCTTTCTCTGCTGTCTTTACAAACATAGCGTAAACAACCGGTGGGTGCTTTTTGATTGTGTTTGCATTTTGTCGCCCTGTTGCCTTTTTCCAGCTTCTGCCCGTTGTGAGTTCGGCTTCTAGTGAAATAGAAAGGGGAGGCCCAAAAAGAGGATAACAATAGTAATGCGTGCACCGAGTTAGTGCTTGGAGGTGTGCAGGACCAAATCCAGCACCTTGTTCGAGTACCCCGTCTCGTTATCGTACCATGCCACGAGCTTCACGAAGTGCTCATTGAGCGAGATGCCAGCCTTCGCGTCAAAGACAGAGGTCAGCGCGACGCCATTGAAGTCGGTCGACACCACCGCGTCCTCCGTGTACCCCAGAATACCCTTCATCTCCCCCTCCGCCGCGGCCTTGACGGTGGCGCAGATCTCCGCGTATGTGGCAGGTTTCTCCAGACGCACCGTCAGGTCCACCACGGACACGTTCGCCGTCGGCACACGGAAGGCCATGCCAGTCAGCTTACCCTTCAGCGCAGGGTACACCTTGCCCACGGCCTTCGCCGCGCCGGTCGAAGAGGGAATGATATTCTGCGCGGCACCACGTCCGCCACGCCAGTCCTTCATCGACGGACCGTCAACCGTCTTCTGCGTGGCCGTTGTGGCGTGCACCGTCGTCATGAGGCCCTCCACGATGCCGTACTTCTCGTGCACCACCTTCGCCAGCGGAGCGAGACAGTTGGTGGTGCACGACGCGTTCGAAACAATCGCCTCGCCTTTGTACGCGGCGTGGTTGACGCCCATCACGTACATCGGCGTGTCATCCTTCGGCGGACCCGTCATAATCACCCGCTTCGCACCGGCCTGAATGTGCTTCTGGGCCGTCTCGTGGGTGAGAAAGAGGCCGGTGGACTCCACGACGACTTCGGCGCCGATGTCACCCCACTTTAGATTGGCGGGGTCGCGCTCGCTGGTGATGCGGATGGTCTTGCCATTCACGACAAGCGCGCCGTCCTTGGTCTCCACCGTGCCGTCGAAGCGGCCGTGGGTGGAGTCGTACTTCAGCATATAGGCCATGTACTCCGCGTCGAGCACGTCGTTAATGCCGACGATTTCAATGTCAGGCCGCGACTGAGCGGCGCGGAAGACGATGCGGCCGATGCGGCCAAAACCGTTGATGCCAATCTTCACCATTGCCTTTTTTACTTTATATTTTCGTTTTTAATCAAACGCACACTCGTCGACGAAGGATGAAGGCGGGAAGAAAGATGAAGACGAGGAAACTCGTTGGTTTGAGGAGCAGAAATTCACTGTGAAACCATAAAAACAAGAAAGAGGCTGGATAAGCAGCAATGGCAAAGCGTGTGCGTGTGAGTGTGTTTTCTGGCAGAAACCCCAAGCAGCCAAAATGGAGGAGGGCGAGGGAGGAGAAATGAGAAAAAAAAAGAACGAAAGGGAGCGCTGGTGTACATCAATGAGACAACGTCACATTTCTTCGGGCAAAAAGTGCGTTAACACCGGCACAAACTCTTTCAAGGCAGCGCTGCACCAATGCGCACAGTTCCAAAGCGAGTACTCACTAATAATAATAAAAACAAGAACCTACAACTGTTTTGCTTCCGACAACCGTGCTTTGTGTGGTTATTTTCATTTTATTATTATTTTTACTTAAATCGCACGGATACAGTTGTATCAATAACAAGGTCGGATGTAACGATGTGTCACGCCAACAAGAAGAGAAAACAAAACAAAGAAAACACTTCGAATCGCTCAGTTACTTCCGTGTACAACAACAACAATAAAAGATAGTGGCTGTAGCTGCACTCTTTAGAGAAAGACAAGTAAAGAAATATATATGTTGAAGAAAATGCTGCTAGGCGTCGACACTGCTCACCTTCATTACCATTTTTTAAAAGCAAGTAAACGGCAATTCTTTTTTGGCTTTTTTTGAGGGGGGGGGGAAGAAAGAAAATCGGCAAAGTCAAAAATGGCGCACCTAGGTACGCGTAAAAAGGTCATGATCGCTAAACAGTCTTACAAAAGCACATGAGTATCGACTATTGTGTTGGTGCACTAAGCTCTGACGAATAAACATGAAAAAAACGGTGTGTCACACACAATCGAAACAGATGATCCCTTTTACTGCTTCCTTGAGAGGTGTGTTTCGTTATGTTTCCCGACAGATGACAGGCACAGACGGCTGGAGCTCGCTTCCCTTTTCACTTGCGGTGACGCTCGCAGAAAGCAGGAAGGCGCTCCATCACCTCCTCAATCACCTTGCGCTCCCGCACGAAGCACACGCGGAAGAAGCCTGGCATAAACATGTACGTCCCCGGCACCACCTGCACGTTCTCCTCGTCCTCCAGTGCTTTGTAGAATTCCACGTCATTCGTGAAGTCCTTAAACTGATCGAAGTGCACCTTCACCATGATGTACAGCGCACCTTGCGGCTCCGCGCATGACAGGCCGTGGCATCTGCGCAGGCCCTCCACGAACAGCTTCGCGTTGGTCTCTAGTTCCATCATGTTGCGCGCGTAGTAGTCCTTCGGGGTGTTCTTCAGTATCTCCGGCATCGCGTGCTGCGCGATCGCGTTGGGCCCCAGCGTGTGCATCGAGAGGTTGTGCATGCCCTTCAGCACATCCGCAGCGTAGCCCGCCTCGTCGATCAGCAACACCCACCCCACACGCCAACCGGGTAACATAAAGTTCTTGGCGAGGCCGCAGATGATAAAGCGCGGCACGGGCGACTTGAACTGCGCGACTGACGTGAAGACCTGACCAGTGAAGACCATGCCGCAGTAGATCTCGTCGGAGATGATGGGCAGCTTCAGCTCCTCGCACAGCCGCACGATGTCCTCGACGTGTTGGCGGCTCCAGTTGCTGCCGCACGGGTTGGACGGGTTGTTTAGCACGATGGCCCGTGTGCGGTCATCGACGAGGCGGCGAATCTCGTCCAGGTCGAGCTCCCAGTTCTTTTCCGGCTGGAGGTTGTAAAAGCGATCTTCAATGCTGAAGGTGCGGCAGCAGAAGGCGTAGGCTGGAAATCCCGGCGCAGGAATGAGTATGTTGTCGCCCTCGTTGCACAGCGCGGTGATACTGCTGATGATAGCCTCTGCGCCACCCGTCGTCAGTACCACGTTCTCGCCCTTGACGGCCGTTTGGTTTTCCGTCGCAAAGTTGTTTGCCCACCACTCCGCCGCCGCGTTACAGGCAGTCGGCATGCCCCATGTACGCTGATAGCTGTACTTGGTGGCGATGCCAGCGTTTTTGTCAAAGGCCTTCAAAGCCACCGCCGTCGTCTTGAGATTTCCGTCGAAGGTAGGGTCGCCGATGGAAAGCTTCAGCTGCGTCTTGTCCTTGCACGCGGACTGACGCATGAACACCTTGTTCATTTCACTGTTACCCGCCGTGGAGGCAGGCGACACAGGGAACTTCTTCGCCGCGCGTGGGTCCGCCATGTTTACAGTTTTGCTTTCGTCTTCGAAAAGATTGCTCCTCTCTCTAGCCGTGGTGGCAGGCTGTGCAGTCACGAAGGGGTGTGATAAGGCGCGTTCGATAGATGGCGGGGTGAGTTGTCGTCGGCGGTACACCACAAAACAAAGTCAACGATGGAAGAGATTAAGAAACAGCAGTAACAACAACAGATGAGTTTACGAAATAGTGGTGGTAGCGCTAGAAGCTGTTGGGCGGCAGTACGATTGGAGGCGAAGGGAAAAGAAAGAGATAAACAGCGTGCGTTGTGTGTGCAGAAGGCAGAAAGAGGAAAGAATATATTTTCTGTTCGATAGAACAGAGGAGGGGATGGAGGTGTCGGCGGCTCACAGCGCACGTGAATATCAGCACGGCAGGACCGTACGGCATGCATTCGATCATCTCCCTCTTTCTGGAAGAAACACACACACACACAGACACAGGGCGATCAACAAGATTGTTAGCGCCGCGCAGAGCTGGCGAAAGATCCAAACCCGAAAAAAAAAAGAAAACACCAACTACCAATCCTTCAACGCGTTTGGCTGTCGCTTTACTTCAGGTCTAAAACTTGAAACGCACGAACATGCTGCGATGCAGCTGTAGTGTGCATCCCCACAAAAGAAGCAACAACACAAAGTCTACACGAGTGAAGCAGAACCGTTGGCCATATGCATAATGCCTCTCCTCCTCCTCAAGGAAAAAAAAGGAAGCCTTCCTTGTGCGCGTGAGAGTCGTGCCCCAGCTGAATAGGCAAAAAAACGTCTCTCAGCTGCACGCTGGATGAATACCAGGGCGAGCCAGAAAGGAAGTATGCGCGAGGCATAAAGGTCCATCCTTCGAATAGACTGAAGCACCGACTCGCACACACACACACACACGTTCTCAGCACACCATGTCATGCTACGGCTCAGACGCAGCGACGGGGACGCATGAGCGCTGCAACCACCGCAGCAGTCGTTCTGCCCACGGAAGCGGACACAGCATCGCCATCGGAGATATCAGCGTCGTGGTCCACGACGAGGCGTAGCAGTAGCGCTCCTGACCGCGGCAGATGGCAGCCATGCAACACGCCACCGCCCGATCCAGCTCAGCGTTGCGCTTCTGCAAGTTCAATGTGTAGCCCTCACGTGGCGATGAAGATGCCCGCGCAGCGCGGGCACCACTCCCACTACCGCTAGACGATGCAGCGACGTCATCACGATCTGGCGTAGTCGATGATGAGCTCGGCGCGTTCCGCATGGAAGAAGCGGGTGCCAGCAGCGAGTTCAGCGCAGTCGGAATGCCGTTTTGAACGTCGTTGAGACACAGTAGCGTCGTGCGCACTTCGCGAGCGCGCTGCACTCCTCGGCCAACAACAGGACCACTACCCTCACCAGTCCCGGTTGTCGCCGCAGTGTTGCTGCTGCTGCCGCCGCCGCTGGAGGTACCCTTACACTTTTCACCTGCAGCAGCGTCCTTTCTTCCAGCAGAAGACTGCGTGTACATCGCGCGTTCCTGTGCGATCCACGCGCGCATCGAGTAATGTAGTCCTACCATACCCCACTGCGAGGCGGCGTAGTCCGGCGCGTGTGCAGCCACCACGTAGTTGCCCGCCGCGCAAACAATGTTCACAACTTGGGCGTAGTCGTCGCGGTGACGAGCTGACTGCGATACGGCACCGCTGTCTGCCGTGGACATCAGCGACGGCAGCAGCTGCCGAACAACGAGCAGGGGCGAGACAAAGTTGGTCTGAACGACGCGATCAATCGAGTCGTCGTTGCGGTCGTGCAGCGGCTTTGACGGGTATGCATGCGCGGCGTTGATGATCACATCTACCGGGCCGTCAATCTCCTTCGCGGCGCGCTGCACCTGCATCCGCGAGGACGCATCCACTGCGGTGATGACAAAATGATTGCCAAAGTAGCTGCTGCTACTGCTGCTACTTGCAGAGTCTGGGACAGCCACCACCACGCGCTGCACCTCCACCTGCAGTTCCTGCAGCTTAATGCGACTATAGTCCCACGCCACAACGCGAGCACCGCAGGCGTAGAGTTGGATGCACAGACGGCGGCCCACCTCGCTGCACGCCCCTGTCACGACGACGGTTGCACCGGCGAGACGGCGCGGGCGGTAGGCGAAGATGGTGTACACCCACCAAATAAGCCCCAGCGTCCCACAAATGAATGAAAGAAGAATCATTCGGAAGGAAAGAGAGAACAGCAGGAGGTTGTCCTTTGCGAGTACTTTGGTTATTGTCTCTACTGCGTGTGGATGACACAAGAAGGCAAAGAAGCGTCTCGATGCGGAAAAAGTACGGTGTGAAAGAAGATGGTAGAGCACGGAAGAATATGAGTTGTGAGGTACGTGTAGATTGCTGTGCAAAGGCAATAAGAGGAGTATTAAAAATATAAATATATATGTTTGTGTTGATGAAGACGAGCAACAGAAAAGAGACGCGTCGGGTCTTCTCTTCTTTTTGGAAGAAAAGAACCACAACACACTTTGTACAATGAGTCTTCCTTCCTTCCTTCACAAAAACCTCCTGAACTTAATGGTACGATGTAGACAGACAATGGGAACGAAGAAGCGGAGATGTTAAAAAGCAGGTGGGCGTCAGAGGTGCCGCACAGCAACGTGAATTCCCTTTTTTTTTCTTGCCTAATAAACTAATGCCGAAGCAGAAGAGCTCAACACGAGGCCACCGCGCAAGCGGAAGGAAATCGTTGGTGTTTCCTTTTGCCCTTCGCTTTTCGACGAGGCATGAGGGACGGGGGGTGGGGTGGGGCGTTCGTCTTGTCCGCCCGTGTGGAAAAACAACAAGAACACCTCTGCGCCCCAAGAAGTGACCTTTTCGGAATAAGAAATGGTGGTAAGCAGTAATGTGAAAAGCGAAAAAGAAGTCACTTGTACATACATAAAAGAAAGACAACAAGAAGGAAGAAAGATCAAAACTCCGTGCGTTCTACGGTGGCATCGGCGGCGACAGCAGACGCCAGGGAGTCACGTATGAAGGCGCGGGAGCCGAGGTCCGCCGCGCGTACCGGCTCCGGTATGCGATGTCGCAGCATTGTCACAATCAGCGCCGTGGCCACCGCGAATCCCACGCAGTGCCCCGGCGAAACAAAGATGCTTTTTTTGACACTGTTCAAATGACTGTGCACCGCGTAGCCGTACAGCTGCGCCGGGGAGGAAGTGCCGACCAAAGGCAGCACGCACGGCGGTGTTGAAGTGGGCAAGGGAGACATCGAAGCGTCAACCACAGCGTCCTTCAGAAAAGCCGCCTCGACAGCTTCACGACTGATGCCATCCATCTGCAGCACCTTTTTCGAACACCCGATCGTGGGGATGTCAAGCGTCACCCCAAGGTGGGTTGCGAGCCCACACCGACGTGGGTGATGAACACCGTTGCCGTCCACCACGAGTAGCTGCGGCATCGTGTGCATCGCCGTCAACTCGTCCCGCACCTTTTCGAAAAGCTCGCGAATGGGTTCAATTTCACGGAAGGCCAGGAAGGTGGAGATGTACGGCTCCCGCAGGGTGCAGCGGTGCATATAGGTCTTGACCAGTTCCAACGAAGGGTAGCGGAGAATGACGAGGCAGGCGATGCCATCGTTTGTGTTGGGAATGAAGGAGATGTCAACGCCCCCAATGCATGTTAACGCAGGCAACACAGAAGAAGAGGAAAGGGAAGAGGGAGACTGCACAGCAAAATGCTCTTTGTCTTCTCCCTCCTCTTTTATACGTTGCTGCTGTTGCTGCTGGAGCTGCTCACCGTACCGAATTTGCTGCGCAACATCCCACCGCAGTTGACGACGGAGAGCTGTCCAGTAGGGCGAAGAAGACGAAGAGTCATTTCCACTGGGGTCTTCGACGGCAGCAGCTGTGGTGGTCTCCTGCGAACCCATCAACGCGGCCTCCAATCCCGCCAGTGAGAATCGTTTATGGACGTAATTTTCGTCGAACGCACCAGCTTGGCGGAGGGGAGTATCTGCGCACCCATACAGCTCACTGCCCGGCACCTCGGTGCACCGACCAAGGCGGAGCTGCACTTGCGTCCACGTCGCTTTCTTTTCCACGAGTCGAGCATCGGAAACGGACGTATCTGCGTTATCGGGAGTTTCGTGGCGTATTGGGTCCATGTTTGGGCCGTGCATCTCGCTTAAAAAACGACCAACAGCTCTGTTTTTGCGGGGAAAGCTCAAAATAGAATGTGGAACGAGCACTCCCTAGCAAAAAGAAAAAGGAAAGTGGTTGGTCTGTGAGGTGATGACTAATCCAAGCGCATCTGGAAACTTGGAAAAAAAACCAGGTATATCAAATGTCCTCTAAACAAGCAGATTAAGTAGATAACCGAATGCAAAAGGAAAATGGGCTGCGAAAAAGCGCGGGTGCAAAAGCTCATGTACCGCAGAGAGCGCGCGAGCACAAGCATCGACGCACGGCTATTAGTCCTCTTCTGCAGCAAAGGGGCGAGGCATAACGCTCCGTATGACACATCGTGACGCTGCTCAGTGCTGCAAATCACGTGGTGCTCCTCCACCTTGTAGCGAATCCCCCTCTAAGAAAAATACAAGCAGTAAGTCCACAACATCTTTCACAACTTGCTCTGTTTTTTGTAATGTTGTCTCTGCTCCTGATGTTTATGGGGAGCAAAGGAGGAAACAAATCAGGTTACTCAGTTGTGATGCATACCCGAATGACAGCCAATGAGGCTGGATTATGATAGAAATAAAACACTCTCGTACCCCCCCCCTAAAAAAAAAACGGAATCGTTAACATAGATGGACAAAGAGCTCGTCGCCGTTCAGAGCAAAACACGCGTTTTCCTCCCGCGAAAGAACAGGAGATGCTTCTGTGGCGCCATCAGGACGCCTACAACGCAAGACCAGTGAGATTCTATAAAGTGAAATCCTCTTTTCTTTCTGTTCTTTCCTTTTGACTTCGCTTCCTTCTCTCGACGAGGTTTACTAACTTAGCGTACGGAAGAGAGATACGGGCAAACACCTTAGTGCTCCCCCCCCCTCCCCCGGTCGACCGGACCGCACATTTTCTAGGCGGCCGCATTAACAATGAAAAAGACGGTAAGAGAACTCGTCCCATTCAGCAAGAAAAAAAAAATACACGAAGGGAAAGCCAGTTCAACACCTCTCTCTTTCTTATTTGATGTTGTCGGAGGACGATCTTTTGACGGTGTCACGCATCTTTCGCGGCCCATCCATTTCCGCACCTTCGGCCCGAATGGGGCATGGCGAACTCATGACAGAGATGCGGGGGAAAGCGAAAAGCAAAGCGGAAATACAAGTGCAGTGCACCATGCCATTCAAATAAGTTTGGCTGACACAGAGAAACGGACGTCCATCCCCGCCCTCCCTGCAAAAAGAAGATAGTTTATCAAGAGGAAACAGCCCACGGCTCACCGCCTTTCCTGTCAACGGACCATTCATGCGATGCTATCAGAAATGAAATTCGTTTTTTTAAATATTATTTTTCCTTTTTGATTTTTTGTTGTGGTGGTGTTGATTGCGTCGCGCCACCCACGACTGCTCGAAGCGCGAGCTTCAAAGCGGCAGAGAGGCTGGTACGTGTGCGTGTGTGTGTGTGTGCGTGTGTCACTCATCACAAATTCGACGGCACCTTCGCCGGCTGTGACAGCTGCGTACCAAACCCAAGGCACCCAATCAGATTCAGGTTCACGCTGCGCACCTGACGCAGGAAGGTGGTGCGGCTGATGAACTTGTACGGCCGCTCCATCGTGTGCTCGTACAGGCGTGCCTGCAGCGCCTGCACACGCGCCGGGTCCTCAAAGTAGAAGGAATTCAGGGCGATAGTATCACCCATGAGCACACACGTCAGCGGCATAAACTGCATCGTCGATTCAGCGCAGAAGCCCATCAAGTTCTTGTAGAGGCGGTCCATGGCGGCGATGGCGGCAGGGTCAGCTCCGCTCTTGGCGAGCTTTGCTACCTCAGGTGCAGTCTTGCCAAAGTGCGGCGACGTCGATGACGTCTTCGTCCCGTCAAACTCATAAGCGTAGTTGAACTGCAGACCGTTGCCGTTCGTCGCCGACTCCCAGTGCGGGGCCACTGCCGGTGTAATCTCCGGCCGCTTGGAGGCCTGAAAGGTGGCAAGCGTCTGCGCGTATTCGCCCTCGCTGCCCGCGCACCACGCAATTGACGTCGAGCCGCCCTCGAGCGGGAGGACGACGTAGCTGTCGGAGACGCCCATGTAGTGGATGAGCGAGGAGCCGAGCCCCGTGCCAGGAGCCGCAATGAGGCAGCGGCCCTTTCCAAGCGTCGTACCCGGCGCCTTGCCATCCGACATGGCGTCCCACTGGCTCCCTTTCCACATCACCGTGAAGTACTTGGAGAGCAGACCGGTGTTACTGAGGGCCAGCACGCCGTAGCCACCGGCCTCGAGGTCGTTCAACAGGGCGCTGCGGCCCTTCGGAAACAGTTCTGCCGGGTAGTCCTCCACGTTGGCGATGCCTTTCAAGTTGTTGAAGGGGCCGGCGACTTTGCTGTTCGTCACCGGGCCTGGCACACTCACCGCTCCCGACGTGATGCGCGAGAAGAAGGCGGCGCCCCGGTTCGGCAGCTTCGTCTTGAGCTCGTGCAGCACCAGCTCGAAGAACTCCACCAGCTGCCGCACATCCTTCTTGGTGACCTTGAAGCGGACGTAGGTGACCTGCAAACCGCGGCCGCGCTTCGTTGACTGTGCGAAGCCGATGCGGGCGTTTGTGCCGCCGATGTCGCACACCGCGTAAATTGGGCCGGTAGACCACGACGCGGCGCCGAGGGTGGCGGCGAGCTCGCTAAGCTCGATCTCTTCTGTCTGCGCCATATGGGTAAGGAGTTTGAAAAGCCAGCGTGCCAAAAACAGAAAGGTCTATCAAGGAAGAAAAAAGAGGCAAGTTACTTCACAAGACTAGTTCCGTCGCTTTCTTTTCCTTTTGTGTTCCTTACATAAAATGGTGTGCGGATGCGTACAGGAGATCAGAGGAAGTTGCACCTTGTAATTCGGAAATCAATGCAGCACACCGAGTCCTAAAAGCCGGTGTGGCGTTACTGAAGTCTTACCACGCGCGCAAAAAAAAAAAACGAGTTCCGGTGTGTGTGGGAGAGGGGGGAGAGAGAGGAGAGGAAAACAGCGAAAATGCTATGAGGATTACAGTAGCCCATACTGATTTCCCCTGTGTGCTTGTGAACGATCACATACGCCAAGGTGGCATTCGTTGGCTCTGATGACGAGAGCTTCGCCGTAGGACAAAAACGCGCCTTTTTGTTTTCCTTTTGCCATTTAGCTTTCGTGCCGCCTTCTCTGATTTAGATCACTCATCTGCCACCCACGCATCTACGGCTCCTTCTTATTATTTTCTTAACAGTTTGTCTTTTTAAAAGAGAGGCTCCTCCGCCCGTCCTTGAGTGTGAACAGGAAACGACGACCCCCCTCCCCCTCCCTTCAAAAGAAAAAACAAGAACTCCATGCAACGTGCAGGACACCACAAATGCAGCAGACCGCGACATTTCCTTTTTTTTTCTCCCTTTTCGCCATCAACCAGAAAACGACGCACTCCAACCCTTCACCCGATCTTCATCCGAAAGCAAAATAAAAAAGTTCACTCCAAAAGCCACAAGCCGGATCAGACGGCACCGCCCCCCACCCGACGCACACACACGACAACGGCAGTACTCACAACAAGAACCACAGAGCAGGAAAAAAAAAACACACCGATACGCACACACCCAGAGACGTACGCATATGCACATCGACTACACCTTTTTGATACCCAGCGTCGGATTCGAGAAGCCCATCCGCTTCGTCGACGTCGACGAGTACAGGTTGTGAAACTTCTTCTTCATCCCCTTCGTCGACATCAACCCCGGCACCGTCGGGTTCTTGATGGAGCGCTCCACATCCGCGCTGTAGGACTGCCCGTTGCGGTGCGTCTCCATCGACAAGTTGTCCGCCGCGTAGAACTGGTCCTGCTGCTTGTGCTCGCTCGTCACGCCGCCGCCGCCGGAGCTCGCCGTGGTGCGCCGGCTCTTATGCAGCTCCTCCAGCCCTTTGAAGTACTGCCGAATGCGGTCCGTCTGCACCCAGTTGTACGCAAAGTGCTCCATCGTCTGCTTGGTGGAGTAGGTGGTGGGATCGTAGTTCTCCTGGTACGCCTTGGGCCGGAATCGCTGAGAGCGGAACCAGAAGGGGTTGCCGAAGCGAGGGTACAGCCCAATGCGGATCGCCTGCGCCTTCGCGATGCGCAGCCTCACCACCGCCTCGGGGTTCAGCGGCATGATATCCTGCGGGTACATGTGTCCAGTGCGGGTGAGGAAGCGCGAGATCGTGGCAGGGTTCTTGTAATTCAGCTTCATGTACACATCCGGCGCGGGCCGCTGAAAGCCTTGCGGGTCCTTGTCCTCCATGTCGAAGGGCTGCGCGTTGCGGAACTGTTGCAGCGCGATGTCGCCCACGGTGTCCCCCACGCGCCACCGGGTGAGGTTCGTGAAGAGGTGCTCATCGGGGAAGCGGTGGTAGTGCAGCTGCACCTGCTGACTGAAGAGCCAGCCCTCACGTCCACGCTTGCGGCCACGGTAGGCCGGCTTTTCGTGAGGAGTCGTGTGGAAGGGCTGGGCGTCCTCTTTGGTCAGCAAATGGATGTACTCGCTCCACGGCTGGCGGCAGACGGCGAACTGCGACAGCGCCGTCGCGTACACCGGGGCGTTGCGGGCCGCAACGGGAATGCGGTTCATGACCGAACAAGTGGTGAGCTGATTGGTAGCGGCATAAGAAGTAGAGATAGTTTGGGGAACAAGAAGAAAGAAAGAATGCAGATAGACACAGAACAGAAGAAAAAACCAGATGTGAGGACAACATTAATGGAGCAGCCGGAGGACATGGCGTCATTCGGTCGAAGGGGGAAAGGAAGAAAGACTATGCTATTCAGATTGAGCGATGAGTTGTCTGATGATGATCGCAGCAGCGGAGAGGCAGGATGGAGTCGTTTTCTAACTGTGCTGTTTACCGAGTGTTTATCGACTGTATGGAAGCAGTTTGACACAGAGCATGTGTACAGATGTACACAGCTACAAAGCAAAAAAAAACTTGCTGGCTCTATTGATTTTTTTTTTGTTGGGTTGACACGGCGGTTGACAGCGCCTTCTGCCTGTTCGATGGTATTCTCTCTCTCACGCTGCGGCTGCGTTGTCGTCCGACCTCTCCGCCTCCGCCGCGCTGGTGTCGTGTTCAGAGCCGTCCTTTTCCTCTCGAGGAAGTCCTTTCACGGGCAAAGCTGCGTTTGTATGTTTTGTGTCAATCAGAGGCGCAGCACTCCGCTGGGCTTCTTCGTGAGCACTTGCCAGAACCTGCCCTATCGCGGCTACTTCAGCGCTACGCTGTTCGTCGCCCAAGGTCATTGACGTCCTCGTGTCGTCAGCGTCTGCAGCGCTCGGCTCTCCCACGGTCGCGATTGCCTCCTCCAGCAGTCTCCCAGACAAAGCTGCTCTGTGCTGCGCCTCCACCAGCAACGCTGTCCCGCGCTCCACCTCCTGCACGCGTTCCAGGAGCAGCTGATTTTGTCGCATTGTGGCGATCTGCAATCGACGGACTTCGCGGCTGCGTCGGCGCTCCTCGGCGTCGTCGAGCTGACGCAGCAGCTGCGGCTCCGTGGACCGGCTCGTGACGAAGGGGACGCTGTCACTGTAGGTGCGCATGCAATGGTGTGCGAACTGCAAGAGCCACAGTGACAGTCCCAGCACCACACCGCCGACGAGGTGCCAGAAATACATCACCTGCAGATGCTGGGCGATTTGCTTGATCAAGTGAGGCACGTAGGCGATGACCTGCGGTACACGCGCGGCGGCGAGGAGGTCAGAGGCCACCAACGAGCGCGGTGCCGCAGCGGCAACCCAATGCGTCATTCGTCGGGGCGAAAGAAAAGGAAAATCAGACGCCCAGGACCAGGTCTGCCGGAGCGGCGCAGTTACCGCCTCCCACATTTTGCACAGCACCAGTCCTGTCCACACGTCCACTGTCAGCAGCATTGCGATCAGCAGAGCAGCCATGCACGTGCACACACACGCGGCATAAAACTGATGCTGATTGGCGCGTCGACGCAACGCGCCCGTCATCTGGCCCAGCAGCACATCACGCCCTATCGCCTCCTGCGAGTGCTGCAGTCCTCCTCGCAGACGTGCTGCTTTCGAGAGAACCCGTAAGCCAGGTATCGTCCACGAAAGCAACGTGAAGATCACGTACCACAAGCCGGCCAGTATGCACACGGAGCAAAGCACTGAAAGCTGCATGGAGAGAACAGCGGCGGCCGTCGTGTCGGCATGCGAATAGGGAGACAGCTTGGAGGTGTCCGCGATCTGTCGCGATGGGGGGCCGTGGGCGTGCGTGTGAACGGCGGTGAGGACCTCCAAGGTGTAATTCAGCTTTGCCGACTGCTCTGCGCAGGTGAGACGTGCGTCGGCCTGCTGCAGCCAGTTCGAGATGGCGATGAGGAAGGCTTCGACATCGTTGGAGGACGGGGGAGTCGCCACTTCAGAGGAGGTACTTAGGGGAGACGTGTGGGACATGAGGAAGGTGAAAGAATGCTGTGACGAGCAGTTTGGTGCTGTTGTGCTTTCGAGCCCTGTATCTTCTTTCTTCGTCAACCGAAGGTATGCAGTTGCATCTGCAGCCGCGACGTGAGTAGGTAAAATGGATGGACGTTGACGCCGGTAAATGCACAAGCGAAAGTATGGTACAGAAGCCGAGTGGAGTACAGAAAGAGAGGCGCGTGAGAGAGAGAGCGAGAAAGAGAGACGATTGAAATGCATGCTCCACAGACCCACAACTGCTTGTGAGAAACAGAAGAGCGCAAACGACTGCGCTTCGCTCCAAAGCACGGTCAGACTTCCTCGTTCTGTCCACACAGGAGCAGCAGCCGCAAAAAAAAAAAGACACGAAAGGAGAAGAGTAGAGCCGATGGCGTACGACTCATAAGGAAAAACAACAGCCCCGTCTCCAAGAAAAGTCAGGAGTGATCCTCCCTTCAAACGCAGCAGTCCTACTCCATCCATAATCTGCTGTTGCTTGTACCGCAGCCGTGCCATGTGTACTTTTTGCGGAGTCTGCGAGCGACACTCCATGGTGGACGATGAATGCTGCCTTCTCTCTGTGTGTGTTTTCCTTAAAGTTGATATCAAAAGAGTTTTCTTTTTCTTTCATTGTGGCGGCTGACACTGTCCCTGTGTTTAAAAAACAGCGTATCAGCACGCCGACACATAGGAGTCCAAGAAAAAACGACAACAAACGTCGCTCCCTGGTTCTCTCGTTTCCCGGTCGTCTTCATTTTTATCCCCAACCAAGAAAAACGAAGGAGACCGGGAAAAAAAAACCAAAAACCTGACGTTGCAGCCGTTGTATCATTGTAAGCTCTTGGTGCACTGCACCGGCGTCATTTTTCTTTTCCTTTTGAGTTGGTCTGCGTAAACCAAGAAGAGCGAAGGAGAAGAGAAGAAAAAAACAAGGGAAAGAAGAGTCCTCAAAGTATCTCGTTGGGCTTTAATAACTGCTATGCTTGTCTTTGTTCTCCACCGCTGACGTTGCCATCTCTTTGACCTACGTCCTCAGGAAGGACGAGAAAACAAAAAAGCACAGTCAAATATTATAATAATAAAGAAAAAAGAAAAGCTGCTGTTTCAGAAAGAGAGTTCTTCTTCTTTTTTATTAGCTTCTGAATCGAAGCGAGAAAAAGTCTAGCGCAAGGAGACAGCGAAGAATAAGCAAGGAGACGGCATACACGCAGCGCAGAAACACTCACGCCGCACGCAAGCGCACAAGGGTAGCCGTCCCGATGAGTATAAACTACTACTGTTTTGGAAAGACGAGGAAAACAAACCACCACTAACAACAACAACAACAAAAAGAATGAGCTCCTGCGTGTTATGCTTGAGATCGGATATAGAAACCTATCAAAAATATTTACTTAAAAGAACGTAGAAAAGAAGCGGAAAAGGAAGAGAACAATATCTTTGAGATGATATCATATGCGCAGTGAAAAGGTATAACTGTGCCAAGAAACCGTGTGAGCCCTATCAGGAACAAGAGAGAGATGGGTACACCGATTGAAGTAAAAAAAAGGGATTAAAAAAAAACCCACACTATTTAAAAAAAAAAGAGAAGAAGCCAAACAACAAAAAAAGGCAAACAGAAAAGAATAGATAATCAGCGCCACACACAACGATCCTGGCTCACCATGATCACACTCTGCATGGGGCGTTGTGGTTCGGCAGATGGAGCGGACACAACTGTAGCCATTTCCTATTTCTTTTTTTGTTCTCCTCCTTCCATCTTTCCTGCCTCACGTTTACCTTCCAACGTGAGACGACGAGAGAATATAGAAGTAAAGGTGAGGCGTTATAATACGAAACAATTTATTGATGGGGAAAGAAGGCAGAATAATAATAATAATAATAATAAAGAAAATCGTTAGTGTCCAGAAACGAAATACTGACGATACTGGTTTGAAAACCACTTTTCATGGAGAAGCACCCGCGTATGCAGAGAGGAGGGAGGAGTGCCGATTTTTCTTCTTAAAAACAATAATAAAACAACAACTGTGTGAGAGAAACTGAAACGGGAATAACACTGAAAAAAAGAAACGTGAAGAGAAGAGAAGTCGTCGGAGTGAGGTTTCGAGAAAGAGAGAAGAAAAAAAAAACGTAAACCAAAAGCGACCGGAGAGGGAAAAGAATTGATGGAACAAGAGCAAAAAAGAATAATGCGAGAGGTGATTTTGGGGGAGTAAGCTTGAAACGGAACCACACGAAGGATGCGACGAGCATAGGAAACAGAGGTGTCTGCTACACTTCACGTCACTTAACCCCGTTAACAACACCAAAAGGACAACATATGCACGAGAAACCACGAATTACATGTGTGTCCTCTCATCCTCAAAGTGCGCGAAAGGCCAAAACGAAGAAAAAAAGGTGGAGTCGGCTTCGTTGTTATTGTTGTTGTCGATACACGCTGGTGAGAGCAACAAGGCACGCACGAGCGTGACAGAGGCCTGGCGGACGAAACGCAATGATTACTATTACGGAATTAAACTGTCTGTAGAGAAAAAAGAGAAATTTGAACGGTACGGCTAAACAGAAACCGAGGGAGGGGGGAAATCGACGCAGAAAGAAAGAAAGAAAGAAAGGGGGAAAAGGGAGAAAAAAAACACCGTTCTCGTTATAGCAAACCAACCTGCAATCCAGAAGAAGGACATGCTGTTTGCCGTTGTTGGGGTCACGCGTTACATTGCCGATGTTTGCACGACACTAAAAACTCAAGAGCAAAAAGTGGTGCAAATATAGTCGTGAGAGAGACCATAAGAAAAGAGAGGAACGTAAAGGAGAAGAGTAGGTTGGAGTCCTGGAAAAAAGGGAGGCGGAAAGACAATGAACAAGCATGGGGTGCACTTCAACAACTACGGCGCGTTTCGAGTGAAGCACAAAACAAAAAAAAAGGAAAAAGAAAAACAAAAGAAAAAGGGATGTGGGGAAAATAATCATTGTGAAAAAAAAAAGCTGAAAAAAGGGAAACGAAAACCTGAATGTTGAAATGCCGACGTAAACCAACACCATGACAACGAAGATGAGGGAAGAAGGAACGAACAAACAAAAATAAGCAAGAGATCAAAAGGAGAAGTAGAAGAAGCGGGAACAAGATTTTTCTTTCTTTCGTCCGGAGTTGGTCAAGCGAAAAAAAAAATGGCGAAATATATAAAGAGAGAGTGTGTGTAACACGATGAGGGACAAACACACAAACACGAAAACAAAGAAAGCACACGCCTGCGCATACCGTATTGCGTTGCATCGACATGGTTATTCAACACCGTCGTACATTAGCGTACCACAGTTGAGACGCTGAAGATAGGAGAAAAAAGAGTCAATTTCGAAAGAGAGAGAGTAGCATATAAAAATTTTTAAAAAAGGGAGGAGAGGGGAATGCATGTAGCACAACCTTTTAATCAAACTTCTTCTCGGTTTTTTGGTGCCTCTACATCCCTTTACGATCTCGCATGGCGCAAAACAACGACAACAGCCACGCCCGCAGCTCTCGTTGGTCTTCGCTCTTCCTTTCGCCTTTTCTCTCGCTCACAACTCCACACGCGTTATTTGACCGGCGGTAGGTGTCGCTGCTCCGCTAGAGGCGCCGCTGCTTCACCTGCTGCCCCGTGAAGCCCGCCGCGACCCCACCCGGTGCGACGTGCGAGCGCCGACGCAGCGCCGCACTGATGCTGTAAAACATCGACCCCTTCTCCTCCGCCGTCATCTTCGTGGAGCATTCCGAGGTGCGACGCAGTTCATTCAACAGCTCACGCAGGTACTCGTTCTCCGTGAAGAGCGCATGCGCGGAGGGGCGATGGTCCGGGTTCTGACTCAGAAGCTGAACACACACGCCACGCAGCGCCTGCGAGTACGTAGGCGGCAAAGGGGCGTACTCGGCCTCGTGGACTTTGCGGCGCAGGTCGTTGCGATTGGACGCAACGAAGGGTCCCACAAGCGCCATCAGCTCGTACAAGATCACGCCCAGTGCCCACATCTCACTCTCCAAGGAATAGCGTTCCCCACGCAGCGCCTCCGGACTCAAGTAGTAGGGCGTGCCGCAGCCAGTGGCGGCCACGCGGTCGCACACCGGCTCCGGGTACTTGCGCGCAAACCCGAAGTCGCCGAGCTTGACGACGCCCGTGCTGCTGAGCATCACGTTCTCCGGCTTCAGGTCGTGGTGGAGGATGTTGCGCTGGTGCAGGTGATCGACAGCCATGCAGAGCTGCAGAAAAATGAAGGCGACCTCCGTCTCGCTGAAGTGGTGGGCAATGGCACGGCGGCGGCGAATCTCGTGGCGGAGGTCGCCGCAGTCGACGTACTCCATCAGCAGCAGGTCCTCGCCGTGCTCGCCCTTCTCGACGCCCTCGAGACGCACGATAAACGGCGAGCTGCACTCCAGCATGCACGCCACTTCGTTGCTGATGTGCGTTGAGGGTGGTGTGGGAGGGGAGCTGACGGCACTGATGGGGCCGCCTGTAAGGGGAGACACGACGTCAGCAGCAGCGGAAGCAGCATCGAGGCCCGCGCGTCTCACATACTGTCTCGTGAGTTGCTGTTGCTGCTGTCCCCGTGTGCGTGTGTGACGAACAGAGGCGCTCCAGTTCGGGTCATAAGTTGCTCTAACCGCCAGCAGACGGCGCTGCACACAGTTCTCGACGAGGAAGACGCGCCCGTACTTGCCACGGCCCAGCTCACCGCGCAGTGCGTAGGTGGGCCCGGTGGAGGCGCCGCTGATGAAGAGCTTCATTCTGTCCTTGATGGCGGATTCGACCTCGTTGGCGGTGGGACGGCTGATCGCTGCTGCTGCTGCTGACGCCTTCACTTCGACGGGAGAGGCCACGGTTGCTGTAGTGGGGGCAGCGGCCAGACCGCCGTGGTGCAGAGAGACCGCAGCGGCAGCTGCTATGGAAGGAGGGAGTAAAAACCGGGTCAGCTTCTCGCTGCTTCGCTGAGTTGGCGGCTTTGGACGTGGCTGAGAAAGGGTGCGAGCGGCATCGTCGTTGAGGCACGGCGCATCTCCAGCCGCGTCATCGCAGTTCATGAAGTATTCCGACGGAAGGGCAACGATAGCGGTCCGCATTTGTTCTCGCTCCGTTTTGCGTCGTTGTATGTGTATCGCCTCACAGGCGCCAAAGCCGCCGCCGAACGCTGTCCGAAGGAAGAAGAAAAAAGATATCTATATATATCGCGAAGCGGTAGATTCGGTGTGTGGACCGCGAAATCAGGAAGCACAAGAAAAGCACGACTGCAATTTAGAAAAATAAGAAAAGAAAACAAAAACAATGGGGAACTTTTGCTTTTAGGGGCCTGAACAAGAACAAAAATACAAACAAAACGAGAAGGGAAGGGTGGAAGGACAAGAGGGGGGGGGGACGGATAAGGGAGGATAGAAATCAGAACAAACAAGCAAGTGAAAAATACGTAAAAGTAATAAAAGCCCACCAGAACAACAAGAGAAAAAAGAAATGCGAGAGAACCGAATTAAGAGAAAATGTAAAACTTTGGGGAAAAAGCAGACACAAATACACTCAGATGTGCAGGAGCACGAAAACAGATTATTCGTGGAAAAAAAAGACGCGTTTAGGTTTATGTTGTTTTTCCGACCACTAAGTTGGTTTCAGCACTAGTAAAAACGTAAGAGTGATCTGATGGTGTATCACTCATTAAAATACTTCTTTTTTTTATTTTTATAGAGAGACCTTCCGAAGAAAAGAGCAGAGAGATAAAGAAGAAGAAAAATGAAAATAGCTAATGCTGAGAAGCCATCGCAGTTTTATCCTTTCACAGGTGAGACTGAGAAACAACGTGCGGCAACTTTAATTGAAACAATTGAGTAGAAAAACCAGGAAAAAGAGGGAAAGAAGCGCAAGAGCAGCCTCCAATCAGTTGAGGTGATACAACGTCCGTGAATCAAGCTGCAAGAAAAAGAACTGTATTTGTATTTCAACAACAAAGAAAAAGAGATGTAGCTACCAGCGATATATCGCGCAGAAGAAGCATATACCGATATATATGTAGGGTATTCCGCAATCCGACCTTTCTCAAAAAAAAAGGTTTAGGGAACGCAACACACAACGAAGAAAAAGGCAAGAAGCTGAGGAGGCGGAATATCATAACAGCAATAATAGCACTAAAACAGCCGTCCAACCTTTCCAGTTTCTTCGCCTCGAAACCAACGCTGCAGTCCAAGAGGGCAAACACAAATAGTAATAATAGCGAGAGGTATAGCAAAATCACAGCGTGTCCCGGGAGGGGGTGGGAGTGGGGGGGGGGGGGTGGGTAAGAGAGGGGAAGGCGAGACAGATATATATATACACGAAAGCGAGGTGGATGAAGAGCGGAAGCGCGGCCGCCACCGTTGTGGAGCACCAGCGGCGCTTTGACACTGAGACGTTTTCCAAAATGAAAAGAGGCAAAAGCACAAAAAAAGAAAAGGGAAACAATATGAAGGCGCTGTTAGGAAATAAAAATTATTCTTCGAAGCACGAGGCGGGGAAAAAAATAGGACGTTAGAAAACCCCCTCCTCGAGCCGCAGTTGCGTCAGCGAATAACATGTGCCACTTTATCAAAACCGGCTTCTTCCTTTTCTTCGCCGTACACTTGCGTGAATAGTTCAAAAACTGCCTGCGAGAAGGACACGCGTGCGTTATGGCAGTAACAGCGTCTAGAACCTTTGAATGAGTTTGTTTGTTTGTTTGTTTGTTTTTTTGCGTAAAAATTGTGTCAATTCAAGCGCTGTGAACCGTGAAGTACACCGCACCTGCGCTGCTGAGTTTCCGAATCTCTGGTGTTTCAGGGAAGTGAAATACGGTAGTCTCTCAAAATAATAATAATAATAATAATCAAGAGATACTCGCAGTGAATAATACGAGAGAGACAGGTATTGCAGCACACTGTCGTACCACACCGGAGTTGAGAAGCAAAAAAAAAAAAATGCGTATCCACGCTGCGCACTCAAATGGAAGAAAGCAGAAGAGGCGGTATAAATATATATAAATATATATACAACTATCGGGGGGCGGGGGGTGGAACGGAAGATCGAAAAGGCAGAAGGAAAGATCAGAAACTGTGCGCGGCGAAATTCGTTTTCTCCGGATTCTTTTTCTTTTCGGCTTCCCTTCGCAGAAGTACTGGGAATCAAAAAAGAAGCAACGGCAGAGATCAACCACGGCAATTCGCTCCTATGCGTGCCACGGAACGAAGATACAAAGATTTAAGTAGGGAAGAGAAAAAAGGGAGAAATAGGGGGAGAGCTGCCTAAAAAAGCGCAATATAGATATAATAATAATAATAAAGCGATTATGTCGGTTGAAAAAGTGGGAAAGTGTACTCTTTGGTTACTCTGAGAGGTCCGACCTTGTGACCGATGCGGGACGACAGAGAGTAGGTGGCAGCAACTGCAGTACATACGCGCATATGCACACACACACACACAGACACACATGAATTCGCGGTGGACAGGAATAGAAAGCGAGGAAGCGCGTTGGTGTGCAAAGGCAAAAGGCAGTTCAAAGAGAAGAGAATTGTGAAAGCGAACGTGAAGAAGAGGGGTAAAGTCGAGCCCGCTTTACAAATACAAATGAGGCACCAGTAGAGTGCCTATCCTTTCTTTACTTTCCCTTCTTTCAGTTTCATGGAAGTATTGCTGCGGCGACAAGTATGTCGGGAATGTTGAAACGAAGCTGCGCGCTCAACGCGGAAGAAGCCTTTGCTTTTCTCCGTTTCGAAGATTGATAAAGCGTAAATGGGAAAATCATCAAGAGCCGAAAACACCAACGTGAGAGAGATGGTACGTTGAGGCAACACATCGTGCCCAAGTGAAGCAGGCAGTGTACATCCTTACAAAAAAAAAAATGACTTTCTTCAAGATAAAGCGAATCAAACGTACGCAAAGAGAAGACAAGAATTTTTTCTTACGTTGTGCATAGAATCAGCCCTCCGAGCTGTCTGCCGCTTACGTCGAGGTTGCTGCTGTTGTGGCTGCGACGGAGAAATCGTGTGGCGTTGCCTCGGTGCCAACCTCCGTCGCGGGATGCAAAAACAGTGACTCCCCTGCCCCATCCACGGAGGGCGACTCTGACGGCCCCGTCTTCACGCCACCCACCGCCGGAGCAGAATTCGGCAGCGCACTCTCCAGCATGCGCACTACTCCTGGAATCGACGACGCCTGCTCGTGGCGCTGCGCGCTCGAGAGGCTGCTCCAGACACCGCGGAACACGCGAAACTTGTGTTCCGCCTCTGCCGTCGCGCCGGCCTTCAGCAACGTCATGGCGTAGTTCAAGTAAACGAGAAAGTCGTCCTGCATTGTCAGGGCGTGATCATAGGCACGGCAGGCATTGGGCAGGTCCTTCATCTCCCCCAGGCATATCCCCAGCAGCATGTACGCCGGCGCGTACGCGTCGTGTAAGCTGATTGCAGCGTTCAGGCATTGCAGCGCGGAGCAGTAGCGTCCCATCGTCATGAACACCACGCCGAGGTTGTAGTGACTGATCCAGTCGAAGGGGCACAGGAAAACGGACCTCCGCAGGCACGCCACCGCCGCGTAGAGGTTCCGCTTCCCAATAAAGCACGCCCCAATGTTGTTCCACACCTGCGAGGAGTCCGGCTGCTGGTTCACCACAATGCGGTACTTCGTCAGCGCCACGTCGTAGTCCCCGCTGTCCTGAATGATGCTGGAAGCTGCGACCAAAGCGTCGACGTGGGTGGGACTCAGCGTCAGACAACGACCAAGGTAATCGAAGGCGGCGGCAGGGTTGCCTTGCTGCAGATACAGCGTGCCCAGCATGGCCAACAAGTCCGGGTTGGTCGGGGAGACGGTGACGGCCTCAATGTACACGTCCATCGCGGTCGCGTAGTTCTTGGCGAGCAGGGCGGCCTTGCCGAGCTGCACATACGCACAGTCATGCCGCTGAATCGCGATGGACTGCAGAAACGAGTCAATCGCCTTGTCATAGCGTCGGCGGTACATATGGCAGAGGCCGATGTGATAGTCGACTTCCCAGTCCTCGCCCAGCCCTTTGGCGACGCGAATACTCGCGGCCTCTTGGAAGGACTGGATGGCTTCCTCGTGTCGACCTAAAAGATGAAGGGCGCGCCCCAGCTGGGTGCGGCTGGCTGCGTTCTCTGGGCTGATGAGCACCGCTGTTTGCAGCAGCCCGAGCGACTCCGTCAGCGCCCCTTCCATCCGCTTCAGCAGACCTTTTACGTAGAGGGCGTATTCGCAGGTGCCCTCCGTCTCGCGCAGCTCGGCCTCGATCACCTGCATGCAGTTGCTGTACTCTTGTCGCACGTACAAGATGTGAATGAGCCAATTGCGACGCTCACGAATAGCCTGCAGCTGCTGCGCGAGTTCCTGCTGTGGTGTGGGGGATGCGGTACCGTTGAGGTTGTGGCCGCTGCCCGTCACGGTGAGACCGCCGTTGCGGCTCATCGGCGACACCGGCAACGTGCCAGAGGACGTGATGGTCTGCATTAACAAGAAGCAGTCTCCTTTTTCCGTTTTTTTTTTAAGGGTATTTGCGCTTCTACGTGAATGCAACGAAGAAAACAAGAAAAGATGACGAATACAATGAAGAGGGGCAACTGTGTTTCCTTGTTCTGCCCACCTTTTGAGGAGTGAATAACGGTGCAAACGTCTGTGCTTAAGCGAAGCAGCTCGCAAGCACCTTTTCTTCACACGCAACAGAGCGCGCAGGAGTAACACAAACGATAATACAAGCACACACACACACACACACACACACACCAACACACACGCGACAGAAATAATGCGGTGGGGAGATTGAAGTAGTTCAGCGGCGGTTTTGTACTTGAAAACCTCCTTATCATAAATACTTTTTTCCTGGTTGACGTGAGGTTATGCAAGAGCGCGACGGTCGAATCGCTTCAACGCGGAAGAAAGCAGCGACCATGAAGGTCGGAGGAGCAGAAAGGGTAAGGTGGAAGACACATGCAGAGCTATAAGTGGGGAAGATAGGTGGTGGTTCTTTTTCTTCTTTTCTACTGCGACGGTGATGATGAGGAAAGCCGTTGGTTGAAATTGCAGCATTCCCAGCTAAGCCTGTAAACACCGGTCGCGGCAAGCGGAGCACGACATGTAGAAAACTGTTCCTTGAAGAAAAAAGAAAGAAAAAAGGTTGGAATGAGAGGCGAAAAATGTCGCACTCTATCAAGCGTCAGGGGAGGGGTGGGGACGGAGGGAGGAAAGAGGCCCCTCCTCCGACTCCTCTGTTATATATATATTGAAATACTTTTTAGTAGATAGAATTATTGATTTTCGATTTTGTTGTCATCATCGTTAATTAATCGCTTTCTTTTACGACCAAATCGGTACGCCCTGTCATGCCGTGACGTCGGGCAAAACAATCTATGGAGAGCTCAACCAGTCAATAATAAATATTGATAGGAATAATGGCACTGAAAGCCAAGGAAAAGCAGGCCAGCGGGTGCCGCAAAGGACACACACAAGACACGCAAGACACACTTAGAGGCTTGCTCACGTAATCAACCTTCACAGCAACAAAAAGGAAGGAAGTAGAAGGAGAGAGAGAGAGGAAAGAATCACGCCAAAGAAAACCACAGATGCTGCTTTTGCGTTGTTGTTGTTTTTGAGCCTCTCACCAATGTTGCAGGTTTTATCGTTAAAAGAAAGAAAAAGAGATACAGCATTGAACCACGTAAAAACAAACAAGAAAGAAAGAACGGCCTACTTCTCCTTGCAGTACAACTAATGCGCAAACAACCGCTCTGCCAACTTGCAAAGAGCAGGCAACACACATTAGCCAAGAAAACAGCCCGGTTTCCATCTACAAGGAGCTCGTCATGGCCAGCACTTCCTCCACGACAATCTTCCTCACCCGTTCGTAACACAGCTGAAGGTTGTCATTCACAATGTAGTAGTCAAAAAAGTTTTCATTTTTCTGCGCCCACTGCATCCACTGCATGTTGAGCTCCATGCGCATGCGAAAGGACTCCTCCGTCTCGCTGTTGCGCTCGCGCAGCCGTTCCTCCAGCACCTGCATGCTGGGAGGCGCAATGAAGATCACCATGCACCGCATCAGCCGATTGGCGTTCGGCATCGACAAGGCGGGCGGTACGGCAGGGAGCGCCGTGTAGTGCTTCAGCTGCACCGCGGACACGTCGAGCCGCGGCACCCGCCACACCACGTCCGGCCGGTCTGCGGTGATGGTCGCCGGCAGCACCTCCACGTACCTCCTGTTCACTGCCACAGGAGGAGCAGCAACTGGAGCAGAAGCAGCTGTTGTGGTGGTCGCCTTCGTAGCTTGCGTCTTTGCGCGCGACGTCATGACAGGTCTGGCGTCAACAACGACGTGAGCGCAGTAGCGCCGCATGTGAATGGCCCCCAGCAGGTCCGTGTCCATCAACACGACTTTATTATTGCTGAGCACTGTGTGCAGCGCCTTCTTGCTGGTCCCGTACACGTTGCCCACACTCTTGCTTCCCGCTGTCTCTTGTGAGGGAGAGGAAGAGGCGGGGGAGGACAGCCGGGAGTACTCAATCATCGCACCGGCGTTGACGAGGGCCTTGAAATCTTCGAGCGACACAAAGTGGTAGTGCGTCCCATCGACCTCGCCGTTGCGTGGCGCACGCGTGGTGTGGCTGACGCTAAACTCGAACAAGTCCGGCCACTCCTGCTGCAGCTGCGTAATAATGGTCGTCTTCCCGCAGCCGCTGGGGCCGACGAAGAGAAGAACATCCACCAAACGCTTCATCGTGACGGTGCCGTTGCGCACCGCAGCACCGGACTTGCTGCTAGGAGGGCTCATCTTACTTGGTGTTCTCGGATGCTGCACAATCAGAGCAACCGTTCTGCGTCGACTCTTTCCCTCTCTTCTCCTCTTGGGCGTGAACCCACTACTTTTGAAGAAGAAAAGTGGAGCAATATGAAGAATACTAGCAGCAGATGAGGAAACCAAAACGAACGCAGCAGAGAGGCCTCACAAGAAATACTAACGTTGATGAGAACACCAAAAAACAACAACAACTAAGAGACGCAAGAGATAGCAGAAAAGAATCCTTGCATTTACACTCCACGCGTACCTCAAAGAGATATCGGAGAGCCTCCACAACACAGTCGCTCCTTTCAAGTGTTGTACTCGTCGTCGCCGGCTTTCTCAAACACAAAAGGCGGTCCTTTTTTTGCTTTCTCTTTTCCACCCGCGCGGTGGAAGGAGCGAGAGAAGGCGGCAACAACAAAGCCAACTTGGAAGCGTACGAGCAATGCAGCTGCGCCTCGCAGAAGAAATCAGCAGCGCAGGAAGCAGGAACAAGCCTTTTTACAGGAAGAAAAAAAAAACAAGAAGAAAGAGAAGAGATAGTTCAATGCAGAGAAATACTTCAAAACTAATATTTAAAAAAAACGTGAAGAGAGCGGTGGTAAACGCTGTCCAAAACCTAAAGAAGCGGGGAATGGGAGAGGGAGCAAAAAAAATCTGAAAGATGTAAGGTGTGAAATAAGAATAGTAACAAGTGCGTCAGCAAAACAAAAAACCACAGCAATAACAAGCGTACAAATGAAAGAAGAGTAAATTGGTGTTGGACGAAACAGTGTTTCGGGTTAATAGAATTAAATATATAAGTGTTTTTTCTTTCTTTTGAAGTTTAAAAAAGCACCAATTCTGAAGTGAATCCGCAGTGCCTTCCGTGCTGCTTAATTAAGTAAACAAGTATGTATCCTTATTCGCGTCTTTGCAATGAAGAGAGGGGAGATATTTTCTTTTTTGATGGAAAGAAGATTAACGACGTTTTTTTTAAATATAAATGGCTCTTCGGTTCTCGAAACAGAAAGCGTAGAAACGGAAAGAAAAGAAAAAGGTGTTGAGTGCGGCTTAAAGTGAGAAGGGTGTCACGTATTACATCGTCCGTGGAAAACAGAACAGCAGCGCGTTCTTTCTCGCTGAGCGCCTTTCAAAGTGGCATCAACGTCCTTCCGTTACGATCAACACGAATGGGGGGAGGGGGTGTGATTCGGAGCGAAGGTGCGCCACTAACACAACGGCGAAGCTCTTTTTGTTTTTTCGCTACTTCGTTCTCCTGTTCATGCGCGGATCCGTGTGCACCTCCTTTGGCAGATATCATTAAAACAACATCCACTGCTGATTTCTCGGGATCAAAGCGGGAACACAGCTTTCCTTTGTCTCTGTCTCTTTCCCTTATCTTTGTCGTAATGTAACTGTGCCTTTGAAACAGTTAAACCACCAACACATTCACACAAATCTTATACAATCCCCAAATACAAGCAAAGCATGCGCACTTCAATAGGAGATGGCCTTAAACGAAGCACTCGAGTCACGCGCAAAACCCGCCGATTCACGCTGGATTCAGCCTTCGCTTTCCCTCCTGTGCGTGAGATACGACGACAGGAGACGAACGGACAGAGGAAGCGAACTGACGCGTAAGCCCATCAGTGCGAGTCCGTGTCATTGCCGCCGATCACAGCTAAAGGAAACAAAACCGACAGTTTCCCATTACATAGCGACAAAGAAACGAGAAGAAATGCATCCCTAGGAGAGAGAGAGAACGCGAATGCCCATCCTGCCTCACTTTCACACGCACGCCTACACACATACATGCCTGCGAAACGCGCTACAGATCGCGAAGAGCCGCTTATTCGAAATTGCGTATTACGCTTCCGTTCGCGAAAGCAGAAGAAAAACGAAATGTGGACTCAATCGCCTTCAACTACAAAAGGAAAACATGCACCTCCTCCATCGGCATTCTCCGCTTTTCCCTGTTTACACCTTCTTCACGACCTGCACGACGTCCTCGTCATCCAACAGATGGTCCTTGCCAACACGCTGCGGCTGGTGCTTCACCGACGAGCCCCACACCCACGCGTACTTGTAGCTTAGCATCAGCTGGCGGTGAAGGCGATTGCAGAACTTCTCCACCGACGGCTGTGGCACCCGCTTCAGAATCACCGGCTCGTCGTAGTCCGGCACCTGACCCTTCGGCTTCGTGTACACGCGAATGAAGTTCAGGTGGTCCCAGATACACTCGAGCAAGCCGTCCAGGTTCCACTCGTGGTGCGCCGAGATGGGGCAGTTGTGCGGGATGCGCGCGATGATGTCGAGCTCCTCGATGGAAATCTGATCGATCTTGTTCAGCACATAGATGGCCGGAATGTACGCGCGGTTGCCCTCAATTGCGTCGATGAATTCATCCGCCGAATAATCGCCGCGGAAGGTGACGTCTGCGTTGGACATGCGGTACTCTCCTAAAATCGTCTTGATCGTCTCGTTATCCAGCTGCGTTAGGGGGCAGGTGGAGGAGATGCTGATGCCGCCGCGGTCCTTCTTGCGAATCACAATATCCGGCGGCGACTGGTTCAGCCGAATGCCGAAGCCATCCAGCTCCCGCTCGATGATAAGCTTGTGCTGCAGTGGCTTCGCCACGTCCAGCACGATGAGGATTAGCGAGCACGTCCGCGCCACCGCAATAACCTGGCGACCGCGACCTTTACCATCCTTCGCACCTTCGATAATACCGGGCAGGTCCAGCATCTGCAGCTTCGCACCACGGTAGTTAACCACACCCGGCACGCAGGTCAGAGTCGTGAACTCGTACGCCGCCACCTCCGAGTACGTCGACGTCATCTTGGACAGAAGGGTGGACTTGCCGACAGACGGGAAGCCGATGAAACCGATGCGGGCGTCGCCGGTCTTCTGGACATCGAAGCCCTCACCCTTACCGCCGCCCTTCTTCGAATCCGAGGCAATCAACTCGCGCTTCAGCTGAGCAAGGCGCGCCTTCAGAGCGCAGATATGCGCCATGGTGGCCTTGTTCTTCTGCGTGCGTGCGAGCTCCGCCTCGATGTCGTTGATCTTCTGCAAAGACGACATTGCTGAGAAATTCCAAAAGTGAGGGCTTAAGAGAAAAGAAAAAATGAACAAAAACGCGCGTACCGGCTAATTAGTTAAGACGCAGCAGAATGCCTTATCGGCCTTTTCTTTTCCTTCTTCTTCAAAACACGACTGCAGGATCTACACGGTAGAACCGGGAAGGAACGTTGCTCTTTTTGGGTGTATATAGGCGCGCAGAAACGGTAGCGTGAAGTGGCTCAAGGGAAAGTAAACCAGCGTGCCTTTGCTGTCTTCCGTGCGGAGTCGGACGCTGAGAGGAAGTTTACACACACACACACACAGACGTTTTGATAAAAAGGAGCTGCTCCTTGTTTACTTGATCTCTGAGCGGAGCAAACATATATACATAAGAGTTTCAAAGGAGCAGGAAAATGTAGTAGAGAGAGCGCGATGGTGGATGCGCGAATGAGGGAGTACCCCTAAAGCGGCCGTTACGGAGTAAACACAACGTTTGAAACATTTTCCTGCCATTCACTTAAATCAGAAGGTTAGACCGCTGTGTGTTACCGGTTTGAGTTCTTTGTTTCTGTTTCTGTCTTGAACGAGCATGGGGGAAAAAAACTCTCACCCTTCGCCTAACAACAAAAATTGCGCATGCTCTCACGTCTGCCCTATCGGCACACACACCTACACACTTCATCCTCCACGCTGATTTCTCTCGTTGCACCTGGCAATCGCCTCATCACGATTAATCACGTCTGACTCGCCATTACCTCACCCAAAGAGTCAAGCCGACGAACCATGGCGGACAGATAGGTAAAACGGCTCATGCGCTGACGTTGCGCGCTTTGCAGCTCCTTCGCCGCCGCTGCCGACTCTGCGGCTACCGTGGTTGCGCTATTATTGTTGCTGTCTGTTGTCGTCAACATCTCCTGCGCAGCCAAATCTTCCTCGGCGATGATGTCACTCAGGGCATCGCGCAACGACATTGTGAGCGACGCAAAACGACGGAGACGGCGTGCGACGACATCCCGCATGCGTCGTCGTTGGTGTTCGGTTTCTTCTTTGATTTTACGCTCTGCGATCACGCGCAGCTTGTCGCGTCGCTCCTGGCGTTCCGCAGGCGTCAGCCGTGGCTTTGATGGACGTTTACCGCGGCGACGACCGTGGCCTTGACCTTGTTGCTGCTGTTCTCGGTGACGTTTTTTGCTTGGCGAGACTGCTGCTGTGACGGAGGGTGCTTGACGAAGACTCGTACCTGCACTTCGACTGCGTTTCTGAGAACCCGTGACGGGTGCAGTTCCTTGCGCATGCCGTTGCGGTTGAGCGGCGAGGACGGCAGCGTAGATCGGCGTTGTGTTCATGGTGGCCGACTCGATGATGCTGCGGCGAGGGGCCGTTTTCGCAGCCGCCTGCGCGGGACGACGTCTGCGCTTCTTTTCACCCGTCGTGTTCACCGTTGTCGTGGTTTGCATGGACGATCCGCCCTCACTCGCATTCGGCTCTCCTGCTTCCTCCTCCTCGTCTTCTCTGCTGCTTTCACAGTGCTGCTTGTCATCGGCATCGTCCACGTTGCCGTTTCCCTCATCAAGGGTGCGTGGCGCTGTCGCAGAGAACGCTGTGTTTGTGTTTGTGGTGGTAGTGCTGCTGAACGCAGAGTCGGAGCGCTCATCCAGCGGTGTGACGCGCGCCACCTTACCACCTCTGTCGGTGGACGTCGTTGTGGTGGACGCGTTGGAAGGTTTATTGATCCTCCGCTTCGTCTCACGCGTGTGTGTGATGGAGGTGTCTCTTGCCGCGTCTTTTGCACTTTTACTCTGAGTGTTGCCGCTGCCTTTTTTGTCTTCTTCAAGGTGCGGCGCTCTCTGCACCTCGCCAACGCTCTCTTCTTGCTGCTGGTGGTGCGCCACAGCATCTTGAATTTGCCGCAGGTGCAACGAGGTCTTCTGCGAGGATGCTGCCATTTCTTGCCCTGGTGCAGAGGCCCTACCTCGGCGGCACCAACGCGTCAGAGCGAAGACGTGGTGGTGTGGGTGAAGTCTTGCGTCTCCTTTTTCCGCCGCGGATTGCCGCTGCCCCTTCGAGGCGGACGACGACGCATCAGCGCTGCCGTTGCCATCTTCGTCGTCGCTGCTGTTGCTGCTGCTACTAACCATGGAGTGGAAGGTCGCCATGTACTGCCGCCGCGCTACGCGAATAGACACATTAGCGAAGCGCAGGGACCGCTCCGCCAGTTCGACCTCGTGCATCATCGCACGCAACAGCGGTTGCACGCGGGATTGAAAGGGTGGGCCGCAGAGCGTGTAAAACTCGCAGTCCTGCAAAAACATTTCGTGGTCAGCGGTGAAGTTCTCCAAGGCACGGTAGGTGTACAGAACGCCTGCCTCAAACCGCAGGCTTTCCCGATACGTCGCCGTGCGTTCCGTCAGCTGACCCCACAGGGACTCCTGCAGGGTAGACAGAAGCACCTGCCGCACCGTGGTGCAGAAGAAGAAAACCGAAGACAGCCCGCTGTTCACGCCTGCCCGCCAGGTATGCAGCACCACCCGCTCCACACTCTTCCAGAAGAGAAGCGTGCGGCAGATGCCACCGAGGCAGGGCGTCGTGCGCTCGGGCAGCAACCACGCCCCGCTGCACCACGGTGACACGGCGGTGAGCCGCAGCGCGGCCAGAAAGGACTGAATTGGAGAGGCACGCGATCTCTGAGAGGAGCGTCTGCCGCTGCCACCATCGGTACGATATGCGGCAACCTGCGTTGCGGTGTTCGCTGCTCTTCTTGACTGCTGGTGGGTGACATCTTCCTCTGCATCTCCTTCCTGTGCTGAGTCCACGTAATCATCCCGGTGGTGCCACCCACGCGACGGGGCGGCTCCGTCCAGGACATCGTCGTTGTCGACGTCACTAGAGACGAGATCGGCGTTTGCCGCCTCCTCCGTCGCCCCTTCTTCTTCTTCCCCTACGTAGCGCTGGGTCGACCCCAGACGTTGCGAGGCCGGCGCGCTCCTATTCCTTTTCCCCCCGCGACCCGTCTCCTCCGTCTCCCTCGACAATTTCCATTCCAACCGCACCGTCGACTCCCCGTATGGTACGCAGGCGGCCCACTCCTGCTGAAAAACGTCGTTCAGCGAGGCCAGCGCACCCTTCAGATTTAAACCTTGCTGCTGGTCGGTCAGGTTCGCCAGCGGGGCAGGCGTGGTGGTGGCCCCGGCGATCACCGCCTGCACCATGGCGGCCTCTTCTCCCTCCGCCATCATCTCAAGCGCCGCGTCGACGGCGGCGCTCCACACGTCCACAATGCGCACCGCGACGGCTGACTGTTGCATCAGGCAGACATCGAGGAATTGGGTGGTGAGTCGATAGAGGGAGCCGTAAGGGGGGAGAAGCGTCAGCTGCAGCGCCTTGTGGGTGAGGAAGCTCGCGGTATACTGACCGAGTGCGCGGTAGTAACCACCGCAGCACTGCAGCGCCTCCGCCTCGTCGGAGAGCAGTGGCAGATCCACGAGAAGAGCGCGATCGACTCCGCTGCCGGTCAAGACGTGAAGGAGAGACACCCGGTGATCGAGGTACCAGCGATGTGCCTCCGCCGGTGTCCACGACCAGAGGCGATCGGTGTAATCGCCTTCGTCGTCGCCATTATCACCCGCCACTCGTTGCCGTAGGCGTTCAAGCGGGTCATCGTCGCGCCACAACTCCGAAAGTTCAGAGGGTAGCATGTTCGTTTGCAAAGGTCCTACAGAGTTTTGTGCGGCCTTGACGTCCTCCTCTGCGTAATGCTCGTCGCGAACATGAGAATGTGTTGCTGAGCTTTCGTCTTTCTTGAGGTATGCTGCCATTGAGGTGCGTGAGCTCTGTTTCCCATGAAAGGCGTCCTCTCCGACGACTGTCTCACTTCTAGGTATCGCATCCTCTTCCAAATCCACATCCGCGTGCGCGGCACGCTGAAGTTGTCGCAGGAAGTGCGGCTCATCAACGGTGCAGCGGTCGAGCGCGGCCCGCCCAGCAGCCAAGCGCGCCAACGCGGCACTCTCCGCCTCCCACTTGGCGCCGCTTTTGGGGCCGGTGCGCAAGCCAAAAAACTCGTCATCGTTGATGTCGGCCACCACGTAGTTCGCGTCGGGGTGGGCGTAGCCGAGCTCGTCGCGACGCACCCGCATGTCCGTGCGCATCCGCTGCTGCTGCTGCTCATCACCTGCTACGGCGGCCAAGGATGACAGCGTCGCGGTGCGGTGCCACTGCTCCTGCAGTGTCTCCTTGCCCATGGACTCCTCGTTTCGGTAGAGTGAAAGCACGTCCACGGTAAGCCGCAACGCACGCGCGTGCGAGCCGTCGCTGCTGCCACTGCGCACTTCCTGCTCCTTGTGAGGGTCGACTGTTTTGGACCCATTTGAGTCCACATCGCGTAGTTGATGCACTACCGTTGGGTCACCGAGGGACACAGGATGAGAGGCGAGCGTCGCAGCTGCCCCCTCCACCTCCTCTGCGCTGCGTCGCCGGGCTGCGTTTGAAGGCAGTCGGTCCACAAACGAGCGCGTCTTTGCTACGGGGGTTGAGAGACTGCGCTGCTGGCCCCTCCATCGCTCACGTGGCGGCGGCGCACAAACGTCAATGGGCAGCTGATTTTGCGCTTCTGCTTCTTCGCTCTCGGCTGGATTCGGCGCCTCTTGTGCGGGCGAGGAAGACGACGGAGGCGGCAGCGTCGCCATCACAAACACAGGGCCGCTGGCGGAGCGCGTGCGGGCCGGCCGAGGCGGCAGCAAAATGCCCCGGGGCGGGTGAGGGGATGCCGCGGCGTACGAAGAAGATCGCCGGCGGGGGTGCGACGGAATCGGCCGCGACACAGCTTCGCTCAGCGGCGGAATGACGGTGGTAGTCGCCGCGAAGCTGGTCCGCCGCTGCCGCTCCAGTCCCTGCCCTTGTGAAGGACGGCGACTGCGTCCGTCTCGTTCCCCTTCGTCCAACCCATTCTCCGCATAGAGGAGAACGGGCGGGGGCGCGGAGGACGGCGGCACACGTCTCAGCGGCACCACAACGCGAGGAGGGGGCGGTGGTGACGAAAGGGCTGCATCAGGCGGTGAGTGCGGTCGTTGCTCTTCTTCGTCGTTGTCGTGGTGTTGCGAGACACTGACCGGTGCTTCGTCGGCAAACCCTGCCCCTCGAATGCCGTAGACCTCTCGCAGCTCTTCGACAAGGCTATCCATGGCACGCACACGACGCAGTCGCAGGGACAGTCGCTGCGCCTTCCAGTCACTCAGCCGCATCTCCCGCTTGCGCCGCCACATCTGCGCAGCAAATTCCGCACGGAGGGCGTGGCGGGACTGACCGACTCGCGCTTCCGTTTGCTGCTCCAGCAGCGACACCTGCCGCAGCTCCTCGGTGATAGCGCCATAGAGGGCGATGGTGCCCCGCGACGAGGCCGTGGAGGAGATGGCGGTACCGATGGAGAGTCTCGACCCCGCGATGTGCCGCAGCCCAAGCACACTCGTCGAGGCAGCAGACGAGGACGCAGAGGAAAGGGAACGAGAAGGCGATGCCTTCGCAGGGGCACCTCTCTGCCCCGCTGCTTGTTGCCTCGTTCCTACATCCTCGCCGCTTTTGCTGTTGTCGTCCTCGTCGTTGTCAGAGTTCATGAACACAGTGATGTAGGACTGATCTTCTCCCTCGCCGGCGGGTGCCAGCACAGGCGGAACGATGCGGTTTCCTGGACCTTCTTCGTTGTGCAACGACTCGTTTAGAGTTGCCTTATTTGCATGTGATGGATCAGATGATGGCGATGGGGCTGCGGAGAGAGCTGCGGCATCCTCGCGTCGCGGCGATGGTGGCTGGCCTTCACTGCGACTGTCTACACGAGAGGCCGAGCTTGCATCGGTGTCCGCGTTAGCCGTTCCTTCCGCCGCCTCTTCTTTCGTCTTTGCTTCTATGTTGTCAGCCGGAGGTGTCTCCGCCCCCGCTGCGTCCTCCACCGCCTCCAGCAGCACCTGCGTGCAGGCCTGGTAATGCTGCCGCCACCAGTTAATCGCACCGTATGCCGACAGCACGTCCACCCGGGGCGGTAGAGGGAGGGCCTGCTCCAACGCACCGCCGTTGTGGTCGTCTGCGCTCGCCGCTGCGCCACGGCTAAATCGCCCCATCGCGTTGACGCCCTTCTCCGTCGGCGCACCACGCACCAGCCGCTCCACGAACTTCTGTATCGCGCCCTGCAGCGTCTGCGTGTCCAGCAGCTCCTCCGCGTAGTCCTCCGCCGCCGCCTCCGTGGCCTCTGCCAAGCCCTGCAGGCGACGCGCATCCTTCTGGGCACTGAGCACGACGTGCGTGGCGGCGGCGCGCAGCACCCGCAGGCTCACTCCTGCGTGGAGGAGGTCGTTTGCGGCCGCGGCGGAAACGAAGACGGGCAACCGTTGCGGTGCGAGGTCCAGCGTGAACCCGCTGTGTGTCTGGCCATGCGAGGGCACGACGAAGAACTCGTCGTAGGGGTCCGCGAGTTCGCCTGCCGTGAGCCAGCGATGCAGCATCGCGTGAAAGGGCCGCAGCGTGGCCCGCAGGAGAAGACCAATGGCGTCGATGGGGTAACTCAGCAAGTCTTTCCGCTGACGCTGCCGATCAGCTGTGAAGTCGACCAACGACGCAGCCTTTTCATTTGGTACCGAATTCGACGTACCGCCACTCGTATCACCATCGCGGAGGGAGTTCATCCACTCCTCCAAGTTCTCTTGCTGCAACTCGCTGTAGGAGGTGATCACGTTGCTGTGCTGGCCGAGTGCGTTGGCGTGACGCGTCGTGAAGAGTTCATGCAACCGCGACATCAAAAGGGCGGAGCAGCAGCTCTGCTGCAAGACGTCAACGGGGTCCCACGCGACGGGAGACTTCGCTTTCGCCTTCGCACGAGCAGAGTCGCCTGTGACCACGTTCACCGTCGACGTCACTGCCGTAGCAGCGGCAGCAGAAGAGGAGGGGACCTCAAAGAACGCTGCGAGGACCTCCACCTGCTCCATCGCCTTCTGCAAACGCTGCTGCGCCGTGAGCAGCTCGGTGAAGCTCAACCGATGTGCCCCGCCAACACGGTCCCCCAACTCCCACACTTGTCGCTGGAGAAAGCAGAGGTAAATCCGCAGCGTGTCCATCGCACTGCGGCCGTAGCTGCCGAGACTGGCGCGCATTGTAGCGTCGTCCGCGACGGCGCAGAGGCGGCGCAGTCGCAGCAGTAACGTCCCGCACCGGCACCCCCACTCTAGCATGGAGGTGAGTCCGCTGTGCGCCACGATCGATCGCGTACACGCCGGCGACGGCGCATACAACTCAGCGCGCACACGAATCTCCACAAGGTTCGGTCCGCTGTGCACGTCGCAGTACGTCAGCTCGTACGGGTCCACCAGACCAGCCGTGCAGCGGTGCAGCGCCACGTAGACGCGTGCGTAGACGGCCGGGTCGTACAACGCGTTGCACGCGACGAAAGGTGTGCGGCACGCCGGCAGGGTCAGCGGCATCGTGGAAGGTTCACTTTTTGGATGCCGTTTCTTCCCCTCACTGTTCATCTCCGCAGCAGCAGCTAAGCCTCCTTGCAAGTCTGCCAGCGCTTCGGTGCTGCCTGACTTGTCTTCGAAGAGAGACCGCACCGACGGGTCTGCCTCGCTTCCCTCTGCGTCCTCGTCCTCTCCCTCCAGTGTCCAGTGCAGGACACCGGCACGTGGCTGCCCCCAATGTTGTGCCTCGTGTGCACTGGTAGCATACAGCGGTCTCACTGACGCACCTCTCAGCTCGCGAGCACCAACCGCAGCCAGGGGAGAAAAGCTGAAGGGAGCAGCAGCAGCGGCGGCGGCAACGGTAGGCCCAGCCGGACGTGTCCCGCGCGCCGTTCGAACCGAGGAAGTCGTGGAGGACGGAAAAGGCAGTCCGCTGTCGCGCACAAAGGAGTCCAGCGCGTCTGCGTCTTCGCTGGACCACGCAGCTCCCACAAAAGGTGCCCAGTGGCCGTGCCGACCGTACAAAGGCATGCCCTCCTTTGTCCGAGCGTAGGCGTGGTGGAATAGTTCCGCTCCTTCGCCGGCAACCGTAGCCTCGATCACCGGGTCACGATCGCACGTCCATCGTTGCTGTCGCCGTAGCGTGGTCGAGCGCTCCACCAGCGCAACCGTCGAAGGACCCAACCAGCACTGCGGCTCGTAGGGCAACACAGCTCCTATGGCTGCAGTATCTTGTCCCCTCGTCACCCCTGCTGGGTGATGCCGGATGGACTGTGCCTCGCTGCTCCGGAACAGCGCAGCAGGAGTCGCCGTTGCCCCTGCTACTTCACGTACTTCCTCTTCATCCCTATCAAGACTTCCGAAGACATCCACGCGTGGTTTTTCCCGTATTAAGCTCCCCGTGCTCGAAGGCGTGTTGGTCGGTGAGAAGGTGAGAAGAGTAGGGGAGATCCCCGCCGCCTGAGACGGTGGTGTAAATGGATAGCTGCCTTTTGACCGACTTCCGTCGACCTGGAATCCGTCGCGACTGACATCGCGGCTGGCGTTATCCTCATCACTTCGCAGCGGCATGTTCGCCACGATGCTGGTGCGCAAGATGACGTAGAGCAGCTGCTCTGCAATGGAGGAGGGAGAGGAAAAGGACGACGACGAGCGAGCAGACTCACCGGCGGAGTTGACGAACGGCCTCGTTGCTGCTCCTGTTGCTGGTAACGGCGACGTTTTCATTATGCCGCGAGGGGAGACCTGCAATGACGACCCGTCCCACGTCGGTCCGTGTATCCGCACGCCTTCTCGACCCTCGTCTCCTGTTCCCACTTGTCGATGCAGAGATGAGTTGCCAGAACCAGCAGCAGCAGCAGCAGCGGCGTCAGTTTCCTGCTCGTCCTGCGTGCGACGTAGAATCCGTCCGGCGAAGAGATCCACAAGCTGAGCCTGGGTGGGCGACACGTCTTCCATGACCGCTCGCGTGTGGGCCAACAGCCGCATCGTGGCGCGGTGGACGCCGTCGGACGTGCCGGATGTCGCGGCGGCGTCAGCGGACCCACCGACACGGGCGGAAATCTGCGCCGGGAGACTCGCGCGAAAGAAGGCGTCGAGGGCAACTCGACGCATCCGACGTCGCTGCGCTTGCCAGGAGAGGCTGCCCCCGCTAGTGCACAGGACTGCCCGCACCGCTGTTGTGGCGGCGTCGCCGTGCGTGTCGTGCGGAGCGGCATCACCGCGCGTACCAAATACTGCGGTTGTACCCTTTCCTTGCCTAACTGGAGGCGCCACCTCCGTCAAGGTCCAACGCTCCTGCATATTGTTGAGTGCGCGTGTGTAGTCGCTGTGATCGAGGGAGAGAAGCAGCGGCAAGGCAGTCAGCAAATTTAAAACACTCGGCTGCTGTAACAGCGGTGGTGCTGCGCCGACCGTCACGTGGGGGAGCCGCCGCTGGATGCTTACGGTGGTCGCTGACCGCAGCGGCGGTTCTCCGGTTGCCAGACCTGGTGGCGGAGAGGCAAATACGTTGTCCATGCTGAAATGATGTATGGGTGCAGACCAGAGAAAAAAAAAGAGAGAGAAGACGACGACGGAGTAGTCCCGTGTAAAAACAAGCTTTCTATGGCAAAACAACAACAACAACAACACTTTGTGATCCGTGTCGTACGCTTGATATGATGGCAGTCGAACCTGACTTCAAGTAGTTGATGGCGTCAAAGGCATATGCTCCGCTCTGCTACGATAGATGAAAGCAGTAACAAGCAACGACTGCTCCTGTTTCTGAGCGCTTCGGTACGCTTAAAGCAGTCAGACAGCCAAATTGTTGTCATTACTACTGGAAAAGAATATGGTCGAATAGAAAGAAAGGACAGGGTGGCACGGTGGAAGGATCGGCTCATGGGAAAACGTCAGAAGGCAGCTTGATCGCACTACCCAATGCGAAACCGTGAAACGCGAGAGAGGACACACGTATTACCGCTGCAAAAAGGTTTTCCCTTTCATTCCTCGTTTCAATCGCAGCTTCGCCACTTTACCGGCGGAGTTCATCGATGAACGGCGAGAAAGCGCGTTTTCTGATTTCCTCCCGTAAAGGTTGAAGGAACACTGCAATATATTTATGCGAACGCACGACGTCGAGAAGCCAAGAAGCAAAAACAGTTGTTGAAAAGCAGCTGAATTGTGAGCCATCTACACGCACCCACAGACGCACACACACATACACACACAACACATCGCTGATACAGAAACAACAACAACCACAACACACCTACAAAGAGCAGAAGAAGCGGCAAGCGCAACAGCAAGGATAACAATTTGAAGAGGTCAGAGCTCGTGCAGTCCGCCAACACCCAAAAAAGCGCACACCGTTTGCTTGTTTTTCCTTTTGCTGCTTATGGAGAGTGGAAAGGCGTTGAAAGTACAAGACGTGTTTACCAGATTGCATCTCAGCCCAGGGACGCCAGCACTAAAAACTATGAAGGGTCGAAAAAAAAAACAGCAAAGGCTGCGCAAATAGAGAGGAGAAAAGGAAAAAAAAAGACTCCGACACCGAGAACGAAATCCGCGTCCTCCTCCCCCTTACGACGGTGCTACCTGGTTTAGCAGCGAAATAAAGCTCTTGGAGTTCAGCGTGGCCTCGCCACCAATCGACGCCCTCACGCCAAGGCCGCCGGTCGCAAAGTTGGACACGTCATTCGGCTTAAACGCCGTCTGCGTGTTCACGGCGTGGATGAGCGCCGCCTCCTCGAAGGTGTAGCCGCCACACATGTATACCATCACCTCCTTCGGCTTGTACTCCACACTTGTCATGCCGCCACCGCCGCCCGACGACGAGGTGGGCTGCGACAGGTACGGGTAAGCGGCGGACTCCAGCTGTCCACTGTAGAGCTGCAGCAGCGTGCGCTTCAGCACCGGCTCGTGCTGGGTGTAAATGTTCCCCACATCGACCAGCGTCTTCATGATGGTCGCCATGACCCCCGTCGCGGCGAAGAGTCGATCGGTAGGCCGGTTCACGCCGTAGTACTGACGCAGCTTCCGCAGCACGAGGGCGTAGTTGGCCTCGACGCGGTCCAGGTATTGCGTCACCTGCGACGCCCCACCTGGCTGCTCGTAGCGGAGGTGGTAAATGAGGCAGAGCCGCGTGAGGTCCTCCTGCGCGGTGCTCGGGCGTGACGCAAAGGCCTGTAACCGCGACCAGTGATCGCTCTGGCTGGAGGAAGCAATCATGTCCTGCTCCAGCAGGGACATCTCTAGCAGGTTGCGCCGCTTGATTTCGCTCGACAGGTACGTCGTGACGGTGGTGTGCTTTGTCACGGCACCTGTGAGGCTCTTCGTTTGCGGGATGTTCTGCATGAACGACTTCAGCTCCTCCAGCGTGGCGGTGGAGCGGTCTAGGTTGAGCGCCGCCTTGCACTGGTCCACGTACTTCTTCACGTTGTTGCACAGGTCACCCCAGTTGCTGAACATGTTGTGCTCAAAGAAGGCGTCGTCCCGCTCGGAGAACACGTAGCCCTCCTCCTCCGCCCCTTGTACGTCGGGCGGCAGCTTCAGCGTGTTGGAGCGCAGTCCAACGTGCTCGTGGAGCATCGCCTGGTAGGTCCATGGAGTTAACAACGGTGTGAGGGGGTCATCGCTTCGATCCAGCAGCAGCAACACGGAGTCCCGAGCAGGGTAATCGTAGAGGGCGGGGTCACTCTTCAGAATACTCACCAACTCCGCCGCGACGCGCTGCACAAAGGGGCTGCTGCGCTGATAGCGAATGTACGGACGGCGACGCTGCGCCACCATCAACGAGGCGAGTCCCTCCGCCAGGCGTCGCACCTGCATGGCGGGCACCGCAGACGACACGAGCGACTGCGGTGACGGCATCTCCAGCACAAACGCATCCTTGTTCACGGCGTTGAAGTCGCAGAAGATCTCCTGCACCTGCTCGACCAACGAGTCGTTGTCCGCCTGCGCCAGCCGATCCAGCATCTCGGCCGATGCAGCCCCGCAGAAGAGAACGTGATAGTTGCGGTACTTCGCCATGCGCAGCTCCGCGCCCGCCGCCTCGACACTGGCGAGTGTCGGCCGCAGCAGAATGTAGCACCGCAGCATCTTCATCAAGTTGCGCTGACGCGCTGCGCTGTTCAGCGACTCCACGAGGTACACCCCGTGCGTCAGCAGCTCGGTCTGCGAGAAGGCACTGGCGATCATCGGCAGCACGTTGTCGTCCACGAGCAGCACTTTCATGGTCTTGTCGCGTGGCAGCATGCGATTTAAATAGCCGTCAATGATATCGAAGAAGTTGTGCGTGGAAGAGGCGGTGGCAGCGGAGGAAGAGGCGTTGGAGGTGGCCCCACCGGTTGTCCCCCGCAACGTGTTGGAGAAGCTCTGCAAGGTTGCCTGCGTACTCATTGTGGTAGAGCGTTGGACGTCGAGGTTTGTATGTGTAGTAGTGACCGGGAAAAAAGAAAATAGAGAGACAGAAAAACGTTCTCTAATAAGAGTAATAAATAATAAAGGCACTGAGCAGTAATCAAATGTTGCTAAGCAAAGGAGGAAGGATGCACGCACAACAGGGAAACGTGTAATACGCCAGGGAAGGAAAAAAAGAGAAGGCTGTAGAACACCACCACCGATAACTCTGGCAGCACCAGCAGTCGATCACCGCAATTTTAAAAAAACAAAAAGAACTCTGAGCAGAAGGTAACGGTAGAGAAGACAACGAGACAACGAGAGAGAGAGAGATGGAGCACGTAACGAAGCGCAGTGGCGCAGCATGAAATCACTAATAATAATAATAATAATAATAATAATAATAATAAGAGAGCTGGTCTGCTTCAGGTGATGTGACAGAGATCCCACACATGCAGTTTCACGTGGCATCGCATTTGCCCAAGTGCGGTTTCGTGGTGCCAATGAACAACGGAGTTGGAATTGGTCGGGTAAGGAACACGGGCCGCAGATGGCAGTGTCGACGACGTTGAAATCTCTTTCTTTCGTGGTGTTTGCGTTTGTGCGACGTCACCTGCGCATTTGGCTGCTTCAATTGATTGGAATAAAAAAAACTGAGCGCGAATCACAAGTGGTGTGGAGTAAGCGGCAAAACTCACGTCGCTGAGATCTATGATGATTGTGCACTGGGATTAAAAAAAAAAGAGAACAAAGCTGTTATGAACAACTTTGATAAGTAACAGCAAGAAGAAGTTGCTCTTGAAAGCTGTGAGAATAAAAGGCTGTTGCAATATATAATAATAATAAACGAGAGAACGTTCAGCGTACACAAGGTGCTTCTATAGTCTATCCAAGAAGAGAGTAAAAAAAAAAAACTTGCTTCTTGGTGTTTCTATGATATGCGTAAGGGGAGAAAAAAAAAAGAGGCTACGCTTAACAGAAAGCTGCCCTCCATTCGGGTGTAGTCCGCAACAAAAGTAGCACGAAAGGCGTCGTTATCAACGATAGCGTCGTCTCTTGTGGGGGCGGGCAGGCGCGTTGATCGCAAGCCGATCCGCCAGTTGCAGCGCTGCGCGCACCTCCGGATACTCTTCCAGCGCCGTCGCAAGCCGTGAAGTCTTCGAAGAGTTCGTAAAGAGTGGCTGCACGGTGTCTTCCGAGGCCGGATTGTCTGTGAATGGAGTGGAAGACACCGTGGAAGAGAGCAGTGCCGTGGTGTCTGCGCCGGTTCGAATTGCAGCGGCAACTGGCGCAGCAACGTCATCCAGCGCATCCGCCACCCGTTTCTCCATGTCTGCTCTCTCTTGGGTCTCGCTACGATAATCAGCACTGCGTAACGCCGGAGCTCCGTCTGCGACCGCTTCGTCATTTCCTCTACATGGCGCCTTCTCAACGCTGCCGCCGGGCCCGCCAGCAGCGTCGGTGAGAGAAATAGAGCGAGTAGAAAGTGTCGCAACCAACGGCGCGGCATGCGGCAGCAACAGCCCGGCATTGAGGCACAGCTGGACCCACTGCGGCGTCACACATGCCATGCCCCTCTCACGCGCCACCGAGAGCTTCGTCAGAGGTGCTGCGGCAGCCTCTGTGACCGTAGGTGTCGTGGCTGCGGCTGGCGGCGACTTATGGGGTACTGCACCGGACGGGCACGCGTCGATTGAGGAGGAAGAGGACACATTTGCGCTGCTGCTGACGCCCTTGAACTGCATGTGACTGTACACCACTGTGTTTGTTGTGTCGAGCAGGTGGCGGTGGTACTCGGCCCCGTAAAACTGCAAAATGGCTACAATGTTTGCCTTCAGCTGCAGCGGAAGCTGCGTGGTGGTGAAGCGAAGCCCTGCAAACAAAAACGGGTTGTAGGCCACCACATCTGGGCCACCTTGGCACGGCAGGAGTGGCCGACCTGCCCGCACGCACTGATGTACCCACAACTCGTACACCACCGGCACGCGCGCGGCGCGGATGTGGTCCTCTGCAGAGGCTGGCAATTTGTTGCGAACTGCCCAGCCACGTCCACCACGCATGGCGGCGGAAGACGAAGAGCACGGTGGCGCCGCCGGAGACGCCGCAGCGTTGCTGCAAACATTTTCATTCGCAATCACAACGCAGGTGATGGATGTGGCGCGGTCCACGTCGTACACTACACTCCCGCCTCGCTGCGTCAACGCCGCCACGGTGAGAGGCGACGTCGTCAGGGACACATAGAAGGTGTGACCGGCAAACATGCTTTCGCTTGTAAAGGATTGAAGTTTTCTTTCTGTTGTTGCTGCCGCTGCCTTTGAGATCAGTAAATAAATAAACAAATAACGTATGAGGTGAAATAAAGCGATGTATTCGACAAGTGCTGTCGGGTGTCAACACACAGCAAAGAAAAACTGCTTTTTATGGTGCTGCTTCTATTAAATTTTGTTTTCTATATGTGCCGGCGCAAAGTTGTCAGTTAAAACGACCACAACTGGAAAGATGAGAGGATGAGTGAGGGAGTGAGGAGCGTAAGATAGCTCTGTTCCACTCCATTGTTTTTCTGTAGGTAGTGGTAGCACCAGCCAGCACAGGATTCAACAGATGAAACTGGGGAAAACAATATGAGTTCATTACTTGGGATGAGAAACACAGTTTGAGAACGTTCGCAAATCTGCGAGCTGTCTTTACAGGCCTCAAAGCAAATCGAAGAAGCTAAGAGCCAGGCCAAGGAAGGTGCTTTCTAAAAAAAAAGGGTTCGTTCGCAGCTCATTCAACTCTTTCTGATTGTGTATGTCAACAGTAAGATGAAGAAAGGACGTCACGGTACTCACTTAATGGAAAAATAAAAACCAAGCATAATAAAGTGTTTTTTGTTTGACTTAAAGAAGACGTTAGTAGAATCAGGTGTTTTCTCCATCGCTGCCCTCAAAACAAAAAAAGGAAACCTTCCTCCTCTTCTCTTTCCCACTTCTTAAACTGGTGGTGACGCGTTGTTGTTCGTGCCGTTGGCATCAGCAGCATGGATCGCCGCGTACAGCTCCGGGTCCGACTCGCGCAGTGCCTCTGGGTTCTCCGCGAAGCACACAAAGATCGTCGTCACAGCGCTGTCAACGCCGGTGAATACCAGCTGATGCACGAGAGCAGACATGAAAAACACGAGCACGCCGACCGGCCACGACGACGAGGCCACACCCGCTATAATGCCAAAGAGAATGGCAATGGCAAAGGTGAACATGTTCAGCGTGGGCACCACCAGACAGTCGTTGAAGTATGCCGCGAAAAAGCACTGCTGACACAACTCAAATGTGCGCTTTGCGCCTTCGATGTAGCCGCAGCCGTAGATGGCCACATGCACAAATGCGTATCGGTTAAAGTACTGAACAATGTTCTCGATGCAGCGGAGCATGCAATCCACGCAGCAGCGAACAAACCCGTTTTCGTTGTCGCGCGACGACTCCAGCAGCCAGCGCAGAAACTGGATGATGGCGACGATGAGGGAGCCGAAGCAGATGGAGCCGAAGCTTGTCGTTGTCGCCCGCTTGAAGGAAGCGATAGTCGGATGCGGGGGCATATTGTTTGACCCTGCGTAGTACCACGTCGCGATCAGGCCAGAGGCCGTCACGTGCATCACATTCGGCACGACCTGGCACACCCACAGCAGCACGAACACCAGCAGTCCAATCGCGAAGCCGTGGCCGCCGTTGCCCTTGCGCCGGTTGAGGCGGTCGATCGGCGCTGCAACGCCGAAGCCCCACAGCACAATGTACCCAAACATCACGACGCACAGCCCGATGTTGAGCACAAAGTTCGACTTGTACTTCGAAATCAGCTTCGCCGCAGTGCAGAGCAGCGTCGCTGCCAGCGGTATCCGGTCGCGCACGAGGAACAGCCACAGAGCCTGGAAGGCTGCACAGACCAGCATGAGAATGCCAACGACAATGTCGATTCGCACAAAGGCCATAATCGCAGAGATGATAAACATGAGAATCGTGAGGATGTTCGCAATGTAGATCATCTGCACCGGCATGCGTTGCGCGACCACAAGCAGCGCAAACGAAGTCACGAGAGACCCGCCGACTGCAACGGCGCACACGCCCGCAACCCACGCCACGCGGACAGAACTGCCGTTATCAAACGCAGGCGAAACGCCCTTGCCCGGTTCGTATGTGTAAGTGGCAAGTTGCACGATGCTCCAGATAATGGAAAAGAGAACCAGGATGCCAAAGAGAACGGCAGCCCACAGGTCTTTGCACCCATGAATGCGGAAGCGGGACAGCTTCGGGTTGTGCATCACGGCGTCGGGGTAAAGAGGGGTACCGTCGACTGGCGCACCGTCCAGCTGGTCGTAGTTGATCTCTGCCTCCGGGTACTGATACGCGGCCCCGTCGTTGCCGAATGTGTTTGCTCCGTTACGACCAACCGGAATGCCGGCATCCATCGGCGCCGGTGCCTTGCCCGGCTTTCCTTTCCCCAAGCCATCGTCAAACTGGTTCATCGTGGGCACTTCTTCGACGCCGTTGTCGATAGAGAGCAAGAGAGAGAGAGAGAGAGAAAAGAGAAAGAGAAACAAAGATTCGCTGTGAAGCAGTGAAGTGACAATATATGTGTATATCGCTCGCTCGCTTGCTTCCTTTTCTTCTTCTTCCTTTTTTTTTTTGCGAGACAGTTGAAAGACGGAAGTTAAAAAGATGAAACAAAAGCTTTTCTTTTGTTGGTCCTCCCCCTTGTGAAGATCGCTTGCGGCTGGTGGACCTTCGGCGATTCTAACGTGGAGAACGAAGCAGACAGAAATAATAATAAAAACAGAGTAAGAAATGTATAATAACTGGAAAAGCTAGATCCCCCAAAGTGCACAAACCACCTTCGCAAAAACGCTCTCAGGGTTATACAAAGAAACAAAAACGCTAGGAGCAAATAAAAGAAAAAGAAGATGCAAGTGACGGGCGTGAAAGAAAAGAATAGATAATAATAATACTAACAGCAGTCTCTGTGTTTGCGTACAACCAAAATTCGAGTAGAGCGGCTGAAACTCTTTTCATCGATGTGTGTCATGTAAGTGCGACGCCGTGGAGAAGAGCGAGACGGAGCAGGAGAGCAGGAGAGCAGGAGAGCAGGAGAGCGGGAGAGAGGTTGACGGCCGAAGCGGTGGGCGTAGGCGAAAGATAAGTGAAAGAGCACAGGGCAACAACAAAAAAGGAAGATGGGAAGAGCATGGTAGACGATGAACGATCGAAGGGGGTCAATTTCGCCCAATCCGCTGCTTGTTGAGATCCTTCACGGGAGGGAGGTTTACATTTGCACCCCCCCCCACCCCCCGCACAAACACACAAACCAAAGGACCACGCCATAGCGCAGACGTTCATCGAGGAGACCACTGAGCAACAGTACGAACGCTTTTTAGGGGGACGATGCGCCACAGTGTACATTACTATTAGCAGAAACATCTTAAACGAATTAGAATGTACCCGGTGCGATTGAAAAGGTTGTTGTGCTGTCTTTTCCTCAGCCCACGTCCACACTCCAACAGAGTGTCTCGCTCGCCGTGCTGGCCACCGTCCCAGGAAGTGCAACCGCCTCTCCCTTGGACTTTTTTGCCGGAGGAGCACCAGCGGCAGATGCCGCTACTGCGTGCTTGGCGATCACCGTGCTAGTCGTATCGATCTGCTGCTGCTCAGGATGGCGCTTTTTACCGGCTTTCCGCGACGCTGCACCTGTGCTTGCACCTTTCAGCGTCGACGCCTGCCGTGCTTTGCGCGCCAGCGAATGCTTGCGTGCACGTGCTGCGCAGTCGCGTGGACGGAGGTGTGACCTGGTCTTCCCTAGACGGCACCTCTCTAGGCGAGCCCGCTTACGCGCCAAGGCACGAGCCCCGACCTCCACAAACGCATTTGCCGTTCCCCTCAATGCCGGCGTTGCGGCTGCTGCTGTGTCGGCAGCGTTCACCTGCACCAGCGTGCTCTCCAGCGCATGCGCCACCCGCACCGTTGCTGCGCTCGCAGCCGCACGGGAGGGCGTCGCGGATCGTCGCACCGCCGTGCGCACAAAGGCCGCCGCGGCAGCGTAGACGTCGGTGCGGTCATGGCCCATCAACACCCCGAACAACGCGTGGATGTCCACAAGGCTTCGGGTCCGCAGCAGCGCAGCAGCGGATGTCGGAGCGCTAAATGGACTTGCACCCCCGCAGCGGCAGTCCCGCCCACCAGCTACGTGAACCAGCTGGCGTTTCAACGAGGAGACAGAGCCGCCATAGCTCAGCAAAACGCGCAGTGCCTGTGTGCGGCCGGGTGCTGTGGGGGAGTTCTGAAAGAGCGCGCCGAAGACCTGACGGACTCGCTGGTGTGTTACCGCAAACGCGTCGGCGTTATCCACGATGCCGCTGCTGCTGATGCGACTCTCACGGTGCCGTCCTTCTTGCGGCGCGGCTTGCACGGCGAGGCGTAACTCTGCGCCATCGCCCAGGAACACACGTGGATGCAAGGCGGCCATCAGGCTCGCGTACGAGAACCAAAACGCACACCGGCTGTCTCCTTTGGGGAACCTCAGAGCCGGCAGCACATCCTGCGAAAACAAATCCAGAAGCACCTGACTTGTTACTCTACCTCGCCCAGTCCCATCAGCGACTGTCTCACCGTTGCCCGCCCCCTCCGCCCTCGGCGTGTGTAGTGCGTCGATGCACCACGACAAATCCATCAACAGGCTCTGGTGAGGAAGCAGCAGGTTGCTCACAAAACAGCGTCTAGGGTGCTCTGCCCACGTCAACAGCAACGACGGTGTGCCAAGCGAAAGGGCAACAAACGCGGCCCGGTGCAGCGGCGACAGTCGCCGTGTCGTCTGCGATGTGTGAACTGTGTCGCTGCTTGCTGCTGACGGGGACGCCGCCGTGCACGCCTCGGCACACCGCTGCCAGCTCTCGTACACGGTCACATCGTCCCGTGCTTGCGGAGCTAGATAGGCCACCACCACCACTTTCACCCCGGCAGACACAGGCGGCGATATCGATGATACTATCACTGAAGAAGACGGACTCCTCGTCTTGTGATTCTGATGGTTTCTCGTGTTGCGTGGCTGTTGATCGTGGTGAAGTGCTCCGTACAGCATCCACCTGTTTAGCTCTGCGGCATCTTCAGCAGCTTGTCGTAAGCGTCGCTCTGCCTCCAGCGCACACCACGCCAGTTTCTGCATGCTGCGCTGACGTTTCGGTGCGTGCGGCGTAGCAACAGAGGGAGAAGAAGAGGAAGGACCGTTGTCTGCCGTGAAAGCGCTCGAGGGAGCTGCAGCGGTGATGGTGGAGGGAACTGGAATGCGAACAAAGAGCCCAATAACATGCACAGCAGTGCAGGAGGATGTGTCGGTCAGGAACGCCTGCATCGCTTGACGGAGATCGGCGCGTCGCTGCGCGGCGTCCTCGCCGGCATGATTATAGATGACAGCCTCCATGAAGTGAATCAGAACGAGAGAGCCAGCACGAGAGGAGCCTGTCGCTTCTCAACACAAAAAGGGTCCCGTCAAGTAACGTTGTTCTTGCAAAAAAAAAAAAGAAGAAGAAGAAGGAGCAAACGAAGAGATGGTTGAGTTGTTGTTGGCGTGCGTGTGTGCGCCGTAGTACCCCACCAGTGGGAGAACAAAGAATCACAGAAATGCGAGATGTAGCGTTAACAATGAAGCATCTCCGGCGACATTAGCTATTCCGTATGACTTCCACGTAGGATAGAGATCCAACGGGACATCACCTGGCGGATTTCCACACCATTTACCGTCTTCCACGCCCAATTAGCGGGGGTTCCCCGTTTTCTGCGTTAAGATGAGAGACGCTGGAGTAGCAAAGACTTGGCTCCTCTTAGTAACAGAGACTCAAAAGAAGAAGAAAAAAACGCTGAAGGGGTATCGCCTTCGCATCTTCTCCGCGGCCAGGTAAAGAGAGTCCCACTCTCGCAGCCTTGCCTGGAACCGGGAAAAGGAAAAGCAACGCGCGAAGAGTGCACGCCTGTGCTTCTCCGGCCACACACAGAAACTCACTCATCCATAGGCAGAGGGAAGGAAGAGTCAAAAGGCGGTAATGGCAGCTCGAGTCCCCCGCTGCGCCCATCTTGGCACGCCTGCGCACGTCCTCGCCCTCTCTTCCGCTTCTTTTTGGACATTTTTCCCCATTCCCACTGCTGTTGCTGCTGCTGCTGGCCGCATCTCAGCGAGTTGGCGGACGAAGCGTCTCTTGGCAGGAGAAGTTGCTGTAGGCGCTGCAGAACGTCTCCGCTGGCGCCTTGCCGGTCCAACAAATGCTGCCAGCTGCCGTCCAGCGAACTCAGGTTCTCCAGCCGGTTCCGGTCCGGCTGAAGAAACGTCTGGAACGTTTCACGCCACGACAACGCGGAGGTGGCCAGGCGCTGCTCCGCCTGCTGCGCGGCTTCGGCCTTTTCTTGGCGGGTAGAGGAGGCGGCGCGAGCGACGTCGACAAAGTGCTGATGGGCTGCGCCGAGCGAAGCGGCAAGCCGGCCACCGCTGCCGCCTAGCTCCCCCGCAGGCGACGCGATGTTCTCCTCTCCCTGCTGGCCGATAGGAGTCGACTCGGGGTTCGCGCTCGTCGACTGCATGAGGTACAGTTTTGCCTCCACAAAAGCCTTGAGGGAGCCCAGCTGCGGATGAGCAGCTGCCATTGCATCTTCTTCGCACGTTTCCTTCTGAGAGGCGAAGGTGCCACGGCCGGCTGTCGTCGAAGACGTGTTCGCGAAGACAATGGTTGAGTGACCTTGCTGCAGTTGTTGCCGCTGCTGCACAACAAATCGCGCGTAGGCAACCACATCCCGCACGTCGGACGGCATGTTCCTCGTCACTTCGTCCGGGCGACGTGGGTGTCGCTGCTGTGCGGGTTTCACGTGGTCTGCGGTGGCGTCCGTTGATGGGGCGGGCGACATGTTTCCGTCCGCTGCGGCGTCACCGGCGCGTCCATCACGCCGCAGGACGATGCGCGTCATGAGGTGCTGTACGCAGTCGTGAAACTCCTCGTTGATGCCTTCCGTGGCGGTGCACGGGCAGTCGTCGCAGCTGTACACCGCCCGGCGCGGAGAGGCGGGAAGCTGCTGCAGGAGGTCCAACACGAAGTCTGCCGGCGGCGGAGGAAGCGTGGCTGCCTTGGTCGCACGCCTCTCCAGCGACTCATGGTCACGCACATCGAGAATTGCGCGAAGTCGGATCAGCTCGGAATGTTCCTCTTCTGCTGCTTCTTTCTTTTCACTCTCGGCAGCTTGACGGACAGCCCAGTCGCCTTCGTTTGTTGCCGCCGTACCTGTGTCGGTCTCCAGACATAGAGTACCGACAATATTTTCGCTTTCTTCATCGTCCCTTTCAGCCGCTGACGGGGCAGGCGCTGCTGCTCTAGCAGCGGTGGTGGTCGTCGTTACGCGTTGCACCACCGCTGCCAACGACCGAGCCGGTACTACCATGCGCAGGGGGTCCACTCGCTCCAGTCCACCCCACGGTCCCGTGCTGCTTGCCACGACATCTGCACCACTCGTTTCGCTTTTGCTATCGTGTAGCCGCGGCGCGGCGATGACTTCAAGAGGATGGTGGCCGTTGTGGTGGCGGACGGACGTGTCTGTAGGGTGTGTAGCTGCGGTGGCGTCGCGCGAGGTAGCGAGGGAGGAGGAAGAAGAGGCAGAGGAGGCAGAAGCGGAGGAGCTGCTCCTGCTGCCCTCGTCTGCAGAATTGTCTTTCCCCTTCGAGACCCCGACCTCTTGTCGTGCCGCCGAAGGATCTGCTTTGGGTGTCTGACGTGTTCGCTGGTGAACTCCTTCCGTCTTTTCCGGTTCACCGGTGCCGTCGCTGTCTTCACGCTCGCGCTTACTCGGTGACCACCGCGCAGGCAGGCGCTGCGTCGCTGTGCTGCCGCATAAAGCCAACGCAGAGGGAAAGGAAGAATTCGGAGCGGGACGTGCGAAAGGCGCGGCTGGTCCAGTTGTCTCTGGCCGTTGATCATGCACAGAAAGTGGCTGTGGCAGCGTCGGTGCCGGCGAAGAGGCGGAGGAGGGCGTGGGAGATGTCCGGCTGTTGGGGTCTGCCGGAGCCACAAGGTGGCCGCCACGCGCGCGCATATACGCCGCTGCCGCCGCCGCCGCCGCCGCTGCTGCCACGGAAGACGAGGGGTGACCTGCCGCGCGAAACGACTCTGGGCGTGGGAGTTCAAAGGCTCGGTTTTCGCCTGCATTACTATTGAATTGCTCACCGTTGACGTGCGCGGGGGGCGGGGAAGTGGCGGCGGTTGTGGACATCGCTGCCGCCGCTGCTGCGGCTCTCACACGAGCCGCGGTCGGGTCTGGCGGCATCTGCGGGAACGAACGATACTCCTGTCGTCGGGCAGCTGCAGCCGCAGCGGCACGAGCATCGGAAACTCCTTCGTGTAGAAAGCGAAGAGAGTTGGGCGAGAAGGGCTGCTCCTGCTGCGGCGGTGCACCAGAGTAAGACGGAGAGACGGAGGCGGAGGAGCACTGTGGGGAGGCCTGCGATGAAGAGGATGCCTCAAGCGATGGCGCTCGCCCATCGCCTGGACGCACCAACGTGGCGTACGAACGCGCAGCGGTGGTGCCGTTCACGGTATCCGCCGAAGGGAAACTCTGAGAGATGTGGGGAGACGAGGTGCCAGAAAGTGCGCCGTGCTGTTCTGGCTGATCTTGCTGCTGCTGGGCGACGGCGGTGCGACGGAGGCTGATGAGACGCTTTGCGGCCGCCTCTGCCGCCGCTGCCGCCGCCGTCTTGGGCACAGAAGCACCCCCGATAGAGGGTGCAACGTACTGTCTGCGCTTGCCACTGTCCATTACGCGTGATTTCTACGCCGAGTACGTACAAGAGAAGGGGGAACAAAACAACTAGAAGCAGATAGCGGGAGATTTCGATCTGTGCGCCTTTCGAACAACTAAGAGATGCCAAGCAGTGAAGAGGCTCTATTACATGCTGTATGACAAGGGGAACAGCGAAAAAAAAAAACTCACCAGAGCTACAAGCACGTGAAAAGAGAAGACTGCATAGGAGAGGAGAAGAGAGGAGACGACAACAGCGTTTTAAAGAAGGCGTCAGATGCCAAGAAGAAAGGGAGCCCAGAAACAACTTCAATCTGCTGCACGTTCCACAAAAGAGAAAAAATAAGGCCAACGCACGGCACGAAAGAATGCCGCAACAACACAACACAACATCTACGCATATGAAGTTGGCAACCTTAAAACAGTGAAAAGACTTCGGTGTTTGGTGTGATACTCAGGGGAGTGCGATGGTAAGCATCAAAGGGATGGGATAGCAGATATACATGTTTACTGCTGTTTGAACCTTTTTATCATAGATGATTTGAGTCAACCGCTATTAACCACACGCGTGAGCTACACTGACACGCTCACACACGTGAACGCTCATCCCACAAACACAAGCCAATCAGTAAAGAAAGATAAACAAGTAAACAAAACAGCAACAGAGATTGGTTCGCTCTGACAGGAGGGGCGGAGGCTCATGCAGAGGGGGGGGGGACAAAAACCAGAGGAGAGGGAAGAGCTTCCGCTTCTACAGCAACCACTCCCATGCTTCTCTCGTACGCAAACGGCCTGTGATGGAGACTGCAAACTTGCCCAACACCGCTGCGCTCCACCGTCATCGCAACGTACTGTCACACACACACCAGTAGACCTCAGCCGTCATAACTGCAAAAAGAGGAGATCTCAGGTCTATATATATGTACTCTCAAGGTTCTGGTTTCGCCGCGACGCATCGCTTTCTCTCGTTCTGAGTCCGCGCAAAGTCAACGCCGACTTCTGGGGAGAAATACAGAACGCAAGAATAAAGAGTTGAACGGCCAGCCAAAAGAAAGACGATCGTCACTACTGCTGCTGCTGCTGCCTCGCCTGGCGTGCCGCTATCGCTGCCTGTTGCGCCTCCATCCATCGATAATTGTACAAATCGGCCCGCGGCTGCATGCGGGCTGCAAACTGCGTCGTGTCCGCCCCGAGGTGCTGCAACACGATAAGGTAGAGAAACATGTACTGCTCAATACGCTGCACCATACCAAATCGAGCCTTGCGCATGACAGACAGAATGCTGCAGATGCTGTCCCGATGTAACTTACCCGCCTCCATCAGCTTGATCGCCGCGTAGGCGCCAATGAGCGTGCCGGTGCGTCCAATGCCGGCGCTGCAGTGCACCAGCACCGACGGCTTGCGAGTGCCGGAAGCGCTGTTGCTCCCGCCACTGCTGGAGTTCGAGGCCCCGCTGATCGCATCAGCCGCCGCGGGCGTCTTCGGATTCGCCGCGTTTCGGTCGGCAATAATGCGCAGCAGCTCCTCAAACGACTCGGTGCTGTCCGGTACGCCGCGGTCTGGCCAGCCAACGTACTGCACCATCGTCACCTTGTGCTCCTTCTCCTTCGGCGCGTTGCACGGTCGAATAAAAAAGGGACGCCAGATCAACTCATGCTTCGCGTCGGTCCTATAGGGGTCGTTGAGATCCTTGTACACAGCCATGTTCCCAAAAGCTTCCCCGGCCAGTCCGCTGCCCTTGTCAGCGGGCCAGTACCGCTCCGCTTTGACAAAGCCGGCTTCCTGCAGTTCGGTGAGCATCAAAATGAGAGGGATTTCGTAGTTGTAGATCGCGTTTAGGAAATCCTCCATGCAGTCCAGCACCGGCGCCTGCGAGGCGACAAAAATCGGCTCCACGCCCAAGTCAAGTGTGTTGGCGTTGAAGTACAAAGGGACGTTTTTGCCGCTGGCCGTGGTGAAGTTCGCCTTGATGCTGCTGACGTCGTCGCTGGCAGCTGCCGGCTCGCCCGCAGTGGCCGGGCTGCCACGTAGGGTGTTGAGAACTCGCTGGCCGGTCGAGCGTGGCTTTTGCGCGGAGGAGCGCGCGGCTAGCGGCGACCGCAGCGGCGGAAAGAGGGTGTCCTCGTTTGCCATCACGTTGATGTAACGGTTCTTGGTGGGGAAGGCGTAGGACGAGGTGAAGTTGTACTGCCGCGGATTCATGGTGCGGGCCTCCAACGTGGCAAATTCCTTCTCGATGCGGTCAAACTGCTTCTCAAGCGGTTCACTGAGGATGTCGAATTGCGAGTTGCTCTCCGCATTGGACGTCGTCGGCGTGTTTGGCGGCCCGTCGGCGCACCGGACAGGCGTCTCTTCGTGCACCTTGTCGCCTTCACAAGAGCAGGTGTCGGTGAGTTTCTCCGGCACTTTAGAGCTGGCGGCGGTGGCTGAAGTGGTTGCGTTGCTTGGAAGGGACGGCTGGATGTCTTCGTCGCCTGGCGAGCTTCTCAGGCGTGAGACGGGCCCGCCATTGGCTGAGTTGCTGTCCTTCATCTTTGCCTTTTTTGTCGCTGGGATATGTATATGAATTAAAGGTGCAAAAACAGAAAACAAGAAGAGACGTTTCAGCAATTCCGAAAGAAAGGAAAAAAGATGACGCAGGCAGGTCAGCAAAACACGGTGTGTATAGGTGAAGTGTGGCGGTGATACGGTGCGTAATGACCGAAGAAAACGCCAGCGCCGCACTAAGAAAGACAGTGCTTACAAAAAACAAAAAAAAAGAGAGAAAGCTGTGCAGATGTATGGAAATCACAGAAGACAGACGCAGCCGTTCCAACAGTGAAAAACACTATCAAAGTATGCAAGAGAGTTTGTATAAGCGTGGCGCTCGCGCTGATTCCACGCGACTTGCAAAAAAAAAAAAAGACTTTCAATCTTCAAGGGCTCCTTTCGAAGATTGAGTGCAACGAACTCGTCTTTTTTGATGAGTGTGTTTGCGTGGACACTTTGACGAAGAGCAATGCACCAACCGGACACAGTAGTTGAGTAAAGCGCGTTTTTGATGTATTGGTCAGGTTCACGCAGCACACGGCAGCAGTGGAAGTCCTCACCACAGAAGTATACACGGCACTGAGGTACAGCAGAGAGGTACAATAATAATCGGCAGGCAAGGAGAGCGCACGCGAAAACGTCGTGGTCGAATGGAAGCGGGGTAGTTTGAAAAAGAAAAAGAAAAAGCGATTACAAAACAGCGTTAACAGAAAGCGGTGAAATAGAGCCGTTGAGGAGAAAAATAGAAGAGGAGATGCTTTTCGCCGACTTCGACACAGTTCCTCTGAATTTGACATGGCGTTCTTAAGCTGAAATGGCAGAAACGCCAACGTTGGCTTCTCTGTTCGTGGAGGGAAAGCAGAGACATACATTTTCCCTTTACATGTGCGGCAAATCGACCGCGTGAGCATGACCAGACCGGAGGTGGAATTCCCCGACCGGGGGGGGGGGGGTCGAAAAAGAACGGTAGTCTATTATATTTTTAAAAAAGAAAAACGATAAACCTTTCTTTTTGATTTTCGTTTTGTTGCTCACGTGTTACTCGCAGCTTATCGGGTGTGAGTTTATGGACGCAGCCTTCATTTCGATGTTCCTTCCTTTCCGCTCCAAGGCGTGTGTGTACGTGTGTGAGGCAGATACGCCTCTTCCGCTTTTCTGAGAGAAATCGGTAATACAAAAGCCACTGTGCAGGGAAATGAAAGCCTTTGCATTCGCGCATAAATTTGACACGACGCGCCATGATAGTTAGGGTTCAAAAAACAGTTCGTTTCAAACGTTATCCGTTGTAGTCATTTTAAAAAGGGAAACAAAATAATAACACTTATGCCATCAACGAGGCGCGCCGACACAACGAAGTAATGGAGTCTCACACTCCAAATTACAAACCTCCCTTTTGTTCCTCGACGTCCGCGGTGACCTCTTCCTTGTCATCCTTTTCTTGTACCACCGGCTCCTCCCCCAGTCGTAGCTGCATGCCCTCCAAATCCTCGTGATCCACCAGGAGCTGAATGCGCGACCGTGCGCGAAGAGCTACGGAATAGAACACCCCACCCTGTGCCTTGGGAGCCTCAATCTCCAGAAGCAGCGTGCCGATGGGGAAACTCTCCAGCTTGCTCCGCAGCGCCGCATCGTTGATCTTTTCAAACAATTTCTCTTTCAGCTTGCCGCCGTGCGCCACCATGTCTTGAATGAACGACACCGGCACACGCACCAGCCGTGCGGAGTGGCGCATCAGCTTCGCAAACAGCACCGCCGATTCGCTGGCGATGCGCCAACCCTTGTCCAGACACTCGAACGCGATGACGCGCAGCCCCGCCGACACAATCACGACGGAGTCCGTCTTGTGCCGCAGCACCGCCGCTGCCTGGCGGGACACGATGCTGCACACAGAGCCCTGCGACAGCCGCAGCTCTCGCGCACCCTGCGCGGTGCGCACAAAGAGCAGGTCCATCGGGAACTGCGGAATGCCGTAGAAGTCGGTGATCGTCCTTTGAATTTCTTGCGGTGCCGCCACAAACTGCGGTGGGAGGGAGCGGGGCTTTGTGGGCTGCGGGGCCACCGTCAGCTCCGCTTCCAGCGCGTCGGCGTCCGCGTCATCAGCACCAGCCAATGCCGCCAGCGCCTCCTTCTTTTCCTTCTTTACAGGCGAGGACACCGCAGGCGCACTGACCCCGTTGACGACGACCGCGTTTCCAGGCTCGGTCTCTGCCTTCAGTGCCTCCAGCTTCTTCAGACGGAATTCGCTGACCTTGTCCAAGACGGCCACGAAGAAACCGCCGCCTTTGCAGTGCGTCGGCAACAGCCGCATGCACAGCGCCAAATCCAGCGCCTCCACCGCCGGGGAGCTGTACCCGCCGGGCGTGTGCGGAGGGAAGAGCGCCTCGTGCATGTTGCCCTCCGGCTGCTCATAGACGCGTCCCTTCGCATCCGTCACGGTCCACGACGACATGCCCGGTGCACACGCGAGGTGGGGCAGGAGGGCACGAGCGTCCACGAGACGCATCGCCCCACGCGTGCGGTGTACAATTTGGGCCACCACCGCCTCGTTCTCGACTGGGTTCAGCGAGCACGTGCTGTAGACAAGACGACCACCGATGCGCAGGAGGTGGCAGGCGCGCAGGGCAATTTGGATCTGCAGCTTCTGCAGGTTGATGGCCTCCTTGGGCGACCACAACTTGAAGATATGCGGCGCCTTCCGCAGCGTGCCGTCGCCGGAGCAGACGACGTCGCACAGAATTTTATCGAAGCGCAAGACGTCACCTTCTCCCACCCCGTTCGTCTCCGTCTGGGCGGTCGACGGCCCCACTTTTATCTCCGGAAAGTAGCGGGCGTCGTGGTTCGTGAAGAGCGCGAAAGGAAAGAGGAGACGCAGCCGCTTTACCTGATGAACAAGCATGTTCGCCCGCTTCGTATCCAGCTCATTCGCAATCACCAGCCCGTCGCTGTCGTACCGAAATGGGAAAGGACAGGCATCCGATTCAAAGGGCACCACCTTGTGTCGGCCAAGCGCCACCAGCATCTGGGCCGTCTTCGACCCAGGCGAGGCGCACATGTCCAAGCACACGTCATTCGGTTGAATGTCCAGCAGAAACGGTGGAATCATCGAAACCTCCTCCTGCCGGCTGATCGTACCGAGTGCCGTTTGCTGAATCAGGTACTGCCGCAGCGGCTGCATCTCCGGTCGCTTGCGGAACTCCGTCTTATCGGCCAGGATACGCCATCCCATGCCTTCGATCGGGTACCACGAGATGGGCTCCACGAGCGAGGCGTCGAGGGACTGCATGTACGCCCGTACCCGTCCAGCCAGAGGATCGGTGTCGTTGATCCAGAAGGTCGTCAAGAGCGGGGTGCGGAACAGCTCCATCTCCTTTTCCCAAAGCGCGGCAGCAATCTCCTCGGACACCCCCTGTGCTGGGGACGAGGAGGAGGTAGAGGCAGAAGGGGCTGCGGTCGGATCTACGCTACGTGCTGCGACACGGCCTAACTGCTGCAGAGAGCCGTAGTAGGTGTCGAAGAGTTTGTTTCGAATCTGGCGCATCGTGTCCTGGTGAGATGCGCTGCCCACCCAGTTGCCGTCCGCATCGTAGGTGGTCGTCGGCTGCTTCGCCTCCCGACGATTTTTGCCAAACGACTTCAGTTTGCTCGCTGGAGCTGGCATTGCGGAGTCGCTGACCCTTTCCTCCTGTGTTTTCGCGGCAGCTGTTCGAGTTTGATTGAAGAGAAGAGGAGAAAGAAAATATAAAAAAAAAGAAGTAAAGGACTTCGCCACGATGCACCCAGGCCTTTGTAAAGTATCTCCACAGAACGGTTACAACAGGGAAGCAGAGAAAGAGCGTCAAAGAAAGGAAAGGAGAGAAACAAATAGGTGAAGTTTGGCCACGAGATCGGGTTCGAAGGACAGAAATATAGCATAAGAAGAGCTCTCCCAATCGCTACTGTTTCAACGTGAAACCACCCTCGACGTTTCGCAGCAAATCAAAGAGAGAGGGGTACGTCACGAGGCAAGCAGATGTCCAATACAGCATTTCGAGAATGAAAACAACAAAGAAGAACGGCAAAGACAGCTGAGACGCATTACTCCATCAAAAATGTCGTACGCATCCTTTGCGGCATTCCTCTGGCAAAAGTACTTCAGAGACCGTGCTGCGGACCAGCGCATACTTTAAACGTTATTTCTCTTTCATTTTTTTTGTTCAAGTTTCTCTTTCTTCCTAGAGTGCGTTACTGCCCCTCGAGTGCGTCCTCTGAGACACACGTCGCCTTCGCCTGCGACAACCGCAGCGTAAAACAAGGGAGAAGTTAACCATCATCGCGCAACACGGATATTCGGCAGGCGAGATTCTTCAGCGTGGAGCGCATTCGAGAAACCAGTGCGCTTCACAGCCGACGCAAACATCAGCACCGAGGAATAATAATAATGCGGAGAAGCATCATCTTTTGAAGACAAAGAGGAGAGAAGAGAGAGAGGTGGAGGGCGCCCGCAGCACTGCTATTACATTTCAGCGGTTATTTGGTTTCTGCTGAGAAATAAATAAAAACAAGAAAAGCAAGCTAACAAGAATTAGAATTTTACATCGATGAGTACAACGCGTCAACAAAGCGACTCTATACAGCATGGCAGTACTTTCATTTCACGGCGGGAAAGGGAGGACCACTACAGGAAAGACTATCGTTGCTTGCAAACAAAGTAAAAGAAAGCAAAACAAACCCCACACAAAACTATTGGGTTTACGATGTTGAACAACGGGGGGTCACCATTAGTAGTTCCCTCCGGATTCGTCTTGCGGCTCCAGCATCGGCCGCTCCGGCGGGCCTGACCGCAGCGCTAAAAAGTATACGCCGTCGATTTTCATGTTGATCAAGGTGTCGGCGTCGTGCGTCACATTCGCACCGAAGTGTCGCCCGACGATCACGTGCCAGGTCCCGCCGTACGCCGTGTCGAGGCGCTGCTTCAGCTTGGCCGCCACGTCCTTCGAGGCGTACTCGGCCGGCATCGCATCGAGGACGCACTGCGCGTGCTCCACAACCTCCTCCGTCCGCGCTTGGTTCGTGTCGTGTTGCAGAACTTCAATACGCCGCTGCGAGCGCTCCGCCTGTCTGTTATCGGTCTTCTGAACCTCGACGTCATAGTCCTCTTCATCCGCCATTTTCTTTTGCTGCGTAAAACGAAAGAGAAGAAAAGGAAAAAGGAAAACAACAGGACTATTTCAGTCACCTGTGAAGAGCACCGCGTTGATGTGCGTCCAAGAAGTGCAACAAGAGGATACTTTCAGGTATTGATAATTATAGGTGTGTAATCAAAAAAAAATTACGTACCGTGAAGCGACAACGTGTTCGCAGGCAGAGTACTGCTATTCAAAACACCGATTCCGCGCGAAATGAGATAGGTCGATTTGCGTGGGATGCGACTCCAACTACACCCGTCCGTGCGTCGACATCGAGAAAGAAAAGGAGAAGAAAAGGCAAGGATTATGCGAGGACAGGAGTAGCTGCAGGCAGCTCCTTCACAGTTTCGAAGCTCACCAACATTACCGGAAAGACTGTAGCTACGTCGAACAATCACAGCAACGCATCGCTCAAAAATACATAGTTGAAAAACTCCATTCTTTTATCCATATGCATGATGGCACATCAATTGCACCTAACCACCAGAATTGACGTCCACAATCGTGTCGTATTGACAACAACGGTATCAACTCCTTTAGTTCCAGCGGCTATTCAAAACGCAAGTGAACACATCTTTTTAAACCGATTTTCTTCCTATTAAGCGTGTGCACCTTTCCCCCACAGAGGACTGAGTGCGTTCAGGACGTAAACAGAGAAGTCACCATTGCCGCCAAGGTACAACACCTTGACAAATAGACAGAGGAAACAACCAGTTGCCCTCCAAGACGGAGGGAGAGACACAATGGACAGCCCAGCATCCAGACGCCGGCAGTCGCCCGCAGCACCACAGGCGGGCACGCGCGGCACACGGGTCATAGCAGATCTTGGTTATTGGAATCAATGGTTGTCGTCAGCGACCTGTCCGGTAACGGAGATACATTGCATTGTTAGAATCACCCCAGCGTCCCTCGCAGCACACACCGTCACGCGAGCACCACACACGCCTCGCAATGCACACACACACACGCACACACGCACACACAACACGTGCAGCTGCCGTGGCGTCTCCGCTGTGCATGAATCGTCCCGCACACGAAGACACGCGCGGCACGGGATTACAACAGCGTAGCTCAGGTCGCCCCTCGTCCCCAGCCGCAGCAGCACCGCAGGCACCGACACACAAAACAGCAGCGGCCATCAGAGTGGAGTGATTTGCGATATGTTCGATTTCTCAGCATGCTTCCTGCTCAGCGCACACTACAATGAAAACATTTTGTGTCATCCCGTGGGTCGCAGTAGAGGGCAGTCGCGGTGGCAGTGGCAGCGGGCCGCGTGGCGGGCAACGAGAGCGAAGGCAACAAAGAACAGACACGTGGTCGCCCTCCAAGACGGAGGGAGAGACACAATGGACAGCCCAGCATCCAGACGCCGGCAGTCGCCCGCAGCACCACAGGCGGGCACGCGCGGCACACGGGTCATAGCAGATCTTGGTTATTGGAATCAATGGTTGTCGTCAGCGACCTGTCCGGTAACGGAGATACATTGCATTGTTAGAATCACCCCAGCGTCCCTCGCAGCACACACCGTCACGCGAGCACCACACACGCCTCGCAATGCACACACACACACGCACACACGCACACACAACACGTGCAGCTGCCGTGGCGTCTCCGCTGTGCATGAATCGTCCCGCACACGAAGACACGCGCGGCACGGGATTACAACAGCGTAGCTCAGGTCGCCCCTCGTCCCCAGCCGCAGCAGCACCGCAGGCACCGACACACAAAACAGCAGCGGCCATCAGAGTGGAGTGATTTGCGATATGTTCGATTTCTCAGCATGCTTCCTGCTCAGCGCACACTACAATGAAAACATTTTGTGTCATCCCGTGGGTCGCAGTAGAGGGCAGTCGCGGTGGCAGTGGCAGCGGGCCGCGTGGCGGGCAACGAGAGCGAAGGCAACAAAGAACAGACACGTGGTCGCCCTCCAAGACGGAGGGAGAGACACAATGGACAGCCCAGCATCCAGACGCCGGCAGTCGCCCGCAGCACCACAGGCGGGCACGCGCGGCACACGGGTCATAGCAGATCTTGGTTATTGGAATCAATGGTTGTCGTCAGCGACCTGTCCGGTAACGGAGATACATTGCATTGTTAGAATCACCCCAGCGTCCCTCGCAGCACACACCGTCACGCGAGCACCACACACGCCTCGCAATGCACACACACACACGCACACACGCACACACAACACGTGCAGCTGCCGTGGCGTCTCCGCTGTGCATGAATCGTCCCGCACACGAAGACACGCGCGGCACGGGATTACAACAGCGTAGCTCAGGTCGCCCCTCGTCCCCAGCCGCAGCAGCACCGCAGGCACCGACACACAAAACAGCAGCGGCCATCAGAGTGGAGTGATTTGCGATATGTTCGATTTCTCAGCATGCTTCCTGCTCAGCGCACACTACAATGAAAACATTTTGTGTCATCCCGTGGGTCGCAGTAGAGGGCAGTCGCGGTGGCAGTGGCAGCGGGCCGCGTGGCGGGCAACGAGAGCGAAGGCAACAAAGAACAGACACGTGGTCGCCCTCCAAGACGGAGGGAGAGACACAATGGACAGCCCAGCATCCAGACGCCGGCAGTCGCCCGCAGCACCACAGGCGGGCACGCGCGGCACACGGGTCATAGCAGATCTTGGTTATTGGAATCAATGGTTGTCGTCAGCGACCTGTCCGGTAACGGAGATACATTGCATTGTTAGAATCACCCCAGCGTCCCTCGCAGCACACACCGTCACGCGAGCACCACACACGCCTCGCAATGCACACACACACACGCACACACGCACACACAACACGTGCAGCTGCCGTGGCGTCTCCGCTGTGCATGAATCGTCCCGCACACGAAGACACGCGCGGCACGGGATTACAACAGCGTAGCTCAGGTCGCCCCTCGTCCCCAGCCGCAGCAGCACCGCAGGCACCGACACACAAAACAGCAGCGGCCATCAGAGTGGAGTGATTTGCGATATGTTCGATTTCTCAGCATGCTTCCTGCTCAGCGCACACTACAATGAAAACATTTTGTGTCATCCCGTGGGTCGCAGTAGAGGGCAGTCGCGGTGGCAGTGGCAGCGGGCCGCGTGGCGGGCAACGAGAGCGAAGGCAACAAAGAACAGACACGTGGTCGCCCTCCAAGACGGAGGGAGAGACACAATGGACAGCCCAGCATCCAGACGCCGGCAGTCGCCCGCAGCACCACAGGCGGGCACGCGCGGCACACGGGTCATAGCAGATCTTGGTTATTGGAATCAATGGTTGTCGTCAGCGACCTGTCCGGTAACGGAGATACATTGCATTGTTAGAATCACCCCAGCGTCCCTCGCAGCACACACCGTCACGCGAGCACCACACACGCCTCGCAATGCACACACACACACGCACACACGCACACACAACACGTGCAGCTGCCGTGGCGTCTCCGCTGTGCATGAATCGTCCCGCACACGAAGACACGCGCGGCACGGGATTACAACAGCGTAGCTCAGGTCGCCCCTCGTCCCCAGCCGCAGCAGCACCGCAGGCACCGACACACAAAACAGCAGCGGCCATCAGAGTGGAGTGATTTGCGATATGTTCGATTTCTCAGCATGCTTCCTGCTCAGCGCACACTACAATGAAAACATTTTGTGTCATCCCGTGGGTCGCAGTAGAGGGCAGTCGCGGTGGCAGTGGCAGCGGGCCGCGTGGCGGGCAACGAGAGCGAAGGCAACAAAGAACAGACACGTGGTCGCCCTCCAAGACGGAGGGAGAGACACAATGGACAGCCCAGCATCCAGACGCCGGCAGTCGCCCGCAGCACCACAGGCGGGCACGCGCGGCACACGGGTCATAGCAGATCTTGGTTATTGGAATCAATGGTTGTCGTCAGCGACCTGTCCGGTAACGGAGATACATTGCATTGTTAGAATCACCCCAGCGTCCCTCGCAGCACACACCGTCACGCGAGCACCACACACGCCTCGCAATGCACACACACACACGCACACACGCACACACAACACGTGCAGCTGCCGTGGCGTCTCCGCTGTGCATGAATCGTCCCGCACACGAAGACACGCGCGGCACGGGATTACAACAGCGTAGCTCAGGTCGCCCCTCGTCCCCAGCCGCAGCAGCACCGCAGGCACCGACACACAAAACAGCAGCGGCCATCAGAGTGGAGTGATTTGCGATATGTTCGATTTCTCAGCATGCTTCCTGCTCAGCGCACACTACAATGAAAACATTTTGTGTCATCCCGTGGGTCGCAGTAGAGGGCAGTCGCGGTGGCAGTGGCAGCGGGCCGCGTGGCGGGCAACGAGAGCGAAGGCAACAAAGAACAGACACGTGGTCGCCCTCCAAGACGGAGGGAGAGACACAATGGACAGCCCAGCATCCAGACGCCGGCAGTCGCCCGCAGCACCACAGGCGGGCACGCGCGGCACACGGGTCATAGCAGATCTTGGTTATTGGAATCAATGGTTGTCGTCAGCGACCTGTCCGGTAACGGAGATACATTGCATTGTTAGAATCACCCCAGCGTCCCTCGCAGCACACACCGTCACGCGAGCACCACACACGCCTCGCAATGCACACACACACACGCACACACGCACACACAACACGTGCAGCTGCCGTGGCGTCTCCGCTGTGCATGAATCGTCCCGCACACGAAGACACGCGCGGCACGGGATTACAACAGCGTAGCTCAGGTCGCCCCTCGTCCCCAGCCGCAGCAGCACCGCAGGCACCGACACACAAAACAGCAGCGGCCATCAGAGTGGAGTGATTTGCGATATGTTCGATTTCTCAGCATGCTTCCTGCTCAGCGCACACTACAATGAAAACATTTTGTGTCATCCCGTGGGTCGCAGTAGAGGGCAGTCGCGGTGGCAGTGGCAGCGGGCCGCGTGGCGGGCAACGAGAGCGAAGGCAACAAAGAACAGACACGTGGTCGCCCTCCAAGACGGAGGGAGAGACACAATGGACAGCCCAGCATCCAGACGCCGGCAGTCGCCCGCAGCACCACAGGCGGGCACGCGCGGCACACGGGTCATAGCAGATCTTGGTTATTGGAATCAATGGTTGTCGTCAGCGACCTGTCCGGTAACGGAGATACATTGCATTGTTAGAATCACCCCAGCGTCCCTCGCAGCACACACCGTCACGCGAGCACCACACACGCCTCGCAATGCACACACACACACGCACACACGCACACACAACACGTGCAGCTGCCGTGGCGTCTCCGCTGTGCATGAATCGTCCCGCACACGAAGACACGCGCGGCACGGGATTACAACAGCGTAGCTCAGGTCGCCCCTCGTCCCCAGCCGCAGCAGCACCGCAGGCACCGACACACAAAACAGCAGCGGCCATCAGAGTGGAGTGATTTGCGATATGTTCGATTTCTCAGCATGCTTCCTGCTCAGCGCACACTACAATGAAAACATTTTGTGTCATCCCGTGGGTCGCAGTAGAGGGCAGTCGCGGTGGCAGTGGCAGCGGGCCGCGTGGCGGGCAACGAGAGCGAAGGCAACAAAGAACAGACACGTGGTCGCCCTCCAAGACGGAGGGAGAGACACAATGGACAGCCCAGCATCCAGACGCCGGCAGTCGCCCGCAGCACCACAGGCGGGCACGCGCGGCACACGGGTCATAGCAGATCTTGGTTATTGGAATCAATGGTTGTCGTCAGCGACCTGTCCGGTAACGGAGATACATTGCATTGTTAGAATCACCCCAGCGTCCCTCGCAGCACACACCGTCACGCGAGCACCACACACGCCTCGCAATGCACACACACACACGCACACACGCACACACAACACGTGCAGCTGCCGTGGCGTCTCCGCTGTGAATGGACCGCCCCGCGCATGGACCAGCGCGGCACGGAATAATGACAGCGTAGCACTAAGTCCATAAGTGCCCCCGTAGTCACTAAGGATGAGTCGACAAGGTGGAACGGCATCTGTGCCACGGCACTAGGACGATGCTATGAAAGAAAAGAATGGGCGGATGCCGATTCACAAGGCGGAACGAGAAAAAGCGGGAGGAAGGTAATCGTTGGTATGGTGCGCATCGCACAAAGCAAGTTGGGAAAAAACTGGATCTTTTAGCTTTTGCAGGTGCTTGTCTCGCTCTTGCTGTCATGTTTTTCAGCTAACCAAGGGGCTTCCATCCCGTGCACTGAGAAGCGGGACATTTTTTGGGAAGAAGAAACTAGCTCGTTCTCTAGAGCCGTTCTTTCTTTGTCGTTGCTGTCGGCACGGCTGCAACGACACAGCGGGGAGGCGGGTCATCGTCAAACACGTGCGACGGCGTTTACCTTTTACTCTCCCATTCTTTTGTGATGTCGACTTCCGCAGCTTTTAGACGCAACCATAAATTTGTCTATCCTTCTCTCTTCAAATGCTGAAGAAAAACAAAAGAACAACCACAGCAACAACAACAACCCACAGGATAACGCCGCACAGCCAGTCAACCCCACGTCCACAAATTGCTGTGGGCGAGGGAACACACGGGTACCCATGTTCCGTAAAAAAAAAGGAAGAAAAACCAATACAGGGTAAGAGAAGAGCCCATCAAGCACAGCAAACATGTTGTAACGTGGCCTGCAGGGTCACGGAGGAGGGGGGGGGGGTCAAGGAACATCAATAACAAGAATAGCTCCTATTTTTAAAAAGCCCAAAAGTAATCGAAGCTGCGGTCGATGCTGGCGCTTACAGAGAACGTGCGTAAGCACTGCGATAAGAACAACTGTTTTGCAACACCATGCCAGTCATTCCAACGCATATGTATTTTCTTCTCCAGCGCTTTAAGAAACAACGTAGCTGTTTCGATGATAACAATAACCGATAAGAGAAAGAAGAAAATAGAATTAACTCTTGTTTCCGCTATTCATTTCTCGTTGCGCGCCGCCTGCACGACAGTTTTTCGTTTTTCCCCCTTTTCTTTCTTCTCTTCGCATTACACAAGCTTCTTCTTGCGCAGCGTAGACTTCAGAAAGCGGAACTCCATCCACAACACACCGGTGATGACACCGATGAGCAACACGGCACACACCCACACGCGTGTGAAGGTGCTCTCGGATGTCTTCCGCATGCGCGACTCGCGGTTGACGCTGGTTTCGAGGCCCGCTACAAGCTTATCCAGCGCGGACTCCATCGATTCCAGTGCCCCCTCGATCCTCTTCAGATACACCCGCGGCTGCAGGTTCACCTTCAGCTGACCGCCCGCCTCGCGAAAAGTGAAAACTTCGAGTCCGTCCACCTGCTTCCGCTTGCGGATGTTCTCCACAACTATTTTGTCCTTGTCCGGCCTCTCGCGCTGCACCTGATCGAGCTCCACGACCAGCCTCAGCGGGTTTTCCTCCGTAGCGACGAACTTGGGCTGCGGAGTGAAGCAGATGAGCTGCTCGCCTGGAAGCACGGTGGCCGCTAGCGAAATCGCAAACGAGTGTTCGCCTTCCGTCATCTTCTTCATGTAGTGCACGTGCGAGGACGGGTCGGTGATGCTGAGGCTCAGCCGTACTTCTTCCTGCGGGTAAGCCTTGTTGGAGATCCATTCGTAGGAGCCGGTGATCTGCATTTCAGCCACATTTTCGATCGTCTCCGAAAAGCAGAGCGGAGTGCCATCGATGAAGTGGTAAGTGAGGGCATTGGTCAGTCTGACGTGGCAGATGGCCAAGAGAAGAAGAGCGAGCGAGCACACCATGCTGACACGAGACTCGACCTTCATGTTTCCTCACGTTTCGGTCGATCGCTCGAGATTTTTAAACACGAGAAATTGCTATTCCTTTTTCCCACGGTGATCAAAACAAAGCAAAAAAGATAATCCCAGGAGGGGTGAGACAGTTCAACGGGTTCTACCAAAACCAAAATCTGTGTTGTGCTCTTCCTCGACGCTGCTATCTGTCGTGCACTGACGTGTCTTGTTTTTCTATTACTATTTTATTTGAGAAGATGTGCGAAGCTGACGTGACCGCAGCGCAGCGTCGAGGCATCCCCCAAGAACAACAAGAAGACAAGAGAGTCAGGAGAGAAAGAACGAAAAGGAGTCGAGGGAGGAAGGGAGGGAAGTTGCACAGTATCTAAAAAAAAAAAAAGGTTTTCATGCGGGTGAATTACTCACAAGAGCGCAGCTCGTTTTTCAGTGTGTTTCCCGTTGTATGGCTGCACTGATCCCGACCCTGCCACACCGCATTTCCTCACGTAGCTGTGCGCGCACTCGCAGAAAACACACACACACACACACACAAAGGGGGGTTCCCACACGTGAAACTTTGTCGATTGATGTATCTTTATTGTTATCGCAGAGCCGGTAAGTCATGTTCGACCGTCATGCATTTAAGTTGAAGATGAAGAAGAAAATAGATGAGGTGCTGAGAGACGTGACTCTTATTTGATGGTTAAGTCGATATCTGACCATTGAGATGGCAGGAAAGGGAAAAAAAACCTGTATCTGAAGGGGTATTTCTTGGATTCTTTTTTTACCCAGGTTCTACCGCTTTTACCCGGACACATTCGCGTTGGCTTCGCGTATCTTTTGCACGGCGGCCTTCAGCTCTAAGATGTGGTGAATGACCTGCAGACGTCCTGCGGCGAGCGCTGCGGCGTAGAGCGGGGCGCCGGGGTGCACCGACGCGTCGGTCGGCAGTGTCTGATTGTCGTGTGCGTACCACACCGCGCTCCACCCCAGCTCCAACGGCGCGTCGAGGTTGATGAGGGAGTCGTCCACCATCACAAAGTTCTTCGGGTGCAGGTGAGCACGCTTGCTGTGCACCTCCTGCGCGTTCGGCGACGACGTCGACGTGGCGGTGTTCGCGGCGCCGTCGACGGCCTGCAAAAGTGTCGCATCCTCATCGATTTGGGTCTCGATGGCGCGGTAGATCGCCTCGTAGGCCCGGCGCATCGGCTTGTTCGCGAAGTCCGGCTGTGTCAGCCGCCACTGGTCCTCGTAGGAGAAGCCCAGCCACTCCACCTGATCCTCAAACCCGGTCTCGTCATCGTGGCGGTGGTACTCCTTAACGGGCGACCCAGCGGAGCGCAGCCGGGTGAAGATGGGGCGCAGTCCCTGCGGGTCGAGCACCCGTCGGGCGTGCGACCGGTTGGCGTTTGTAAAGTAGTACAAGTGGTCCACCCCACTCGTAGGCGGGGCCTCACCATCCGCGGTCGCCCCGTCCGGGGTGTACTGCATGCTGCGCAGCATGTCCACAAGGGGCTCGTTGTACTTCAGTTTCTCGTAAGAGCACCGATGTACGTAGTCGCTGTATTCCTTCGCGTTGATGTGGTACTCCTTCACATATCCGTACAGAGACAGTCCGTAGTCCATCAAGTACTTGCGGGACAGCTGCTCCGCCTCCGCGGGTAAAATCCCCAGCTTCTCTTCGACGAAGCTGAAGATGTGGTCGTGCATTTCTCTGTGGAAGCCGGTCTCGCTGTACTCGTACAGTGTGTTGTCAATGTCGATCAGAAGAAATAGAGTTTGCATTGTATTAGTTTTATTTCTTGAACGTTGAGTATTGCAACGAGTGGATCAGACCGTTGGGGAACAGGAAGCGGCTACAGCGACGATAGGGAGAGAGAGGGTGTGTCAGGTGGCTACGGGTGTTGCAGCCCGTCCGAAACAGAGTAACAGCAAATGGGGAGTGTAGTAATAAAAAGTCGGGTTGTTGTTGCTTAGCAGGTGAAGTAGTTTTGATTCAAGTAATGCTTTACAAAGACATGAGCAGTCGGTGACGCCTATTCTTTATTCTTTTATTGTTCAGCGGTGCTGCCCCTGACGAGAAGACCGGGGGTGCCTCTTTGCCGTTTCAGGCAGGTGCCGGACGTGAAGATGGGTGTTCTCCAGCTGCTGCCTGTTTATCGGGGCCTGGCTACGTGTGGCTCCGCTGGATCCGTACGCGCCACAACAACGACAACAAAAAATCACGCTTGAGAGACATTTTCGTATTACATGAAAACCAAGTGAATCATACCAAGAAAAATGGAAAGCAAGAATTGCAACAAAGCGAAGGCCACGTACGCCAAAGTAGCAAATATAAATATATATATATTATCTCCTTGTTTTTTCTTCCTTCTAAACACACACACACACACCGGTACGATCCATTATCCATAAATTTGTTTCACTTTCGCGGAAAACAAAACCCACAAAAAAAACAAAACAAAAATATCCTTACACGTAAGTTCACCATTAAACGCGAGGTTACGATTACTGTATTTTAAAAAGAAAGTAAAAAGACAAGCAGCCCTCTTCCTTTAATTAAGTGGAGAAAGGAATGAAGCTTTTGTTCTCTTTCTTTGGCTTAGAGCGGAGTTTTTATTTGGTTCTTTATCGGGTCATACAAGAACAGAAGAACAGTAAAGATTCACGCACAGTGAGTCCCAGCGTGAAAACCCAACAGACAAGAACTTTAGTGAAAAGTGAAAAACAAAAAAAAACATCGCTGATGGATGTCGCGACAACGTCAGGTGAGTGTGCTGCGTCCATCTTCCTCTTTGATATGGCACACACACACACACAAGTTACTCTACCTTCGCATTAATCACGAGCACGCTTCGCCGGGCGTTCGTCCTCGTCACTGCTATAGTCAAACTTCTTGTTCTGAATACCTGCGCTGCCGTTGTTTGCGCCGAAGGCCTGTGCGCCGTTCGCGTGGGGCTTCAAACCGAAGTGGGTGCTACCCGCCGTACTCGCCGGGCGGTCGCCGGGCATGCGCATGCGCGGTCCGCTGCGATCAAAGCTGCCCATCATATTGCGGTTCCGCTTCATGGCCGTGAAGCCGCCGCCCTGGTCGGCCCACTCCCGCAGCCACGACGGCGCCTCCTGCCCCGCCCGCTCGATCAGCTCCACCAGCTGCCGGACCGTGGGCGGGTTCAGCTGCGTCTCGTGCTTCGTGATCATCGTGAAGGCCGCACCTTTCGCTCCGGCGCGACCCGTACGGCCGATGCGGTGCACGTAGTCGTCGACCTGCATGGGGAAGTCGTAGTTGATGACCGTCTCCAGCTCCTTGATATCCAGCCCACGCGCCGCCACATCCGTCGCGACGACGCACAGACGCGGGTCCTTGCGGAAGCGCTCGAGGATGAATTCGCGCTGACGCTGCTCCTTGTCACCGTGAATGGCCATCGCATCGACGCCGCTGCGCTTCAGTTGGTACTCGAGGTAGTCGGCGGTCTTCTTCGTCTTGCAGAAGACGAGCACGCGCTGGTTGCGGTGGCGCTCCATGAGCTTGTGCAGCGCATCCAGCTTCGTCGCCTCCGTCGTGAGAATAAAGTTCTGCTCGACGTCCTTGTTCGCCAGAAGCTCGAGGCTGCCGACGTTGATGCGGATCCAGTTCTTCTGAAAGCTCGCCGCCAGGTTCTGGATCTCACGCGGCCAGGTGGCGGAGAACATGAGGGTTTGCCGGTCGGGGCGGATTTGTCCGCAGATGGCCCGCACCTGCGGCTCAAAGCCCATGTCCAGCATGCGGTCCGCCTCATCCAGCACCAGGTACGTCACCCGGAGCAAATTCACACGTTTGATCTCCATAAAGTCGATCAGACGACCCGGCGTGGCGACGAGGATGTGCAGGCCCGAGCGCAGCAGCCCCAGCTGGGGGCCCTTCGGGGCCCCGCCGTAGATGCAGCCGCAGCGGATGCTCTGCGGGAGCACCTTCTCCGTTTCCTGTTCGATCTGCTGGGCCAGCTCGCGGGTGGGGGCGAGGACGACGGCCAAGGGGCCGTCACCCATCTTCAGCGGCTCCTGCAGCGCGATGTGGGCCAGCGCCGGGACAACGAAGGCGAGGGTTTTGCCAGAGCCGGTCTTGGCAACACCGACCAGGTCGCGACCGGACAGCACAATGGGCCACGACTGCGCCTGGATCGGTGTCGGGGCCTTGAAGCCCTGGGCGAGCAGTTTCGACTTCAGGTACGCAGGGACGGAGTTGAGCATCTTAAACTCCGTGAGCGGCGGTGGGCAGTCCGTGGAGTCTGACACGGTGATGGAGTGCGTCGTGCGCCACTCGTCTGCTTCCGCCTCCGACAGGTGCTTCCCTTTGCTCGCCTCGTGATCGTCTGAGACGCTGGCGGCCTTGCGAATTGCGTTGGCGTCCACCACCTTCCACTTGCCAGGGACGAGAGTCTTGGTCGGCCAGTTCACGGGGGTCAGCTTGCTGCCTATCGCACCGCCTTTCTCCTTGCCGCCGGCGCGGGAGCTAGAGAAGCCGCTAAAAGGACTGTAGTTGCGTTCCGCCATGGCTGCCGATGTGCGTGTCTGGTTGTATACCTTTGTCTGTTTGTGCCTCTGCCTTTTCTTTTTAGAAAAAAAAAAAAATAATGAAGACGAAAATAGAAAACGAGACGGCGATGAGCAAGAGAAGAAAAAAAAAGGCGTTGGAGGACGCACGATTGAGAGATGGCACAAACGGCTTTGCTCGCGCTTCTGCTTGTGGAGTCACGCTTACTCTGCGGGTTTACAGAAGCAACGAAGAAGGGGAGGGAAGAGTGAAAATCGTGGAATGGAGAACAGCATGTGGCAGCGTTCTTTTCCATTTTTTTGATTTTTTCGCCGCTGCGTCGAGAAGCGAATGAAAGCAAAAAGATGCATATGTTCAGCAGCCATGGCTGCGTCACCGTCGCGAGGGCATCGTAACGCGCTACCGCCAATCGGCATTCAGGTGCCCCCATTTACTCGATTCACCTTATTGGACAGGCAAACGAAGGCTCATCTTGCGTGCTTTGCTGTGCTGTCAGCGACATGTGTTTACCTAAAAACAGTATCTAATGGAATACACAGTCAACGGAAGTAAACTAAATGGGAGCCCAACGCGGCAAAAGTCTAAGGGGAAGCGACATAACAAAGCGCAGTACGCCCCACCGGTATAGCGGAGAAAGGACTACGTGAATCAAAGGGGAAAAACAAGATCTAGATATGTACAAATAAAAACTCTTGCAAGTGTCTCGTCGACGTGCCGTACCGTCGACGTTCATCGAAGTGAAGCACAACCAAGACAACAACGAAAACACAGGCAAACGACAAACAGAGGAAAACGACGTTTAAGGTACCACAAAGGTAACGGTAAAGTTCTACCTTTGGGGCAGGAAGAAACAGAGAAAAACAACAACAGCAACAACAGAAAGATAAGCAGAAACGCGCAGCCAACGATGGGTGCTACGAAGAGAGGAGGTTCTCTTTGGCATTCGCAACGGTTCGTGTATTGTCAGCGCGCAGCTTTGCCATCACCACGGGTGGTTTTAGACCCCTCTGTCCACTCGTGCCTTGCTGATACTGCTGCTGCTGTTGCTTGCGTTGCGCCAGCAGTGACAAAACAGTGTTTTTGTCCCCCACGCGCACCTTCGTCTGAGGAACTACACCCAATGGTGGATCGCCGCCATCAGGGGTCTCCGTCTTCGTCGTCGTCACCGTCTCTTCAACTTTCATTGGAGTATTTACCACCTTCACGTGACGCAGGCGGCGCTGCGCTGCGGCTACAACGTCCTCAGTGAAGGGCGGGTACAGTCCGAGGCGGTCCAACACAGCAAGCTGCTCCGCCATCAAGCCCTTCACCTCCGCCAGTTCCAGCACTACCGTATCATACCGTCGCTGCCTCTCATCGGAGCTGTTGCGGACAGCATCACCAGTATCACCCGCACGAATCTCTTGTGCGGTTGCGGGTGCGGTGGTGATGGGAGTGGTGGGCTGATCGTCGGCAGGACTGACCAACGTTGCGCACGACTGTCGCTTTTCATATTCCGCCGTCGCTTGCACTTCAGCATCCGCACGTGTAGAATTCGGTGCTGCATCAACAGCAGCGGAAGGAGAAGAAGAGGCGGAGGAAACGGCAGCCTCCCGCAGCGCGGCGAGCTCCGCCTGCAGCTGATCCACCAACGCGTGCAACTCCACACACTCCTCGTCTCTCATCCGCAGCGCGTCCTCCGTGGCGGTGGCGCGGTTCGTCGCGGCTGCCAATTCAAGCCGCAGCACCGCATTCTTGCCCTCCGCACGTTGCAGCATCTCCTCCATAGAGGTCTGCTCATCGTCCTCGTCAACTTCATCGCCATCTCCTTCGGCAAACAAATCAACACTGAAGGCTGTACCTTTCCAGGAAGAACCATTACCGTTCAATGCTGCAGCCGGTGCTGCGTCATGCACACCATCAATCACGTCGTACGCCAAGTGTGCCTCATCATCGTCCTCGTTTGAGGCATCCGACGTGCTAGTCGGACGCATCGGCAGCGGCGATGACGTGTACGAAACAATGGACTTGGACTGCTGTCGGTGGCGTGCGGGTTGACTGGTCGAAAGGACCGGCGGTGACGCTTTGCCGCTTATGCTCTCGCCCACTTCGTTCTCTTGACTCGCAAGCCGCGATAAAGAGTCGCCCTCTACAACAGCAGCAGCACTGTGGACATTTGGTGAAGCCATTGTGTTGGTGCCACTGGGCTTCGTATCACCTCGCTGCGCTTCTGTGTCTGGGCTGTAGTGCTCCGTCGCTGGTGCAGGAACTCCACGAACAGTTTTTTCTTCTATTTCCTCCGCCCTCTCCCCAACTGGTGACCGCCGCTGCGATGAAGAAGACGGCCGTCGTTGATCTTTGGGCGAAGGCGGTACAGGCACGCCGTTTTCCGCAGCGTGGGCAGACGCGCTCGATCCATCACCCGACACAGAAGGCGCGTGGAACTCGTTCTTCTCCTCGTCCTTCGACACCGCCAACACACTCGCCGTGAAGTCGCCGCCGTCTTCAACGGTCGCTGCGTCGACTCCAGCAGAGACAGAAGCAGAGGACGACCGCGCGCGTCGGGTATCTGGGGGACACGCAGAATGGTTGCTGTTCCTCGTGAAGGGAGGAATCAGTCCCGCCAAGGTGATCACCGCGCAGGCGGAATGGGGCACCACAACAGGCATGACGTCAGCTTCCACCGCCTCGTTGCTGCAGCGCTGTGGTGAGGCGTCCACCTGTGCCGCATCCAGGCCATCGTGCTGCTCACCGCATCCAACAGGATCGTCGTTGTGCCTTGGCGGCAGCGCCTCCGCGTCATCATCTGCGCGTGGTTGAGATGGCGACGGCGTGGGCGGGCACAGCATGCGCGGCGGCCGCCGTTGGCGATGAGAGGGGGGCGTCGTGAGCGACACGGCAGAGGAGAGATGGAGTTCGGCTGTCTCCTCTGCCGAGGAGGTCGTCTGCCCAGCCGGTAGAGGAATTGCCGCCTCTTCCCCAACGCTCGTGGTTGCCTCGGTGACGGCGGTGTTGGTGCTGCTGATGCCGTGATTTACGTGCATGCCCGTCACCGCTGTTGAGGCAGCTGCGCCTGCCAGCAAGACGCCGGGGAGTACGCGCTGCTGCGAGGAAAATGGAGACGTCGCTTGTTGCACAGCGAAGGTGGACGTGATGGGCGGTGGATACAACACTGGCGTCGTTGCCGCTGTCGCTGCGGCCTCTTCCAACGGCGAAGAATCGTCTCGAGAAGCGGTTGGTGGCGGTGGTGGTGGGGCGGTGAGGGGCGATGTGAGGAGCGTGCCGCGGCGTGGCGGTGGTGGCTGGAGACCTGGCGATGTGGCGACTGTGGGCACCTCGGCTGCTCGCATGATCTTCGCCAGCTTGTGAATTTCCGCACGCCGGTCCACCGCTGGAGGCAGCTGCGACGAGAAAAACGTGTACGCCGATGGAGTGGCATCTCCCTCCGCAGCTCCCTCCGATACATTGGGGCTTTCGATGGCAGTGCGGTGCCGAAAGAGCACACCGTCCGCGACACTGCCGACGGAGACATCCCGAACGCTTTGAACGAGATCTGCGGCGTCACCGCCGCCACTCTTCGTGTCTGCGGGGTCGTCGATCAAGTCGTCGGCTGCAACGCCCCGTTCGTGTTTGAGGTGCGGCTCGTCAGGCGTCTCGGACAGAAGCGGCCGGTCCAACTTGTGTTGTGGTGGTCCATGAAAGCGGCGTGGTGACGACGATGCCGTTGACGAGGAGCGCGGCGTTGAGGGCGAGTTCTCCTTGCTCCTCACAGCCCCACTGATGCGCTCATCAGCCCCTCTGCCACCGTCACCATCGATGATGGTGTGTCGTCCACTCACATCGTGACTGCGCAGTCGAGCCGCCATCTCCTTCATCGCGCTCTCCATTTCCGCGTCGGCGCGGTGCAGCTCGGAGCGGGGTGTGACATCGGCGGAGGCGTTCCGCGGCTTTTCTGTGCCCAGCTGCGCCGCCACCCCGTCGCTGCTGCTGCTGCTCCTGCTGTTGCTTTTCGCGTTTGCTTTCGCTATCCCACAGATCACTCCCTGAGTGTGGCTCTCCGATGCATCCTCTTCGTCTTCTGCGGACAGCGGTGCAATGAGGGATGCCATACGCCGGGGATGCGACCATACATCAGCAGCAGCATCGTGCCTCGTGCTGACCCCGTTCGTCGTGACGCCGTGACGCAACTGTGGTGAGGAGGCATTTTCCTCTACACCTTCGTCGCCGTCAAACGCAGGAGGACACAATGCGTTGCTCGACTTCATTGTCCTCCCTTTGACTCCTCGCGCAGACGCCTCTGAGAGAGAGGTCAGCACGACGGAAGCGGAGTACTCCAGCTTACGGCTCGTGCGCTCCGGCTGCCCTTCAAGGCGTAACGGGCAGTGAGCCGCAACATGGAGTGGGCTAGGGATATCGCGTGGGGCGGCGGTGCGATCATACGGGCATCGCTGCAAGCTTCTCGAGCCGTTTCCGCCATCTCCTCCTTCGTCGTCTCTGTCTTCGTACAACATCGAGCTCTGACCTGCGCTGCTCACTGGACCATCATAGTTTACATCTTCCGACGTCGGTTCGCAAAACGATGTGCTGGTCACGTCGGCATTGTTGACCTCGTCCACATCGTTGTCTCGCCCGTCGAAGACAACTGACGACTCCACACTGTCGCGCAAATCCTCCTGCGGATGTGCGTGCCACAAGCCGTTGCCCTCCAGCGACGCCGTCGCCTCAGAAAAAGACATCGAGTCCTGCAGCGGCTCCTCGTCCGCTTCCAAACGGCTGCGCTGGACGTTGGACGGTCGGTATGCCGCGTAAGAGGTCGACGAAAACGGTGCGGTGGTGCTCGCAAGGGGACGATGCGTCGATAGGACACTTTCACGGGGAGGATCGTAGTGCGTCACCTCCACCTCCACGACGTCGCCAGCGCTGTAATGAGCAGCGCTTAAGTGAAGATTCGGCACGCCGTCATCGTGGCAGCTGCCGCGGCTGCGCGACTTCGACGCAGGAGGCGGTGGGGGCTGATGAGAAGGGGCACGATGGAGAAGTGATCCGCTCATGGTGACAAACCAATATGAATCACCAGCGGTTGACAACGTAAAGAATCGTGTTTTTTTTTCCAGAGAAAAGAAGCCGAATCGTGACGCGTGACCAAAGTGCAGTTTACCTCTTAGAACTTTTAAGAACTCCTTGTCGGCGAGTGGAAAATAATAATAATAACAGAAAAATGAATATTCGACAGGATAAAGAAAGCGTAAGTGTCTCTCGCCAGGACACGAGAAAAGCGAAGCGAAAAGGGCAGGGGGAGTGAGGGAGTTCAGATTTTCAACGCCGCCGAAAGGGCGACGAGCAGCGATAAAACGACGATAACGCGGGGAAAATGAGATGTAAACGATTGATAATAATAAAGCATCGACTTCACCCTTTTATGCAGCAGTTGTCTAGCAAAAGAAACGAAAGCACAAATAGACAAGCGAACGTGTGAGCAGCAGTAGAGGAAGAAAAAAGCTGCCCTTACGGTTGCGTTGATGTTGGTGTTGTTCCTCGTAGCTGAGAAACGCGACTAGGGGAGATGTGCCGACTGCGTGTGCGTGTGTACTCTGGACACGAAAAAAAAACTTAAAAAAAGCGACGTACTTGTGTGCACGCTGCGCACGTGGAGGAACGTCTATTGCTCTTGCTGACGAAACAAGGAGTTGTGTGAGAAGCACTCAGAACGGAGATGGTTGAAGGGAGACCAAGAAGGAGCATTAATAGAAGACGCGGAAAGACAAGGCAACCACAACCACGTTCAGCAAAATGAATACATCATTTTCTTGGTCAGGAGATGCAGCCAAGGATCGTGCAGTCCACGAGTAATTGTGCGAGCACAAGTACTCGAAATAGCCACCTATATTTGTCGCCTTGCTACAACAAATAGCAGCTGCCGAAGTGTTGACTATCCCAAGCTGTTAACAGTTCTTCCGACACATTTAGTGCGCTTGCTGAGCCTCCTGTGCTCTTGTGTCTTGCATGTTTGCTTTCTTCACGTGTCCAACGCTGTTTCGCATACTTTACTACGTCTTCTTCTTTTTGGCGCACTAAATGGAACGCTGTAGCAGAGCAACTGGAGCATGTGCACTATGCAGCGGTGCCGATGCCGGTGGTGGTCGCGCAGGCGTTAAGGCCGTCATCGTAGACGTCGTCGGCACCTCCTCGGGGAACGGCGTTGAAGGTTCATTCAGCCGGCGGGGAGCGAGATCGCTTCTCACGTTCTTCACGAAGGCCGCTTCCTCGTAGTCGCGGTGCACGACGTCCCTCTCCCCACGTGAAAGCTGAATGGCGGAGGGCGAGGGTGTGATGAAAGCGCCGGAGCCGGAGTCGGAGACGCCGTGCTCTCGCCCCTCCGACTCCGTTGGCGACGACGTTGAGGGAAGGTGTGTTGTCTTCCACAAGATGGGAAAGGCGGCCTCGGTTTCTCGCAGCAGGCGTCGCAGCCGCCCCGACGGGGACTCCACCTCACCTACACCGCTGTCCGCACGGTGCAAGAACTGCTTGTACGGAGCAGCTCTCTTGGAGCTTGGCGGCACACCATCGGAAACATGCGGCGGACTGGTAAAGGGCGAGATCGATGCCGGTTGGGTGCCAACCTCTGTCCCGTACAGCCGCGTGCCGGTCTCGCGTAGCCGCTGCAACTGCCGCGCTGACGACGCGGCAAAACGCTCCGACGACTGCTGAAACGGACCCTGCATAAAGGAGAGATCCTCGGCAGCGGTGCGGGCATCCCAGCTGTAGAGCCGGCGTGCGTCGGGCCCCGGGGCGAGACGCCCCACGTGTGTGGTCATACTCGGTGGAGGTTCAGGGAAAGCTGAGTGGTCGGTGTGCCGTGCCGACACATCAGAAGTGGGATGCATTCGAAGCCCTTCCTCCGCTACTGCAGAGTCCACGTCGCGAAGAGGACGAGGTGGCGTCAGACACCGCCGCAGGAGGGGGTTTTGCACTTGGATCTCCCGCAGCAGACGCTGACATTCATCTAGGGCGGGGTAGACGTAGCGAGGGAAGTAGGGTGAAGATGATAAGGTTGCCGCTGGTGAGGCCGGCGCGACGGGCTCACCCAATGGCGGTTGAGGAGACGCACATCGGGATGATGAGGAGTGAGTTTCGGGTCTGTGCGAAGAGAGGGCGGGGGCGTCAGTTTTGATTCGTGTCTTTTCGCGTCTGTGGCCGCTGCGCACTTTCGTTGCTGGGGCGGGTGTACGGCGGCCGGGGACACAGTTTTCCTCGCTTTCTTCGGCAGCAACGGTCTCGGTACTTGACCAATCTTCCTCTTCCTCCTCCTCGTCGTCGGAGCTGCGCACCGGGTTACGCATTTCCTCATGGGCTGGCGGCGATGTGGCTCTTGCAGAGTCGGGGCCAAGAAGAGACGCTTTGATGGAAATGCTGTACTGCCGGCCGGTACGGGAGCTCACCGCCGTGCCACGGTACGAATTGGAAGACGCACCCACCGGGCCCGCCGCTGTCTTGCGCCGTGTGGCCACTTCATCTTCGTCCCTTGTCGGGCCCACCGCGGACAGCGTCGTGGTGCTGGTTTTGTCGGGGGTGGGTATCGCACCCTGTCGTGCTGCTCTGCGCCGCGGCTGGCTCAGTGGTGAGGAGGAAGAACAACGCCGCCAGAAGTTGGGGGAGGTTTTGCCGGGAGAAGCTCGGCCCAGCAGCGGCGCACCGTACGAAGGCTGCGAGGCAGCAACGGCCACGTTGGCGTTGGATGCGCGCAGGACGGAGGCGGCGGTCACGGCAGCAGAAAGCTCGGTGGGCAGGGGTGGTGATGACGGACAGGCATCTGGATGATGAAAAGATCCGTAGGCACCAATGTCGCTCTTCTGCGCGTAGCTGTCGTGTTGAGCAAGAGACGACCGCTGGAGCTTTCCGTATGGATGGCTGCGATTCAATGCACCAGGAACAGCGTCCGCAAGAGTTGCTGCCGAGGCCGCAGTGGTGGTGCTGCGCGTGGGATTCTCTGAAAGGAGCGAATTTGGGAGAAGAGGCTGCGGTGACTGGAGCAAAGAAGTTCCATGGGAGTGTTGTGCGTGATTGCCTCTCCTCCGCACATCGCGCTGCGGCTCCTCCAAAACCCCCGCGCGGCTTGGGGCAACGTTCAGCTGAATGGACTCACCTGTCGAGGCGCGCGCTCGAGCGAACGGTGCAGCTGCGGGGTTAAAAAGAGCTGCACTTCGACTGCTGTGTTGCGCATCCGCTTCTGCGGAATTCTTCACTACAAACGCGTGGAAGGCTGGTGCGGCGGCGTGTGAGTGAACTGAAAAGGGCGTAGGTTCTGGCCGGTAGTGTTGCTGACTGCTGCTGCTGGTGTTGCTGTGGCTGCGCTTGGAAGCGGGTGGGGAAGCATGAGGGGCGTTGCTCTCGGCTACTGCAGCATCGACGCGCACACTCACGACGGCATCAGCAAGTCTGTAGGGAGCAGGTAAGGAAGGAGCACTTTGCGTCTGGAGAGGCGAGAGCGGACGGATGAGCGGTGAATGAGGCATGTTGTTCGCCTGTCTATGGTCAATCTGTATAAGTATATGTGTCGGAGGTGGATAGGGTGGGATCGGACGACTGCGTGCGGGGGACACAGTGAGAAACCCCCAAAATGGATCAGAAAGTGGCGTCGATGGACAAGGCCACAAAAAAGTTGAACTCTATTGCAGTCTATAGTACTACCAGCAATAGTAACACATATCAAATAAAGGGTTTGCAAAGTGACGGATCGACGTGTCACCAACTTAAAACTTCGTGCAGGAAGAGAAGGAGACAAGAAAAAAAAGGCCTGGTATTGTTATTTCACGACCTGGGGGTCTTCACTACCTCCGCTTTGAAAGCCGCAAGTGAAGGGAGCGGTGCAGCTGTTGAAAAGGAGTGCTTTTTTGGTGGATAAAGGCAACACGCTTTCTGGCTGGCGCTGATGGAAACACAAGACAACAGAAAAAAGGAGGAGAGGAAGGGAGAAGGGAGGCAGGAAGTTGTGAAAGAGGCTCGTGCAAAGCAGGCAAGATAACAGCGCAGACGAGCTAACAACACCCGCAAAAGCTCCACCTGTTCTTCTTCTTTTAAAAAAGGAGAAAATCTTCTGTGAACTTATACGTTTCCAGTACAGTCGTTCGACAGCATCATTCAAATGGTTCCCGCTCCACTTGCACGACTGTTTTTCTTTGTTGTTGTTGTTGTTGTTGTTGTTTTTTGAAGTTTACAGCAAAAGCGTCGAATGTAAAAAGCGTTTGTATAGCAGTGTTTTTCCCTTCTATTTCAACGTCAAAAAGCAGCAACACAGCGTGTCGTCACATCACTTTCCGCGCAATCTAATCGGCCGCGAAGACGTACGTCGCAACGTTCGACAGCAGCTGGAGGGAATGCACGACCAGACGCTCGGTTGTAGCGCTCTCTGACGGCGAAACAGAAAGGCTCAGCCGCTCCACGTCGGCCACCACGCCTAGCTGCAGCAGCGTTGGGACCGTCGCAGCGCCGTGCACCGCCGTCAGATTGACCAGCAACGTCACCCACGCAGCCACCATCGAGTACGAAGTGTAAAAGGGCGAAATTAGCTCGTAAATAAAAGCACAGGTGTCCGCATCGACCTCCAGAGCCGGCCAGCACGCCATGTTTGAAAGAGCAGAGAGCAGCAGGTGCAGGAGGCGCTTCTCCGTTCGGTAGAGGCGGGTCACGGCGATCGCGAAGGCCCAAACGGTGTTGCCCAGCGCCACAAGGCTCTCTTCTTGTGTGGTGTCCAATGCGGCGGTCGTGGTCAGTCTTACCGTTCCATCTGCCGCGTGCACCCCGCCGCCACTTTTTTCACTCGGCTGCTGCCTGTTCCGCGTTCTTCCAGCAACCAGCGACGCAAGGTTCGACGCCACGGCGCACCCGTAAACAAAAATTGGCTCGACGATGTCCTCTGTTTGCAGCTGCGCTTTTGTTTTGGCGGGAGGCGTTGCGGTGGGGACGGCGGTGTGGGTGCGGCTCGCTGTGGTGTCCTTCGAAGACGGCGTAGCAACGTGAGTGGCTGCCAGAAACGATTCCGCAAGACGCTGCAGAAAGAAGAACAAAAGTTCCACGTCGCCGCTATCGTGCTGCTGCTGTGACGATGACAATGCTGGAGACGCGTTGGTGCTCGGGGGAGGGCGATGGCTTGCGTTCCAGTCCAACAACACCGTGCGCCCGTCTCCGAAGCTATTTTTGTTGCTCTTCGTTTTCGATACGTGCGTGTCACCAGCCTCGGAGGCCGGTCGCTCGCTGTCAGGGTGTGTCTGATCGACCAAGCGTCGCAGCTGCTTCGTGAGCGCTTCCCAGTCGTGCTCGTACGCATCTGCTAAGAGGAATGCGGTCGGTCGAGGAGGAGAGGTGGCAGACAGTGGTGCGGCGCTCGGTGCGTCATTCACGTTCAAGGGGAAGGTGAGACATCCTTCAAGGTGGCGCACCGCATCCACCGCGCCGTGCAAGGAGACGAGGGCGGGGTGCGGAGGTGGTGTTGTCGGTGATGATGTTGGCATCGTCGAATCGGGGGGACACCGGTGGAGGGCGAACTCCCAGATAGATGCAAAGACAAACTCATACACACAGCAATAAACAACAACAACCACAAAGAGGCGGCTTTCGCTGCGCTACAGTGAATATGCAAAGACTCAAGAAACTTCAAACACGACTGTGAAGAAGGCGAGAGCTTTCACAATTTTCAGTTGCAAAGAAAGGGGGAAGGAGTGACAACGCGGAGAGAACGAGAGAGAGAGAGAGAAACGCACAGCGTGTGCGGGCGGCAACAGGAATTAGATTCGTCTGCGCACGCGACAAACGAAAACACGATAGGAAAAGACCGTCAGCCACTTCTGCCTTCACATTTACCCTGTACTTGAGCGCACAAGACAGAACAACTGCATTATATATAATTCTTCTCGCCATCGCGAAACGGCAAAGGAAGCGGCGGGTCTTTTCTACCGACTGCAAAGGAAAGTGAAAACCCACACGCGTTGCGCGGCGAAGATCAACCCGTGACAACCGTTCCTGATCGCCACAGAAAACTGGCGCGCCCGATCCTCTTGCTTTTCACCCCCTCTGAACATCTTTGTTATATATAGTCGATTGACTAACGAGCATTCGGAATTAACTTGAAGGTAATAAGAACCGTCGCACATATGAACACGCACCGCAGTTAAAAAAGCCAACTAGAGAGGTAGCCACAGCACAATGAGCCATCTCACGCAGCGACACCCATCAACGAGTGGAGAGAACAGTTTATCAAAGCAAAAAAGGAGGAAGACCGACAACACCAAATCAACGTCCCGCCGTCGCGAGAAGTTGCTTACGCATTCTTTCCAATTATTTAACCGCCGGCAATGTGTCGTCATCCTTTTTTCTGCCACCACCACTTCGGAAAAAAGAAACAGAAAAATATATATATTAACACTTCACGCCGCTAAGATCGCCCTTGCGAGCTTTTTTCTGATGTCGAATTCGTCCTCGAGCTTTGAAACAGCGGAGCAGAAGAGGGAAGCAAACGAAAGAACGGGACCGCTAAAGCGCTACTACACACAGGGACAGGCCTGGCACCGTGCAAAGTTCCTCCTCACTCGCTAACAGAACGTCTCGACCACGCTCGCCATGCGCACAACACACATGCCATCGCGGACGCGCGTGAAATATGTTTCGCCAGCAACTGCTTCGAAGTGTGTGTGTGCGTGTGCCTTGACGACGGAGAGGCAGCCGCACTTCTCGCCTTTCCAGAGTGCATCAGCCCAACGCCCGGCGGAACTGCTGATACTCCCCACACACCGGCGGGTCCTCCTTGCGGCCTCGTGAGCGGAACTTGAAGGCCTCCGCCTCACATCGCCGTCCTAAGTAGTCTCGCTGGCCCTCCAGCACCTTCTTTTCCATCGAGAGGTAAATGTCCCTGCGGCGATCCATCATCTCCGACATGCGTCGCGTTGTGTAGAACTGCACCCGCAACCCGTACAGCGACGTCGTGCGCGGCACGACTATGCCCTCATCCGGGGACGGCGTAAAGCTGAAGGCGGCGCTGGACACACCAGACTTGCCACGACCACCGGCGCCGCTGGCGCCGAACATCGCGCTGGACGCGTCGGTATCCGTAAAGGTGCTGCTGAGCAGCATCGCCATGATGACAAACAGAATAATAGGAATCAACAGCAACATATGAGGGTTGACGTTGATATCGGCCTGGTAGTAGTTCCCGTTGTGGCCGGGTGGACCTGCGCGTGCCTGCGCGGGGCCGAAGAAGAACTCCTCAAAGAAGTCGCGCTGACCTGGAGGGCGACGACGGTACGGCCCACCCGCCGCGCCGTTCGCGGGACGACGCCCGCCGCCGCTCTCGTGCCGCTGCACGCCGGCCTCGCCGTGGCGATCATAAATGCGTCGCTTTGTCGCATCCGACAGCGTCGCGTTGGCAGACCCCACCAGCTTGAATGCCTCGGCAGCCTGTGGGTGTTTGTTCTTGTCGGGGTGGCACTTGAGGGCCATCTTTTTGTAGGCAATCTTGATCTGATCGCTCGTGGCCAACTGCTCCACCATGAGGATCTTGTAGAAGTTACTCTTGTTGCGCAGCACATACTGCACAATCTCCGTGTCGTTCATCGCGTTCATCTTGAAGGTGAAGAGAGAGAGAACAAAAGAAAAAGAGGGGTCCACCAAACACAAGACAGCGGTTTCAACAACAGCAAATTGGTAGAAGTTCTGGAAAGCAGCAGAGCCACACGCGGCGCTTTGATCAAGCACCCGTGTGTGCGTGGGAAAGAGAAGACTCGGTAATAAAAGGCACTAATCTCCTCTCAGCAAATCACCAAGAAAGACGCGGCTCGTAGTATAGATAAATAAATAGACAACAACAAAACGTGGAAAAGCGCAGGCAACAGCTCTCACGAGCAAAAGAGACTTATGATTACAAAACAAGAAAAGAGGAAGATAGTGTTACGCGAGAGCACTCTGCGACTGGAACTGCGTGAGATCCAAGGAAACAATTACGGCAGATGCGACGCAAGACCACACTAAACAGCAGACAGATGGGAATGTGATGCAAAGCTCAAACGAATAACAATGTAGAAAGAAAGAGGGGGTGAAAGAAGATACAAGGTGCAGCGTTACCACGCGTATCCTTTCCTTTGGTTGCGGTTTAATGACGTAATTGGCGAGACGGTGTCCTCGCTGCTATGAGTGTTGATTCGCTACGGTGTTTTTTGTTGTTGTTGTTTGCTTGGTTTTGCTCGTGTGTGAGCCCCTTATGCGTCGTAAAGCGCGGTGCCCTTCCACCCACAGAGAGAGAGGTCCGTGAAACAAACGAGGTTTCTCTTGAACACAAAAAAGGTCAACGTGACGGGCCTTCTCGTCCGGAGATGCGCTGTGTGTGTGCGTGTGTGTGCGGTCGCGGCTCTGACAATTCCTGTTAAACAACAGCAACAACAAAAAAAAGTACCACTATTTACTCGTTCGTTGGTCGAGCGATGGCTTGGCGAATGAATCAATTGTCGCAGAACGCACGGTACCGCAAATTTGGAGCGGAAAGAAGAGGGGAGCGGGAGAGGGTGACAGACAAAAATAAACTAAGGGTCATGGAGAGCAGCGACGCTCAAGGCTAGCAGGATGCAGAAGAGCTCGTTTGACGGAGACAAGGAAGGGCCTTCGACTGATTTGGAAGAAAAGAAAGTAGCCTGGAAGTCCATAACGAGAGGTTTTACCTCGAAGCATGCGCTGTTACGCGTCGCATTATACACATGTGTGAACTTTCAATAGTAAGCGGAATACGAAGTGAATTGTGGTCAACAACAGCAACGGTGGCAACAGCAGCGAGGTCAACGTATCAGAAAAAAAAAGAGGATTATTATAGCGCTTTACCTTTCCTCTGTTTGATCTCGTTTCTCACCCTACTACACGACATCAGTCCGTTGGAAGATAGGACGATCCCTCCAGCACAAAGCGCGGCATCTGCGCGAGCACCTCCGGGACAGACAGGTGCAACACATCCACCGCCCCTGCGCTGCCGCCGCTGCCCACACGCCGTCGTCCGGCGCCACCGCCGTCGCCACCACCGACAGTTGCACTGCAGTACCCAATCATCGTCTCCGCGTCTTTAAACTTGCAGCAGTCGTGCTGGTAGAAAAAGTCCATGCGCTTCCGCTCGCTACGGTGCATGAGACGGTAGCCGACGTGACGCCAGAAAGGAATGGCCTGCACATCGGCAGAGATCATCACAAACTCAAGTCCCACCCTACTGCACCAGGCAATCAGTGCGGCATTCAGCAGCCGACCAAGCCCGTTCTTTTTGTAGCCCACACCGGTGGCAAAGAGCGGCATCTCCGCAAAGCGGATCGTTTCCTGCTGATGCACCGTCACGGTCACCGCACACACAATCTCCTGCGTGGCGAGGCAGCGCAGGTACCACGAATAGGACCCGCTAATGCGCTTGCGTGTGCGGGTGGAGAAGGAGTTGGGCAGTGCGACAATGCGGTGCAACTCCGGTGGGTCGGGATGCAAAAACTGTGAAGCGTAGAGCTCAATCACCTCCGCGCGTTCCTGTTCCGACTGCACGCAGCCAAAAAGTAACGCGTAGGGGCCCTCGCCGGTGAGTTTGGGAAAATGATCTTGAATGGACGAGCGAAGCAGCCGCTGGGCGTGCGTGCGACGTGGCAGGTGGTGAGAAGACGAAGTAGGGCTAAAGAAGTTGCTGCTGCCGGTGGGACTGGCAGCCGTAGACGACGTGGGGCTGTCCATGGAAGGCGAGCTTCCATCAATCCCGTTTAGCGTGTGCGGACCCACAGCAGCAGAACCTGCAGGGCTGCCACCACCGCCGTTCTCGCTCGCCGGAGAAGTCGGATCACCGGTCGTCGGAGAGTGTTGGTTGTCGTGGAAAAACATGAGGCGTTGAATGAAGGTGGGGTCAACAAACGTGTGCACATACACCTTCGCGATCTCGTCGCGTTCCTCCCTTGTGGCGGCCCAGTAGGTCCGTGCTAGCTGATCCTTCTGCACCTCATTCAATTTCACTGTGGAGTAGTACTTGAGCAGGATTGCCCGCTCCTCATCCGTGAGCATGGTTCTGGAAGAGCACGAATCGGTGGTGTTATTGTTACTGGCGTGGCCTTCGCGGCGTCCCTGTTCCCCTCTTTTATGCTTTAGTACAAGTGCACTTCACCTTTCGCTACAGCAGGGTAAGACGACTGGTGTTCTTCTCAAAAGTATACAAATACGCGGGTGCGATTGTGGTGTTTTGCTTTACTTATCATGACATCGATGTGACACACACACACATAGGCAAAAAGAGAAACGTCCTTTTCAGTAAACGTTGTGTTTCCCTGTCTTCTATAAGTCTCTTTATATATATATATATATATATATATGCTTTCACAGCGATGCGACCTTAGAAGAGATAATGTTGCAGTGGATTGCACGTTACCTTCTCCGTTGGCGAGGTACACCTCGCAGATGGCGCAGAGAGAGAGAGAGAAAGGAGGGCATTGGGAAAGGAGCTCGCGACAAGGATCAAAAGGCGCTATCGGGGCAAATCCTACGCGCATCACCATCCACACCACAACAGACAGAAGAACCGAACCAGATAACGCGCAGAAGGGTCTTTTGATTTCCCCGCTCTGCTTCGTAGTGCACCAAACGACGCTTTATGAAGATACAAAAATGGCGCTTCAGAGCTCACCAACTCTGGAGCGCGGGAGCCCACGAGCAGCGGAGAGCTGCCGCATCCTCTATCGTTCCTTCTGTCCTGCGTGCTTTCAAAGATTGCACGGCGCAAGACTTCCTTTGCTTAAAAATATATCGAGTTCTTCTTTTTTTCTTCGTTGTTGGTATGCAGCGTGGGTGTAAGCAGACGCAAAGGGGACGGCGACGAACACATAGGAGAAGCGCGAAAAACATTTATCATCTCCGCGCCCGTGTTCACGTGAGGAGGGGAAAAAAATGTGCAACGCACTCTTCGGTGCTCGTTGTGCACTGCATTTTACATATCGCTCTTCCTTTTCTAGGCTTGACAGCCACGTATGAGAAATCGTCGAGGTGAAGCCGAAACCGGGCCTCGCCACAGCTCACCCACATGCCACACGACAGCCGCATGACCACCAGTGTCTCTCACAGTTTCAGCTCACCGATCTTCAGCATAAACTGCTCCCTGTGCGGCTCGCGAAGTCCAATCGCCATACTCGCCATGACGGAGGTCGCGGAGGTCACGAAGAGCACGTCCGGGTCCAGCGTCTCGTTCAGCTCTCGCTGAATTGTGCTAAGAAGGTTGATCAGCAGATCGATTCGCTCGGCCTCCGACGGCACGCGCAGCACCCATTCCTCGATCTGAAACCCATCCAGCTGCCGCCGCAGCTCTTCCTCGATCAGCTGGCAGACGTAGGCTTTAAACAGACACCCGTGGGCGAAGCGCTCGTAGACAACCTTGTAGGCCTTGTAGGAGTGTAGCTGCGTCCACATCAGCGGTGCCGTCTCGCGGTGCCGCAGCGCAAAATCGCTGAGGAACCTAGCCGGGGAAAGGAGGCTGTCGCACAAGGCACGATCGCACAGGTGGAAGGCGGTGTACGGAGCCGTGACCGCGTGGAACCAGGCGGTGACCGGCGTGAGGAACTCCGTCGTGAGGGAGGTGAAGAACTTGCGCAGGATGTCGTCCGCCACGGAGAAATGCGAACACGAGGTGATGCCGTGCTCCGCTGCGGTCGGGTCCGCGTGCTTCTGAAAAGAAGCCGGCTTGGCGAAATGCGCAGCGCCGCTAGGACTCGCAGCGGTGCCAGTTGAAGGACCGGGTGGAAGGGGCAAAGTGGCGCCGTCGCTACAGCTACGACGCCACGGTGACAGCACCGCTGTCGGGCTCCCTTGCCACTGGTTGAGGCTCAGCGTGACAGACGTCCGCTGCGCGTCGGCGTCGAGCAAGGACACCATCTCCAGCCGCTTCAGCAGCATATTGGACTGCTCGGCGTGGTTCAGCAAGAAGTGCACGGACGAGTCGAAGTAGTTATGCAGGCGCTGCTGGAGGTTTGTCCGCGACATCTCCTGGTGCCCGCCTCCACGCTTGCGGTAATCCGCGGCGTGCACCGCGTCGACGGTGTTTTTGTAGTTGTCCGTGGTGAAGAGGGTGACGGTCGAGGCGGAGAGCGCCGGCAACGTGATGGGGGCCGGCGAGGCCGAGGAGGCGCCGCTGCTCCGCCCCTCAGCTTCCTGTCGGCGGCTGCCCGTGCTCAGTGGCACCGGTGCGGTGCTGCCGCCTGTGGCGGTAGAGTTCGTGGAGTCCGCCCGCATGTGCACGCCCGCCACCGCCGCCGTCGCCCCCTCAGCTTTGCCGTTGGCCTGTTCATCCGTGTCACTCACCGTCGACGTAATTCTCCCCACGGCCGCAGAGGCAGCGGAGGAGGACGGGCGAGACGCCGGCGTAGACGAGCGCAGCAACGGCGCCGCCTCCACGTCGTCGGAGGAAGACTCCAGCGCGTACGTGGCGTGCGGGTCTGCCTGGTAGGCCGCCGCCGGCTCCGGTGTGGGGGACGTGGTCGCCGATGCCGTGCCCGCCGCTCCGTTCATCGCTTTACTGGTGGGGACGTGGACGAGGCCGGAGAGGGAGACGCCGCTGGCAGTGCTGGAGGGCCCTGTCGTTGTGGTGAGGGTGTGAAGGTGGTGGTCGGCGTGAAGGGGCGAGGCCACCGTCGTGGTGCTGCTGCCGTTATTGTCGACGCCGCCGCCGCCTGCGCTGGCGTAGCTGTCTAACAGCGAACACGAATCAAAAGCCGCCTCGCCATTCACCGGCAACGGTGACACGGGAAAGCTGCTGTTATGGTGGCCATGCATGGGCGGCGTGGATGGGGCATGCAGGCCGGTGGGGCTATTGTGCGTCTGCGGCGTCGGCGTGGTGACGAACGGTAGAAAGGAAGAGGAGGGGGGAACAGGAGCGCCTTGGCGGTGCCACGCCGGACCACCCCCACCCCCACCAGAACGGTTCTCCCGCACCGTCGACGCCGCCGTCGACGAGGTAGGAGACGCGACAGACCCATTCACCACGTTTGCGGTATTGCGGTCCATCACGACCAGCAGGCTCGGCCACCCACTGAAGCTGCGGAGCAGAAAAGGGTTCGTGCCGGCGACAATCAACGCCTCGTTCGTCGGGAAGGGCAGGGCCTTGCCCATGCGACTCAGACGTGGGAAGTCTTCGTTCTGCACCGTGAAGTACGAACGCAGCGTGCCGTTGAACTGAATTGGCAGAATCAACGACGCAACACTGAAGGCAGTAGCAGAGGCGACGCAGGGCGTGTTGCTTAGTATGAGGAGCGGCTCGTGCCGCAGCAGCAGCTCCCAGACGTAGGTGAGGTGGTGAAGCTGCTCACCGAGGAGACTGAAGAGGGGCAGAACGTCGTTGCCGAACGAGCTGCCGCGGTATCGGGCGTTGCCGCGGGCCACCTCCACCAGCTCCACCCGCTCATCCACCTTCATGCACGTGCGCACGGCAGCACAGCTGCTGCGTGTGGCGCGAATCGACTGTCGCAGGGAGTGCGCCGGTGTTAAAAAGACTAACGCCTGCTGGAGAAGATTGACGGAGTAGCGCACCTGCGGGTGCGGCGAGGGCCACTGCGCCAGCTCCTGCATCGCGTCGCGCAGCACGTCCTCCTGCGAGTAGTGCTCAGGTGAGTAGGATTGATCCACTTCGAAGTAGGCCTCCGGGAAGGGGCTCATAGCGCTCGACACGGGCACCTTTTCAGTGTCCGGTGAGAGCGTGCAGCACTGACAAAAGCGCGGCGCCACCACGCGAAGAACTAGTTCGTGCACGTTGTAGTAGGGCAGGTGGGAGAGCAGCACGACCACTTGCTGCACGTAGTGGCGCGGGACATTCAGATCGTGCTTTTGGCGGTAGAAGGCCGCGCCGTACAGCTCCGGCACCGTGTTGCCAGTGGTGGGCGGCGCCACTGTCTGCGAGAAGCTCTCCGCTGCCGCCGTCGTGCAGTCTGCCATGGTGAAGTAGAAGATGAAGTTGTAACCGCAGTCCGGGTTGCAGTCGGGAAACGCACAACGCAGGAGCTTTGACTTGCCCTCCTCGGTGATCGCGTTGGGTGGGGTGATGCATTCGATCTTGGGGCCGATATCAAGATCGAAGCGAATCGACACGAGACAGTCCACCCATGAGGAGAGCGCCATGATGAGGAATGACTAATAACAATAACAAGAAGGAACAGCAGAAGATGTGCGTCGGACAACCTCCACAAAGCAGGAGAAAAAAACGACGTACGATGAAACAAGAGAAAACAAAACAGAAGTAATCGGTGGTAACGGAGAGCCAAAAGGACCTACTGCGGCCATCAAAAAAGTGAAGAAAAATAAGGTAAGCGACAAAAAGAAAGCCGTGCCGGAGCGCGGTTGGTGTTGTATAATGACCACACAGCTTTCAATAGGAAGCACCGCAGAATGCTGGGACCACGCACCGTGCTCTCAATGGAGCTCAATTACAAACACCTTTGGAGGTGAGTTCTTTCCTACAACGCTAATTCTTTTGCTTTAGACGCTTGTTTGAAAGGAAGTGATGAGAAAAGAAGAAAAAAAGAGTTGTTATGGCTAGCAACATACAGTCACCAACCCTGCCAGCAATACCTGCAGCGCTGTCTATACCTGTAGCTGGCGAAAGCTTGAGGAACGAGAACGATTAAAGATGAAGAGAAGAGAAGAGAAGAAGATGCCATACGAGAAGCACAGAGGACGAATGCAAATGCGTGAAAGACGCGAAGAGGTAACATATGAAGTTTGAAGAAACTGGAGGCAAAAAGAAAAGAGAAATCGTTGAGGCTTGAGACTGGCGCGGCGAGCCACCAAAGGAAGTGCGTGCGTGGCGCAAGGGAGACAAACTTGTCCCTACCTCTTCTTCTTCTTTCCTTTTTTTTTTTGATGGAGAGAGACTTTCGTTGGTGCGACAAACTGCCTCCCTGTTCTTGCACTTTTCTCCCCGCTCTAAAGCACATATATAGGAACGCTCAAGTTATACTTTTCATTCTACGTGTCATCCACACTGCTTTTCGCAGAAGAGCGTTACATATATTACCTTGTGAAGAGAACGTCGATGAACTATCAAGGAAAGATATCGCAATGAAGTTTGTCGGTATCCTCTTCTGTAAAATACCAATAATAAAAAACTAAACGGTTTTCCAAAGTTTCCAACGAAAAAAAAGGTAGCTTCTGGGGAGTCCACGGGGCTAATGCTCCAACACGTCGAAAGCCATGTGTGGCATCTTGTGACGAGTGGAAAAGGCCAAAGAATGCAGAGCATATAACTTCTCATCTTGGGCGAGCACACCCAGAAAGAAAGAACAAAAGGAAGGAAGAAGAAAGAGAAAACAAAAGGAAATTAGTGGCAACAGCAACACGTAGATAGTAATAATAATAATAGCAAGGAACATACACTCAAAGAACAAATAAAAAAAAACGCGCCAACTAACTGGGGCTCAACGTTTTAACAAAGAAGCAGAAGCGCCGTAGAACTCTGGCGAAGAAAATAGGAAAGAAAAAACGAAAACAACAAACTGAAAGACTGCCCCAACGACGTGCGTCAAGATTCCATCTGCGCGCAGATTTCTGGTTTACGCACGTACGAGCTGAGCTTGCGCAGCGCACGTTGGTGAAAAGTAAACCTTACGGCTGTCTCCGCAACAAACCTTTTCGCAAATTGCTTCGCTCCCTTGTCCTTCTTCACAGAATAACAACAAGATTATCTTTAGAGAAAAAAAAAAGATGGCAGCGCGAGACGCTGCAGGTAAATGTCGCCTAGTGGGGGAGAGGTAAAAAGAAAAGAAACGCGTGACCTTGCGTGGCTACAGAAGGAAAACAAAAGCTTATTGAACGTAGACTTAGGCGCGAGGCACCTCCGTGAAGAGTAGAACAAAATGCGAATCGTTACGAGGAAAAAAAAGTACAGGAGATCGCCGCCTATAAAATAAAAAAAGAAAGACATCAAGAAAACAAGGGGTATTCAAGGCAGTTTGAACGCCCAAATTCTTCTCTTCAATCGCACACTTATGCAAAAGCTGTCACACCTTGCACACCACAGGGAATCCCACGCAAACAATTCGTCGTGCGTAAACCGGTCCACGACTTCTCCGTCTATTTGCGCGTTTCCTCTCTCCACCCGGCCAGAAAGAACGAGTCGTACCGATGCGTCCGTAAAACATCACGAGTCAGTTACCATCAGCTACTACTGCTTCTCATCCTTTTCAATTTTCCTTTTCTTCTTTTTTAAACCCTACTTAGCACCTCTCTCGTTCGCTCGCGACTCGGGCACGCTTTGGATCCACTAATTGCCGTCGTGCATCACGTTTCCGTCGGCGTCGCGTTGAGGAAAAATGGACCCTGAAAATCCAGCGGGCATCGTTGACGACGCCGTCTTCTCAAAGAGGCTGTGAGAGCGCTGATTGTCCGACCCGCCGTGTATCCGTGCAGTCGAGCGCGTCATGCGGTAACTTGTCGAGCTGTGCCCCGACCGCGGCACCTGCCCTGCCGTGCGACTCTGCACCACCGTGCTCCACGTCGCGCTGCCAAAGAATTCCAGCGGCGCACTTATGCCGGACACCTGCGAAACCGACGTGCTCTCGAACGAGGTGTTCCCCAGGTGATCCGTCGTCGCGAGGCCGATGTGGCTGAGCGAATTTTCGGTCCCGGCGATGCTCCGGCGCGCAGATGCGCCGCGGAGCGGCGACTCGTCCGCCAGCAGCGTCATGCTGCCCGGTTCATTCGATGGGCGGTCATCGCTGCGGAGCGTGTCGTTTTCGGCGATGCGCGGCGACGGCCAGGAGTGGCTCTCGCGCTCCATGAGAGTGCCCGCCAGACCGGCTTCGCTGGCGACGCTGCCGCGCTTCGAAGCGCTCAGCGAGTTTCGCAACGCCATGCCGCTGCCTGCCGTGCTGCGGTTGGCGCCCGTCGGTGGGCGGGTGCCCGCTGTGTTGCTGCAGAAGAACCGCGGCGCCGTCCAGGAGCCGTTCATGGGGGTCATGAACGGGGAGGCAGGACTGGTCGAGTGAGCGTGCCCGTTGTTTCCGCTGACGTTGTCGGCCAAGTGCGGAATCATTAACGTCGTCTTCCCTCGTGCGCCAAAGCTGTTGGCGGGGCTGGCGGGGCTGGCGTAAGCGGGGTAGTCGTCGTGGTCCTCATTGCCGACCCCGCTGTCTCGCTGCTGTTGTTGCCGCAGCCGCTGGCGCTGCTCTAGCTGCGTCACCGCCCACTCCAGATAGATGTTGGCCCTCGGGGATGGGCTGTCGTCGTCATACATTCCCTCCGCCGCCTCCATTGCGGCGGCGGTCGTGTTCGGGCCCTGTCCAGAGAGAGTGGCCGTGGCTGTGGGGGTCGCAGCAGACCCGTGCAGCCCCACCGCAGCGGCCGCGGCCGCCACAACAGTCGACGAGAACGACTTCCGGTTCGTGGGGCCCGAAAGGGGGGAGTGGCTGTCGTGCGGCCACTTCATGATGGGGCTGTAAGGCGACGTCCGCAGCGGTGGAAGAGCGAGGGAGGGGTTAATGGACGTTTTGGATAGCGTCGTCGGCGTACTCTTGTGCTCCTTGGTCTGTGACCCATGCTGCGCACTCGTTTCTGCTGTTGCTTGGGCGGCTGCGTTGTGAGCGCCCGAGGCGACGTTGTTGGTGCAGAAAGTGCTGCCTTTTGGTGGCAAGGCGCAGCTCGTTGCACTTTCGGCGCCGTCGTCTGCCGACGAGCTACGCGACGGTCGCTCTATCGTTTCTGCGAATTCATCCAGCGCGGTGAACAGCTTTGGCGAGTCCGCTGCGTAGGTGCTTTGCTCTGCAGGGTGCAGCACAGACACGGTGAGCGGCTCTAACGGACCGGTGTGCGTGCTGCCGCTGTCGTTCAAAATAAGGGTTGCCGGCAACGGCGGTCGCTGCGACAACCGGCTGTTCACGGAGTCCGCACCGGGTGGCACCGTGGACGCCCGCATGATGTGCGGTGACGGAGACGAGGTACTGTAGTTAGAGTCCATTTTGCTGTTTTCAATCGACTGCTGGCCACAGTCGAGGGGCCCAGAAAAGATGCTGCTGTCGCGCAGTGACGCTAACCGCACGTGTGCGGGGCGTCCGCCCTCCCCCGCACCGCCGGCACTGCCGCTGTTGCTGCCGCCCAGTTGTCTGTTGGCTGCATTTTCCATGATGCATTTGGGACTCAACGGGCGGTTGCTATCCAGAGACGGTAGGGCCGTGGCGGTGTGCTTGATTGGCGACGAGCCCGCACACGCATGCAGCGCCTTCTCCGTCTTTCTCGCCTCCTCCACTGCTAAGGCAGCGTTGCGCTCATGCGGCTGCGATGGGATGTCGGACCTGCACAAAAGTGGACTGGTGAGTCGGCAGACGGTCTGCTCCACCGCTGTGGAGGCGGCTTGATACGCCTCGGCGACGGCGCAGGCAAGGTAGCCCTCCCTCTCCCACGCTTCTTGCCCACCCGCCGCTCTCCCCCGCGGCCCCCCGTACGAGGCGGTCGACTGACGCGCGCGGCGCTGACTCGTCCTCGGCTTCGTGCTCGTGTCGTCGGCGAGGAAGCAGCCAAGTGCCAGCTCCGCCAAGTAGTGATGGATCAGTCGCGAGACGTCGTTCAGCGCGGCCTCGCATTCTAGCACCTCATGCTGGTGTGCCTGTCGACGGAAGAGGCTCGGTGATGCGCCGAGTGCGGATAAGGGCAGCTGCAGCATCAGCATATACGACGGAGGAAAGGCTGAAGTGACGGTAGAGAGCGCAGCGAGATGCTGGGTGAGGCTTTTGTGCTGCACGTACAGGCCCGCCAGCTCAGAAAGGACCCACTGGCGACGCTGCTGTTGCGGAGAAAGGAGAGGAGGAGAATCGCCAGAGGGAGCAGCGCTGTTGGCAGCGTTGGAGACCAGATGAGACGACAGTGGCACGCTGCTCTGTGCCAGTGCGGTGACGTCAGCCGCTTGGCATGAGTCTGCTTGCAGCTGGAGATGTCCGTCCTCGCGGCTCTGGTGATCGCGAAACATGTTGTGCCGCTGCCTCCTAGGTCGCTGCTGGGCGTGCGACGGTGGTGGTGGTGGTGGTGGTGAGAGCCAACGCTGCTGCGCCGTGCCGCCCGGCACCGGATTCTGCAGCGGCCGAGGCGACGACCAAGGAAGCGATGCAGCACCTGCCGCTGTTGCTGCTGCAGCGGCGGCGGCGGATGGCCGTGTGGGTCGCACCGTCGAGTGAGGAACCGTGAAGACTATGGGGTTCGTAGTCGGTGCCGTCGCCGCCACCGCCTCTAGCGAGGGTGCGCTGAACGATGGACTGCTAAGCTCCGACAGCGACGCCGAGGGCGGGCGGTGAGGCGGCAGCGTCTGCCGCGGCGGCGGCGGGTGGGCCGGGCCGCGGAGGAAATCCTCATTTGCAAGTCGCGGCTGTCGCTCGGGCACATGGCTCGCCTCCGCCAGCTGTGCACTCATGCCTGGGCTGTTCCTAACGGCGCACCTCGATGGCGGAGACCTTTCGCGCGGAACGTAGTACGGCGAGAGTGCTGATATCTGCTCCCATCGCGGCTGTCGACTCCGCGGCAGACGTGCCGGGCTGGCGGTGGTGGGGGAGGAGCTGGGTTCGAGAGAGGGCGAGGAAGAGTGGAGGGGCACCGGCCCGTTGGCCGCAGCGGCTGCACGCAGGGTGCGGCGGCTTGGGTGGTGTGCAACCGCCTTCGCGGTACGGCTGAAGGACAGCGTTGAATAGCGCGGCACGTGTGGGCTGAGCGGGGAACGAAGGTCCGTCGAAGAATCCCCACCAACCGTGTTACTCAGGGTACCGCTACTATGGCTATTGCTGTTGCGTTTGCGGCTACTGCTGCGATGGTGCGGTGCGTCTTCTCCGCTGTCTTGGGTTGTGGGGGAAACTGAGGTGCTCGTGGCTGTGGTGACAGCAGGACCGTAAGGATGGGGAGTCGTCCACGGTGTTACCGTGGGTGGTGACGCTATCTTGCGCGGCCACCGCTGCAAGTCCTGATGGGGCAGCATGGGATGCCGCGTGGAGAGTGGGGACGGTTGCTGGAGCTTGGAGTGGTGGCGGTAGCGGGGCTGTGACTGTGCCTGCGAATTCGAAGGCAGCCGCTTAGCAGGTGAGAGGGGCCGCAGCCGGCTCGCTTCCTGACTCTTCTGTCTGTTGGGAGACGAGTTTGCTTTGACGCCTGTGTGAGAAGCCGAAGACGAAGAAATGCTGAGCAGCTCGGTCGGCACCTTTCCTGGTGGGCGTCGGTGAACGGGAAGAGGTGGGACATACACGGAAGAGGGTATCGACGCCGTTGCGGACGTGCTTATGGAGGCCCACGCAGAGGGAGAAGAGCGAGGACAGGCGGCAGCGGTGGTGGAAGGAAAAGGAGGCGGCGGCGGCGGTGGTAGAGGAGGCGACGGCACGTCGCCGTGCCTGGCCTTCTCCTCACCCGACGCCGATACCGTCTCGCGAGCTTTACTTTCAGCGTTGTCGTTGGCGCTGTGGTGCGCGGCGGTGCGTAAGCGCCATCGTATCTCGCGGCAAAGCGCCGCGATAGCCGAGTCCTGTGTAACGGCGACGGGGTACGCGTCGTCCGTGTCGGAGAAGGACCGCGTGAGACTTGCCACACTAGCGGCGAGCGAGGAGGTGCTGCGGCTGTGGCTGACGGAGACGTACGGGGCGACACCGACTGCCAGCCCCGACGTGGGCTGCGGAAGACTGTCGCGGGGTGGCACATCACCGCCGATGGCGCTGCTGCGTTGTTGAGATGCAGGGAAGGTCGTTGCCCCTCCAACGTGTCCGCCTTCGCCACTTTTGGTGGAGACCGACGTACCACCAGCTGCGTACACCCCCGAGGGAATATCCGTCAGCAGAACAAGATGAAACATAACGGGTACGGCGTCTTTTTCTGTGTCAGCGGTGCCACCGGTGTTTTGCATATACACTTTCCTCTTGTCTGCGATGTGGCCACCATCAAGCGGGTGCTGCAGGCCAGCCTCCATGATCTTCTCAAAGGTGGCCAAGTCGATCTGCTCCCCTTTGATGTTGCCGTCCTCATCCACGTGCACACCGTCACACACGCATAACACGGTAGCCAGGTTCAGGCGCAGCTCAAACAGCTGCAGCGCCTCGCTCAGTCGCTCGAAGCTGACGCGGCGGTGCGCGCCTTGGCGGCCCTCGGCGAGCTCTGCAAACGCCCTGCGTATCACGTAGGACCACAGCGCCACATCCCCGCACAACACACTGTCCGCACGGCCCCTGCTTGGCGCAGGCGGCGTTGCGCTGTATCCACCTGCGGCGCCGGCTAAGGGGAAAGAAGGAGAGCTTGGGTCAGGGCAGTTCGCTTCACCACTCGGAGGTGCCGACGTCGATCCCGGCGCGGCACCCCGCCTCGTCGCAGCGTCTGGAGAACGAACGTCAGGTTTGTGAAGCGCCACTGCCGAAGGAAGAAAAGTCAACGGAGAGGCGGTGAGAACGCTGGAAAACGATGTTTTTGTGTGCATGAGATACCTGGCTGCGTGGGGCGATGTCGGATGCTCCATGGCGGAGGTAGGCGTTGCAGGCCGCGGGGCGGTCGCACTCGGTGTGAATACACCGCTCCCGGTTTTTTCCGCGTCATCGCCCGTACCACCAATCCTGGTGGCCGCCGGGCTTTCCATGCTTCGTTGAAGGCTGTTGCTCAGCTTCCATTCTTTGACTGAGTGCGAAGTCCTTTCCGACTTGAGCACGCCGGCGAAAAGCAACGCGTCATCCAAGGTAAAAGACGCACGCACAGCCGCTGAGTCGCCGGTGAGTGTCCTCGCGCCACTGGCGGCCGAGTTCATCACTTCATGAAAGCGGGCGGTTCCAAAACACCTCTCCGCCTGGCGCAGCAGCTCCGCCGCCGACGGCGACGGGCCGGTCGCAGCAGACGTCGTCTGATTCTCGTTGTGGTGCGCCGTCTCGTACAGCTTGCGCAGTAGACGTACGACACCCCCTTCTGCCAACGCCGCTGCTGTGCTTCCTTGATAGGTTTGAAAGGCGCGGGTCACAGCGTGGCGCTCGTCCGTGGTGAGAGGAGGACATGCCGGGAAGGGTGCACGCACGCAGGCTGTGGCGTCAGCGTCACGGTGCGATGTGCTGGCCCGCTCCTCCCCCACACTGTCGTTGCAAATGGACGAAGAAAAAGACAAATCCTCTGCGTACGCGGGACTGAGAAAGCTACGGTTCTCTTCGGTGGACACCACTGCCGCAGCCATTGAACTCATTCTGGGAGGGCTGGTCGACTTGGCCGTACTTTCAACGGGGCTTCGTCGCACGGCAGGCCTGCGATGCGGCTTCTCTTTGGCAGTTATCGAAGGTGTCGCACGTTGAGTTCCGTCTCGCCCGCCTCTCTTCGATGTTTGCGCAACATGACCTTTCTGTGTGGCGAGTGCGACCGCGTCTTTCGTTGCTGAAAGCAACTTCTTCGCATCGCTGCTGCCGCTCTGACCGCCAGCGGTGCCGTGGTGTGGCGGAGGTAGTGGTGGCGCCTTCGACGCGGTTTGTGAAGTCAGGGGCTCCTCCTTTTCCTCGTGACGGCGACCACTCGTGCCTGTGCTGTCCGTCTCGAGAGACAGGCGGACAGCCTTGCGGCTGACAGAGGTGAAGGCGACCGAACTCAGCTTGGAAGAGTTCGCGAGGCGCAGACGCTGCTGCGGAGGTTTTCGTCGTCGATGAAATTGCATTGCGGTTGAAGCTGTAACTCTGCCACAGATGGTGCTCATCGTGTGTGTGTGTGTGTGTAAAAGGGGGGGAGGTCACTTGGCTTCCCGCGCCGATGCAGCCTTGTTCCAGCTTTCCAGAAACTTAATGAGAGTGAAGAAGAGAAAAAAGGTTTTTATGATGAAAGAAGACAACGCCCGTAACAAAAAAAAAACAAAGAAAAGGTTCGAGGAGAGAAACTTGAAAAGAGAAAAGAAGAAAACCTTATCGGGTGTTATTGCTCGTTCGTCAGCTTTGCACTGCCACACGTCAACACGATGGCCAATGCGAGAATGTTTGTACAACGCCGAGAACGGAAGAGCAGAGACCGGCGAAGCACGTTGAAAAACGCAACGGGTACTCTCGCGCAGAGAGAAAGAAAAAAAACGAAAACGGAAAGAAGACTGATAGAAAATCCAACTGAAACACAATAAAGAAGCGGCAAAGACACAAAACGAAAACAAACAAACACGCACACCGAGAGGAGTAGAGAGGAGGCGAAAAAAGGGTTTAGAACCAACAACAATAAAAAGCACCGCTGAGAATTGAACAAACCGAGTTTTAATCGAATGCACTTGGGACGCACGCGGGTTGAGAACAGAAGCGGCACACAAGTTGTCTGGGCTCCTTGACGGTGCGTTCCTTTACTTCCGCTTTAAGATCAACAGAAAGAAATGGAGAGAAGGAGAGAGACAAAAAAAAAAAGACAGCTCTCTATCGTTGCGAGTAAATCGGGCAGCTTGTCACGTTACATCTCAGGTGCACACGCACACCCCAGGTTAAAAAGGTGAAGAACAAAAGAAAAAGAAAGAACTCTTTAAAAAGAAAGTAAGTAAACGATAAGTAATAGAGGTGGAGAAACTACGTTGAGAAAAACCAGAAGAAAGAAGTAACAAAGAGAGAGAGAGAGAGACAGGCGTCTACAATTGTCCTTACGTACAACGAAATAATTTAAAAGAAACAGAAACAAACAAGTAGACGAAGAAATAACAAAAATTGCCGCCCTTTTTCTTTTAACTATCACGCAGTTGCGGGGAATTATAGTCGATGTGCAAACGAGAAGTTTCCCCGCCAAAAAAAGGCGTAATAATAAATGTATTTTTAAGTACAGAAATACAAGAATGAATGAGGCCGAAGCAGAAAACAGAGGAAATAATGCCAGTCTGCGATATTTATTTATATGTATGTATAAGGAAGAGCCCACACATATAACTATATATACAAAAGAGGGTTTGCGGCGATCGCAAACTGAAAAAAGGCAAAAAAAAACCTTTCAGAAAGGGGGGAAACGGCGCGTCCTTTTCAATTACTTCTTCTTTGGGTTCCTCCCTGCTCGTCACGGAGTAAAAAAAAAAACCCAACTTCTTTTTCTTACTGCGGTTTCACGCACTGCGACGAAAAGAATTCGTTTTAATAATCCTTACAGGAACAAGAAAGACGACAGACCGTATTCGCAGTTATTTCTCCGCGGCATTCGCTTGAGCTGTCATACGTCCCGTCACTTCCCGTGAATATCGCTTCTCTGTGTTGTTCCTAACTAGTGAAGCGTACTAGCACGGAGTGAAGAATACGGCCTACGTTAAAAAAAGGGGGGGAGGAAGTGGTCGTGCCGGCGACTGGGAGGTGCAAAGGAAGAGAAAAGATTGAATGTTCATTTTCTTTTCTTTTTACTGTTGTGTTTTTTATAGTGGGATACAGTTAAAGCAGTGTTGATGAAGGGTGCTGCGTATTTGTCTCTTTCAAGTAATCAAAACGATCCTCATGTGTAGTTGAAGAAGCTTGGGTCTCCTGCTTGCGTATTGCCACTGTGATGCGTAAGCCACAAGTTTTTTTTTGTTTTCAATGTGCAGAACTGAGAGGGAACAGCACCAATGAATTCGAGGCAAAGGATGGGAAGGCAGAAAGTGGCTGCGTGCCGAAGGAGTCGCACAACGGGCTTTCAGCTCGTCGAATGAACGAGTGTGCGCATCCATGTGAGAGCGAGCTGGTGGTTCATATATATATGTATATATGCAGCTGGAAGGGGGGGGAATGCATAAGAGTCACCCCGTTAATCCTCCTTTCTTTTCGGCGTGAAAACGAGTGGCACAACCGTCACTCTTCGCGTCATCGTCGCCGCACGTTCGAGTCATTTTTTTCTCCCACAAACTCAACACGTGGAAAATCTTTTTTCAAGGTTACTTGGTGTGTCTCATTTTGTGAGCTGCACATTAACGGAGAGAGAAGAGATAAGTGTAGGTGAAGCAGAGAAGAAAAAAAAAGAGTTCCATTTTTCTTTTCATAAAGAAAGCAAAGACAGTAACAAAAGAAAAAGCAAAGGAGAATCAAAAAGACGTCGAAAGACCTCCTCTACGAGACTTCCTATCTTTTTTCAGCACGGTGAAGGAGTAACGAAAAAGGCTTGTTTGCGTCTTCCTTCTCCGCCTCGGCCGAGAAAGGAGAGGGACAGCTAGAATCACCGTTTTTCCTTTGTTTTCTTTCCTTACCATGTTCGGTGGTCTACCTGTCCCGTGTGCTCCTTGTACGCATCTGCCGATATGCCAAGCCCGATGCCGTTGGTGGAGTGCGCATACACGCGGAGATACTTGTCGCCATCGCGGTAGTCCACGCCGTCGCCCAACATCATCTCCTCCTCACGGCGCTCTCGGAGGGTGCTGCTGAACGTCTCGTCAGTCTCGACCTTAGAACGGAACCTCTCCAGCATTGTCTGCTTGATAGCCGCGCCTTTCTGGCGATCAGCCTCGGCTAAGGAGACAGGCCGGGGTCGCATCCCAGTCCGATCCTCACGCACGCTCGTCTCGCGCTTCCACCTCTCCAGTCGTTGCTCCTGCGTGATCGGCGGCGCCTCTGTGCTGCGGGCTGCTCCGGCTGTCGTGTGCTCTGACGCCGAAGACGTGCCTCTGGCCGTTGAAAACGAGGACGTGGTCGCATCTGTTTGCGTCCCTGGTGCTGCGCCACTTAGTCGAACCGTCTCCTTTAATGCACGCAGGCCGCGGTGTGCCCCTTCGCATGTCGGCTGAAGTGCGAGAGTGCGCCGATACGCCGCGTCTGCCTCCACGACGTCCCCCCGCCGTCGCTGCGCATCCGCTACACGTAGATGTCCTTTGAACCACTTCGGCTCCATTTCCACTGCGGCCTCTGCATCTTTCAGCGCCAATGCAGGGCCGGCGTGCATGGATGACTGCAGGTAGGCAGCGCTGCGGTTGCTGCGAATTGCTGCCGTGTCCCCGCCCGGGAGGGCCATGAGCTTTGTGTAGCACCGGATGGCGGCAAGGAAGCAGCTGTGGTTGTAGCAAGCGTTGCCCAGCTCTTTCCAGTCGGCGAGGAGCTGGGTGAGGTGCGTGGACGCGTCATCGTCATCGCGGTCCCACGGCCGACATGCGAGCGCGTCGAAGCGCGATTGCAGATCTCTCGGCAATGGCGGCTCTTTTGCACTCCTAGCTGTCATGGTTTGATTGCTCTCTTGCATGAAAGTCCGAGGCGCGGTCTGAGTGGCCAAAACAGCAATAACAATAAAAAAGGTTTGTGGATCCAAGTAAAAAATGAGAAGAGGACGTGAGCCACTGGAAGCGGGCGGGCTCTCTCTCTCTCTCCGTCGACAGCGTGTTCAGTATATTGGCGAAGAAAGCTACACCAAACGTTTGCGGTGCTCTTCGGCACCAGTTGTGAAATGCGTGTGTGCGTGTGCGAGACAAATCTCAAACGTGGAGAAGTTTGCAGTAGGCGAAAAGGGAAAGCGAGACGGCACGAAGAGAGAAGTCGAAGTGAATGCGTCGGACACGAAACGAGGAAACAGATTCGACGCTGTGTACACCGCGATCGATGCGCTAGGGGGAAAACGGTGTACATGGGACCACTGACAAAAAACAAAACAGCATCTGAGGTTCCTCTCAATGCAACCCGGTTCAATCTGCTCTTTCCAATCCCTTTTCTTCTTTCTACCGCCCGACACGTATTTCTGCCGCGTCCACACCTCCGACCTTGACACTCCGAGAGAACGGAAGAGCAGAGCAAAACACCCCTTGCTCGCCGTCACGCCTCTCCTCCCTGCGTTGTTAGTCTGTGCGGAGCCCTCCTCTTTTTCTGACCGCGTAGCACACAGCCAGAAGATGCTGTCGCGATGCCTCACGAGCCCCACATCCCCACTCAATCAATGACCACCTCATCGTCGCGACTGCCTCCGCTCTGCGTCGAGGTGCGGGGACGCTTTGCCGGAGGAGACGCCTGCCCCTCGCCATCAGCATCCCGATCGTCGCCGGGCGTTACAGAAGTTGTCGTTGCCGTCGTTGTGCTCTCCACGACTACGGGCCCTGCTGTGGACGGAGTTGCATTCGGCGGCTGCGTTGTTGTCCCGCCTGTCGACGTTGCATTCCCTACAGGGCCCACGGACGGGTTGACGGAGCGAAGTAGCTGACGGAGGTGCTTGGCGAGGCATGTCGCGTCAACTGTCGAGCTTGTCGTACCGCCCACGTTAGAGTCGCTGTTGTTCAAAAACACAAACACCTCCTTCTGCTGCGCCGCCTCTCCCTCTCCCTCTCCCTCCGTACGCGTGCCCCGTCGCTCAGCCGAAACGTTGGGAGGGTGCAGGTAGTGGACGATCTCCTCTGCCCACAGCTTCATCGCGAGGGAGCCGTAGTCGCCGACACTGCGGCCCAGAGGACCGTGCAAGCGCAGGTACAGAAAGCCGGCGCCCGTGTCCACGACACTGGAAAAGGTGGGGTCGTCATGGTGGTGCGCGACGACGAGCGCCCAGCGAAAAGAACGAAGCAGGTCAAAGGTCTCCTGCCGATACCAGTTGCGATTGCGGAACTCCACCGCAATGCGGATGCGTCGTTGCTGTCGCCACTGACACGTCAGAATGCCCTGTGAAGGTGACCGCGTCTCGGTCGCTGTCGTGTCCGCCACCTCCTGCAAAACAACTTCTTCTCTTGTCAGCTGCTCGTACAGCTCGGACAGGCGCTCAATATTCGTCTTCGCGTAACCAAAAGACGGCGGCAGCTGCACGAGAATAGGCCCGAGAAACGGTTCAAGGAGAGGGCAGCGTTGATGAAAGAAGGTGGCGACGTGCTCATGCACCTCGCCATCGCGCATCTGCAGCTGCTTTACGTGAGTGAGAAGGTTGTTCGCCTTCACGGTGTATACAAAGCGAGCCCCGTTGACGGTGAGCATGCGTCTCGAGGACGCCGGTGAGTGGGTCGAGCTACTAACTGTTGCGGCTGCTCGGTCTTCCGCCGTCTGACATGGAGCAGAAAGAGAAAGAGGAAGAGACGACGCCGACAGCGCTGTGTGGATCTCAGGCCTCACCACGTTGCTGTCCTTCACCATGTCTGCCCACGACTGCCAGGTGGCGGCGTCGCCCACCTTGTGATAGGGGTAGCAGTGTTCGAGGCAGTTAAACTTCTTACGGTACTGCGTGAGAAGACTGCGCATGCTGCGGTCAGACTTTCCGATTGTCGGTACCCCGTTCAAGGAGCTGATGCCGATGTGAATATGTGGATGGTCGGTCAGGACGGCGGATATGGGGGGCTGGAAGAGGCTACCCCAGCCGTAGGCGGCGTTGCGTGTTGGCCCATACGGGGAGTTCAGCACGAGGGTATCGTTTGGCCCCTTTGCCTGTAATCGCTGCGGAGTCAGAGAAGGTCGCTGTGCGGGTGGGAAAGACAGCGCCGGTGAGGGACTCGACGTTCTTTCAGACATTCGTTCGTGTGTTGCTGCTCTTTGACCCTAACACGAAGTAGATGTGTTAGCGCAGTCCCTACAGCTCGAGAAAGCTGCGTGTGAGAAGGAAGCGAAGGAAGGAGAAGGAGGCAGACGAACTTGCGTGGGGGAAAAAGAAACATGGTTTGGTGTTGACATCACGATGAAAAGCACCGCCGCTGCTGTGCAAAAGCTGCTGCAACTCCACTTTTGAATTGGGTGAGGCTTCTATTTGGCTCCAGAAACATCAACAGCAGCGATGGATGTCATCATAAAAATAAGCAGGTGTGTGGGTCCCCTAAGCTCCTTCTGTATATGAAATTTCGGTTAATCACACACCATCCTTTTCGTTTCGAAACCTCCGCTTTTTAAAAACAGCAACAAAATAATTGAAGTTTTTAAGCAATATATATATATATATATATATATATATATATATACTTATGTATTTTTATTCTTTCCTTTGACTCTACGTCGAAGGTATAGACGTTGCAAGGAGCGTGCTACTTAGCAAACATAAAAGGCACATGTCAAGGCGACAAAAGCAATCATAAACGTACCCGCAAAGCCACAGTACGCCATCGCAGCCACAAGCAAGGATGAAAGCGTGGCACGGAATCACAGAAGCACCAGCCAACAACAACAAGAAAAAAAAGGCGAAAAGGAAGAAGAAACTGATGTGGGTCTGCGCGACACGTGAAACAAAACAAACAAATAAACAAACACATCGATCCGTTAAACCGAGCGCAGCGGGAGGTTTCAAAGAGAATAATAATAAAATTAAGACAACCGTTTTCTATTAATAATGAAAAAAAAACATTTGAGTTGCTGCCTCTCGCCGTAGACCACCACTGTGTGTCCGATATCGAAGCAGCAAGGACGAGGAAGTCTGGACGGCATACCAACCAACACAGCATATTCACAACACATATACAAATATGTATTTATTTTTAAAGCAAGACAACAGACGCGTAAGTGGCGCACTTAATCCAACAACAACTGCAAAAACACGAGAGGTGCACACGTGAACACTATCTTCACCCCCGATCACAAAAAGCTGCAATACAGTAAATAAAAAGAAAGAGAAATATAGGTGCAAATATTTCTCCGCTATCACACTGACGCACACGTGGAATGCAGTCGCGGTAACACACAACAGGAAAGGTAACCAAATAATACAGCACAATCCAGAAAACACAAAAAGCTGGAGAGGAGACAGACGTGCGAAAAACCAGTATTGCGAAAACATCAGCACGAATAAGGTTTAACTTCTTCACGAAAGGGGAGAGAGAGAAGGGAGAGAAAGAAAAGAGCATTGAAGAAACACACACCCACAGAACATGAGAAGACGCGTCTTGACAAAAGCCCCGAAGAGCAGAAAGACGGCAACGGAACAAAAATATATTTAAAGAGAAGGAGAAATTCATAGGAAAAACAAACAAACATTGATGAAGGCAGCGATGGAAATTTCTTTTACTTTCCTTGCGAGCACGCGGTGAAGTTGAAACGCGCGCCAAAAATTAAACCGTTTGAGTTGATGAGTGGAGAAAAAGATCGGCGAGCAAAAGAAAGAAGAGTCAAAACTCTACGAAAGGAGAATGAAAAGCAAGAAAAGTGGTTGTTTCCTTTAAGGGAAAAGTCGTGTTAATTGCGGGTTGTCTACGGCAGACGGCAGGTCTCCTGCTCTCATTCTTGGAGTCGTTTGTCGTACATGAACGCCGTTCTCCCAGTGGGAGAGCGCGGGAGGAGGAAGCAAGAGCACGAATGAACAGACAGAAAATAGACGTTCTGAGAGCAAAACATTTGAGAAGGTGCAACCGGAAGAAGAAAGAAAAAATCCATCGACTGTATCAACCTGTTGAGTTCGGTTAGAATGAATGAATGCACGTAAAGAAAACAAAGGGCAGGCGCTTGCATATATATATATATATGCTTTGTTACAAAGGAAGGAAAGAGTGGAAGGAAACCAAAAACACAGAAAGAAGATTAGGAAGGGAAAACAAAAAGAAAAGCATCACTAACATGTTTACATGGACGAATAAAACAAATGAGAAACCTTGATTTTTTTTTTTTAAAGAGCTCTTTTTGCTTTTTCTTCTTTGTCTTCAACGACAGCGAAGTGCTTCTCGACTTTAACGCCTCCTTCGAATAGATATACTTGGTCGCTCAACCACGGTTTCTCCTCCTCTTCCTCGATTGGTCATTGAAGCCTCTCAGCTTGCCTACACTCTGCCACTCCGTTTTGCAATGGCCGAAATCCTAGACATTGGTGAACAGAGTTTAAGAGAGACGTTCGAAAATCCAAAAAAAAAAGCATACGCTGCAAAGGGTCCGGTGCGGAGAGTGCCGACATAGCGGCGTCGGCTCGTGCTTTCTCCACAACCGCAGCCAACGTGCGCACGTTAGAAGTTGCCACGGAGAAGGAGCTCGTGGCATTGTGGGAGAGAGAAAAATCAAACACTTTCTGCAGCAAAACGTCGCTTTTCACGACGAAGGCTTTCAGGCAGGAAAATATATAAGGCATTTCTTGTTTTGAATGGCGTGAGCCGCTCCCATGTATTCGTATCCGTGCAAAGCGTGAAAGAAGGGGCGGGAGAGAGTTAAAGCACAGCTTCTTTTCCTCCTTTCACACACGCACACACAGAAGGAGAGAGAGAAATGGCAGGAGAAGTGAGAATGGCGAGTGCCTCCTGCGCCACACCGCCGTCGTGAAGCCAAGGAGCACTTGAAGGGGAGTAAGAAAGAGAGGATTCAACAAACAGAAACATCAGCAACAATAACGGCATTTAAACAGTGCGAACGAGAGCCAGTGGAAGTCATCATCAGAGGGTGAACGAGAAAAAGAAAGAACCAAGGGATAAAAGGAAGTGCATATTACTTCTACTAAAAAAAAGTAAGAAACAACAAATCAACAAATAGTGAAGCTATCCATTCTCCTGCTCCGTGCTGCACAGGTCACGCAGCTTCGTAGGAAAGACCTGAAATAGCGAAATCCTTCTTTGCCTTCTTTAATTCGCCCTTCGTTTCCAGATTTACTAGGAAAACATTCTGGGTGGCTGTGGCATGCTCGCCGTACACACCAGCGGATTATCGCTGTCGTCGTTGTACTCATACTGCTCTAACCTCGGCGCACCCTTCGAATCGAGAAACAGGATGGCACCCTTGTTCCGCGTGCCGCAGTAGTTCGGTGCGGAGAAGATGGTGAGCAGGCGATCGTGGTGCGTCCACTGAAACCCTTCGTGCACGCACTGATGTGCGCGTACGATGAAGTATAGGTGGTTCGTCTTGATGAAGTCCATCGTGACGTCCTCGCCAAAGATGTGACCCGTGCCGCGCGGGTTGCCGGTGAAGCCCACTGGTGTGCCTTCAAACACGCAGGGAGACTGAAACGTGCTCAGCGGGACTTGTCTTGAGTTGGGCACCGCAGACGCAGCGTTCGCGTTGGTCACCTCGTCTTCAAGCACGGGGCTGCCGCTAGACGCGCAGGTGGGCGTGGGGGCGAAACGGCCTGCAATGATCCCACCGTAGCGATCATTGCGGGAGCGTACCGAGTCGGAGGTCGGGTCTGACCACGTTAAGTCGGCCAGCGCGCCACGCTCAATAGCGCGGAAGCGGTTGATGGCGATTATGCCGTCGAAGCTGTCGTCGACAAACGGTGACAGCCCGCCGTGCATAGCGCTCACCCGCACCACCCTGCGCATCTTCTTCACGTGGTCTGAGGACGTGCTTGGCGGCCGCGACGTGGGTGTGGCGCTCACGGCTGCGGTAGTCGTAGACTCTGACGAAGCCGGACTGGCAAAAGAGCTGTTGGCGCGACTCACCTCGCCGTTTTTTGCAGCCGAGGCGGTGGCAGTCTTCTTTCCGCTAGATTTGAGTAACTTCGGCGCCGCCTCGGTGGTCATACTCGCGTTGGGGCTGGAGTTGATGGGGGTCGGCTTCGTCGCCTTCTTCGTCTCAGGTTTGTCGGCTGTGGTAGCGGCAGAGGCGCCGGACTCCTCCACGGAACTGGAGGCCCGTGTGGAGACGGGAGACGCCTCGGCTGTCGGCGCTGCAGCTGTTGCAACTGGTTCCTCCTCCGCTACCGCAGCGCTGGCCGCGGCAGCAGCATTAGCCACAGCACCAGCACCTGCATCAGCCCCAGCGTCAGCCCCACCACTAGCACCAGCACCAGTATCAGTACCACACGTTGTGGCCTCCTCCGCTGCTTTCTCCTCCACCTCCTCGTAGAGGGCGGCGCACAGAGGCAGCATCGTGAAGGCTTCGTTCGCCACGAGCCACAGCGGATGGTCTTTCATGTCCCAGCCCATCTCGTCCGGAATGCTGCCGTCGGCCGCGGCGTCGTTCATTTGATCGAGCAGTTCGAGCGAGCGTGGCGCGCTCCCGCTGGGTGCCGGCCGACTACCGCCGCCGTTGCTGCTGCCGCTGCCGCTGCTGCCACCGTTAGCCCCGCTCGTCTCGCCATCCTCGGCGTCTTCTTCAGACGGGGAAAGCGTACACAGCTGCAGGGAGGTGACCTTGTTGTTCACGACGGGGTAGCGGCGGTAGCACTCGTCGAGAAAGCCGTAGAAACGATTGGTGTTGACACACTCGTGGTTGCCGCGGAGGAGGAACACCGTGTTGGGCGACAGCACCTTTGCGGTGAAGAGGATGGCGATGATGTGCAGACTGTTCGAGCCGCGGTCGACGTAGTCGCCCAGAAACAAATAATTCACCGCGGTGTCGGCCGCGCTGGCGGCACCTGCGTTGGTCGACAGCGTACTCGTTGCCGAAGCGGACGGGGAGGCGGTGGAAGATTTCGTCTTGGCTCTACCGGCAGATGTCGACACATCTGCGGTAGCGGGGCCCGACGTGGGCGCTGCCTCCTTCTTCGTTTTTTTGCTCGGCGACATCGCTGCCGCAGCAGCCAACACGCTGGGCGGCACCAGCGGCCCGCCTCGCGGCAGCACATTCTCGAGAAGGTCGCGTATCTGCCCGTGCAGGTCGCCCACCAACACGGCCGGCATCGCAACCATCAACACATTCGGCTCCCCCCGCAGCAAGTCCTGCACACGGAGGCAAATCTCGTTCAGCTCCTCTGCCGTCGGCAGGTAGTCCTCCTTGTGGAGGAGGTTGTGGTAGATCTTGGCGAGGTCGATGTTGGGGCAGCGGGCGAGGGTGGGCAGACTAGTGACGTTGTTAAGGCTGTTCGCGGTGAGGTCGCGCTGATTGACGTCTGTTAACGCTTTCAAATTCGGGTTGAAGGCTTGCAGACCGCCGAAGAGGCCCGTCTCGGAGGACAGCATCTCATCCTCCACCTCCTCTAACATCTCTCCGCAGAAGCGGTAGATGGCAATGCACAGGCGCGCGCGCAGCCGGGGGTGCTGCACCAGCAGGTGTTTCAGCATCGGCCCGATCGCAAAGGAAGGGTGGAACTCCTGTTCCTCGATCGTCTTCGCTGTCACCTTCGTCTCCACCGCCGCTATATCCGGGAGAATCTTGCGCAGCTTCGTCAGCGACGATTGCTTCACTGCCGCGCTGTCACAGTTGTCTACGAAGGGCTCGAACACCTGAAACACCTCGGCGATCTGCGCGATGTTCACGTCCGTCTGTTCGAGAGGGAAGAGGTCCGCGGCATGCGGCGGGGAGTCGTCCGAGTCGTCCATCACCGTATGCTGCAGCTCCAGCTGGGTTGGGGTCGGTCGCAGGTGGGGCGAGGTGCTCGCTGCCGGCGGCGGCGGCGGAGGCAGCGGCCGGTGCATCGAGCTGTTACCGGCGCTCGGTGACGTGCACCACTTCTTCCTCGAGACAGGGGTGGCGCCGCTCTCCTCTCCACTTTTGCTGTTCACATCGATGAGAATGAACGACCCGGAGGCCGATCTGCTTCCCCCACCGGCGCCGCCGCCATTGGCGTTGCTCCTCTTGGACTTCGAGTCCTTCTCTTTCGCTTTCGTAGGCTCCTGCGACGCCCCGCTGTCCGCCGCCTCGTCTGCGTCGTCGTCTCTCTTCTTCTTGTCCTTCTTCAAGCCGAAGCCGTTGAGAAAGAATCGCTTCATTTTCCTTCGGTAGTCTGCCGGGCGGCGGGGAGAGGTGAAATGGGGATGGACAGCAACAACAAGTTCTAGAACAAGAAAAAAACGAAATGAATCGTTTCCCCCCCCCCCCGCCCAGATCGTTTGATAATAGAGATACGGAGCTGTGAGGAAGACTGAATCAACCGCTATTGTGTTATCCAACAGAAACACACACAGAAAAAAAAATAGCGTGAAGACAAGAGCAGAGGGAACAGCTAAGACTCACGTTTGTCACCTAACTAAGAGAGAGAGAGGGTGAAGGAGAAGGATTTGTTCTACTTTCTGGGGCCCCTGCTTCGCATGCTCCCTCAGAGTAAAACATATCGGTCATTACTTGCATTATTCATAGTCAGTGGCGAGACCAGCTACCGCGGGGGAACTACCCGACTAGTTCCGCTCGCAGCGCTGGGTTAGATACAAACTAAGGTTTAGAAAAAACTAGGGAGAGTCACGGCCAAGTAATCCGCAGAACAACGGACAGCAAGGGAAAAACACAGTCAAAACCCCCGCTCAACATTTTGTTAAACCAATACTCGGCCGGACCTCCATCTCTTGTGTTAATGATCCCGTGGCCATTTGCCCAGGATCGTGGTGAAAAGAATACAAACGTCCAGGAGCAGTTAACTAGGCACCCTTAATTAGGCAGGTAACCTTCGCTCCGACTTAGGACAACAATGAGAAAGAAAATAACGGGGAAAAATTTCAAAACCCCCGAAAGATTTAAGAAAGAAAAAACTCAGAGAACGATGAGACCCGATAAACGATTAACAAAAAACAATAACTGGACTGGGTGGGTGGGTGGCAAGAAAAAACTTTGTCAAGTGACCAAAACGAAAGCGCTAGGCTTCACGAAATGTGTAAAAATATGTAAAAAGGGAGAAAGGGGGGAGAGAGAGTAGATGCATTGGCAGGGAGAAAGGTAGATTCATTCCAACTGACCCGAAGGGATCACACTCGACACGCCTGAATCACTCCAGATTAGGCTTCGTCACCTAACTAAGAGAGAGAGAGGGTGGAGGAGAAGGATTTGTTCTACTTTCTGGGGCCCCTGCTTCGCATGCTCCCTCAGAGTACAACATATCGGTCATTACTTGCATTATTCATAGTCAGTGGCGAGACCAGCTACCCCATAGTCTCCAACGGTCTTGTGCACAACAGGGCAAGCCGTATTGACCAAGCGGGGCAACTCCATGCCAGGCGCATCTCTCGCCACCACACGACCATCCACCACCTCTTCCCCAAAGTTACGTGAGAGGGAATCTGCGGGGTTCATCTCACCAACGATGTAAAAGAACACCACTCGCACGCCCGTCTCGAAGAAAAGAGAATTGGTGTAGGCGTACAGGTTGTTTAGGTACTGCCCACGTCCAATACCGCGAAAGCCACTTTCACATCTTTGCGCCAATGCAATCGGGTAGTGATCCGTCACTACAGCGACGCGTCTTAAAGCTTACGGGTACGCCGCGAGAATGTACCGTAAGAACAACAAAGCGGCATGTGGTTCCGCGTTTGCTGAATGCCGTGCGTTGAAAGGGATGCGCGCGCCCCTCGCATCCACTGCGCCGCTCGCACTGAGGTCGTGGCTCCAGCGCTGCTGAAAACCGCGCGTCGTGCCGTCTCTCCAGCGGGCGATAGCACCCCAGCCCGACGCCGATGCGTCTGTGAACACGATCAGGTCGTAGTCCGCGTCGAGGTAGGTGGCTCCTATGGGTTCTGCAATGGGCCAGAAACAGTTCTCTACCAAGACGGGCACGATGCGGTCCAACGCGGATCGGATGGAGCCGCTGACAAACGGTATCAGTGCATCCCAACTC